GTTTAACGGGCTCATCTGCCACTGCTGCGCCGGATGCTGAGGATCGCAGGCCAGCCTGGAGGATGTCAAAAGACGCGGACCTCACTCATCACCCTAGCCCTAACCCTGACCCTAAAGCGGTCTTCACTACCGATGCACTGTACACATGGGGCACCAACATTGGCCAACTGGGGGGTACGGTCGCTCGGCGACTCCGATCCAGTTCACACCACGCAAAGTGACCACCATCTCGCAGTAGATGAAGCAGATTGCCGCAACCGACTACGCGACTGCCTGCCTCTTTCACAATTGCGATGTGCTGGTGCTCCACAATGATGCCGCCCATCGTGTGACGTTCCCGTTCAATCGCTTCCGCGCTGACCTCGCGATGAATGCCTACGGGCCGCATAGGCCACAGCAAGAGCGTGCAAAGCCGATCATCACCAAGATCACCAGCTCCGGAACAACCTTCGTGGCCACGTCGGACATGGGAGATCTCTTCACATTCTCGATCGATCAACCATCCGAGTACTCCAAGTCGGGAACCGGGTCAACTTTGAAAACGGTGACCATACAGCCAAAGCTGCTGTGAACGATGCGGAAACGATTCAGTTCAGTGAGGGACGTCACGATCGCGTCGGATGGCTCTGCGATTCTTTGCACGGAATTAGGACATGTCTTCGTCCGAGCAAAGCGGTCAGAGGGCGGCGGTGGTGCACAGACCTCCAAGTATACCCCGAACATTGGCGGCAAAGGAGTCAGAAAAGGTGGCTTCAAGTTCTACCAGATACCTCATCTCCAACGAGTTGTGAAAGTGGCCATGAACGCGAGTGGCGGCTTCTGCGCGATACGATCCGACGCTATCGGCAAAGAGATCAAAGCCCGTGGCGGGTCGCTCGAAGAAGCTCTGCAAAGTCAATTACCCCACCTTCGCACCTACAGCCTGCAGGACTCGGATCAAGGCATCAGCATCTCTGTCGGCATCATGAACGTGATGACGCCAGTGCCAGAGGTTGAGGAACAGTCGGACACGGATGACGGGGAGGATGAACGCGCTTCCAGCCTCCGATACGTGCGCATTGCACAACTCATCGGAGAATCTGTCCGCCGGTGGGAAGCCAAGAACGGGCAAGGCGAGCTTATGGCTTGAGGGCCCAATAACCTGCGACCGCCAAACAATTGCGACATGTTCATTGTTGCGGGCGCCAAATGGGTCCCAGCCCACCGCTTCGTCGTCCCCAGCCGCGTGCCGGTGCTGGCCAAAGCTCTGGAGACACCAGGAACCAAAGGCATCCTTCCACCAGGCGTCGGCGGCAAGCAAGCAGCTCCAGGAATAGTCACTCTGACACTCCCGAGCTGCAGTTTCCACACGACACTCTTCCTGCTGCACTACCTCTACGCCGATGACTTGCCTCCTGTCTGGACCGCTTCGATCGGGATGCAGGTAGAACGCTCGTACAGCGCGCTGCGCATCGATCGCGAGACCGTTCGGAACCAGCGTCAGACGCTAGCTGCTTTGCTGCAGCTCTCCGCCCTTGCCCCGTCCCTCGAATCGCCTGTTCCGCGTCCCCCAACTCTCACTCTTCGGCGAGACATGGAAAGCGCCTTCGAAAAGTACGTCAGCTCGCCAGATGCGGGTGCCGACATCTATGACGTCGAGCTCCGCTTTAAAAGATCGGACCGTACCAGCTCACTCGGTGATCCTGCGTCGGTCCCCTTTGTTCACCTCGGCGCTGAACCCCCCCCCTTCTCTTCCGGCCGGTGGAAAGGCGGCTTGCTCGAGATCGACATGACGAACATGCAGTGGACAATCATGCAGGTCGTGCTGCGGTATCTGTACGCCAACTCTGGCGTCGCAGTGTTCAAAGGGTGCAACCAGGGCGTCGCGCAAGAAGACTTCATCGATGATATCGTGGAGGTCCTTGCCGCTGTCGATCATCTTCTCCTCGAGAAGCTCTCTCTCTGATCTGCTGCAAAGTCTTGCGAAGGCGCATCTTCTCACGCAACATCGCCTCCGTCCTGGCCGAAGCCGACTTCTACCACGCACACGCGCTCAAGGAGGCCTGCATGGACCTCTGCGCAAGAAGCATAGAGATGCTTTTTGAGGGCGGCCTTCTGGACGACTTAGAGCACAAGGTGCTGAAAGATCTTGGCATCTTTGTCCGAGGGCGGCAGGACGAGCGGATACACCGCGCATTTCGAGAGCGCCTTCAGCTCTTGATGGCGGTCCACGCAGACTGGCTAGCCTAACAGGACATCCCGAAACCTTCGTTGAACCTCGCGAGCTTGCGGACACCTCGAAGAAGTGCCATCAAGTCACCAGTCCTCAGCTCCGCAGACGCAAGGCGGAAGACTCGCGGGTCCTTGACGCCGGTTGGCAGTCCCGATTTGAAAGCGGCGAAGCCTTTGGCCCCTGTGCCGGACACAGGCATGCTTTTCGAGATGGGCAGTGAGGAGGGAGCAAGCGGAGCAGCTCCCAAGGGCGAAACTGGTACAGACACAGGAAACGTCAGTCAAGGCAATCGCCTGCTGTCCACGATGCGGTTGAACGGATCTTCAGGAGCACCCTGGTCGGTCGCGTCCAAGGCCAGACCCTCGTCATCTACCGCTCCAGCCAGTGCCGTCGACTTGAAGAGCATCATGGCTTTGGAAGTGCGTCGGACTCCAGCCGGTTCTGCGAGCGCCTCATGGACAGCGACGCCAGTCGCTACAGCCTCGAACGGAACTGTTACAGATCTTGCGCCAATCATGATCGGCGCGAAGCTCTCTCAGCAGGATCGTCGGCGGACGAGCGCAGCAGTTACAGCAGAGCGCTTCAGCAATTCCTAGCAATGGCTCGCCGCAGACGCCGGCGCATGGGGCGGCGTGGCAAACGACTCCCTCAAAAGCTTCCGATGGCACTCCTTGGAGGACACTCGACAGCCCGGCGTCATCTTCTCCTCCCAGAGATCCGATGTCGCTAGTGTCCAGAAGCCCAGCAACCGCCTCGCGATTATCCGGCTCACCAGCATTGCGACCATCAGCGGGAGCAGCCGCGCCATCTCCGCTTTCACTAGCCCGCGCAGACAGCTTAAGGGACCCACCGCTCTCTTCCACGTTAAGCGTGTTCACGCCGAATCACTCGGTGCGATCTCCATTGCGAAAACCCGAGGAAGGCAGCCCTGCGTGGGCGACACAGACTCTGCCTGCTTCTACTTCGAACTTTTCGCAGCGCTCGATGGCAGCGAGAGCGACTCCCTTTACGCCTTCCTCGAGCTGCTTCTCGCCAACAGCCGCGGCCTCTGTCTCTCCGGCACGCGCCAGCCGCTCGGGCGCGAGAGCAGGCAACTCTGCGTCCTTCCTGGCGATCCAAGAGCAGTAGAGGAACGAGGATAGCGCAGCGTAGCGGGAAGCGATGGCATAAGCGGCGGCCTCCCGCAGGTCTTTCGCCGACATCATCGCGGAGGAAAAGGCGGCTGGCGTCAGGACAGAGCAGGAACGCAAGGAGCGCGAAGAGTTCGAGACGTGGTTTGCTGAGGAGAGCAAGAAGGTGCAACAGCAGCAGCAAAAGCAGCAACCGGGCCGAAGCTCAGGTGGTAGCAGAGGAGGAAAGGCTCGTTCGAATCGTCGTAACGGAAACGCATCCACGGAGACGGAGGTTCAACAGGAGGGCGTGCTAACTCCGAATGAGCAGCAGCACAGGGAAGAGGGTGGCTCCACTGGGCGGCGAGGCCGCGGGGCAGGCCGAGGAGTTGGTGACGGTGGAAGGGGTTGCGGCAGAGGAGCTGCGCCAGGGCATCAGCCGCAGGACTGAGGAAAGCACGTATACCCCCTATCTTCGAATGAGAGCCGAAGAGCATAATGGCTGCGATCATCTTTCAAATGTGAACCAAAATGAGCAACGCGAAACAGCGAACCAGCAATCAGCAGGCGCCGTTATATGCTGGTCAGCGGTCCGTGTTGCTCTTATACGCTTGGCACATGGCATTCGCAGACTCGAGCTCGGATAACAGACAGACAGAGCCATTGCTCACTCAGGGCTGGAAGTTGGATGCGGCAGTGAGAGCATCGCAGGCCCGGAGCCCGCAGATTGTCACGTTGTCCGCCGGCCTCGTCGCGCCGTTTCAGTCGCCGCACGCGCCGGGGCAGGACGTGATTGGCCGCGAACGACAGAGGTCACGACCAGCGTTCTGGCTCTGCTAGGCATTGTCGAGGGCTTTCGCGATTATCGATCAGCCTCACGAGCTCGGGAGCTCGCGCAAGTTCCTGTTCTCGATGCGCGCGGTGCGGCAGGAAAGTCACACCGTTCCAGTGCGAGCCCAAGGATACCCCGAGGCAGCATCGAATACATTGACGAGGACGACGATGTTGCGACTACCGAGACAGGGTCGGTCGCAGCGAGCACGATAGAAGGCTCTATCGTCGACTCGAGGATAGGCAGCGTATCGGGCCCACCAGAATCTGCGCTGAACCTCGAGGGTCAGAGCATCTCGAGTCACCTTAATGCGTCTGGTGTTGCGCTGACGGCTTTCAATGGTTAGTGCGTTGTGCAGCGCTGGCCGCGGAGCCTTTGCTTATGACATTCACTTCTTCGCAGCAATCTATACTGTGCTGAACCATCCAACAAAAAGGGCAGAGCCGATAAATCCTCAATTCTCTCGGTATCCGCCACTTCCTCTCTCCAGCAGCGAGCTCCCGACGGCTCGCAAGGCCGATCATGCCGCCTACCTCGCCCAAATCTGGCCGGAATGGGACCTCTTCGTCCGGAGTCAGCGGCAGGGGAGGAGTGGCAGGGCGTAGCTGGGTGCCGAAGTGGCTGGGCTAGAAGCGAGTGATGGGGAGGACTACGAAGGCACAGATTCGCCGGCGGTAGGAGGCAACCGATTCTCGATGGATCACAGCGCATTACGACCCCCAAAAGAGCAACGAGCGCAGCTGCCCTCGCTCGAAACGGAGCCGAGGGCCTACTTGAGGAGGACTTCAACCTCAGCAGCCCGCACATTTTCGGCAAGGTAGTGGAAACAGTGGAGCCAGCAGCCCGACAAAACTCCTCCGACAGCTTCGAGCAAGCGCTCAATCAGATCCTTCAAGAGAAACTCAGCTACTACTCGGACATAATAGAGCAGCATCTCATCGTAGAGATAGGGGCGAGATCCAGCTCCTTCGCTGTGCCCAGCAACCTGCAGGACTTCTACGCCGAAGGCCGAATCGTGCTTGGCCAAGGTCGACGCGCTTCGCAGCGAGCTCGCTGCCATCGATGAGCATCAGGCCAAGAAGGGGCTGCAGCTTGTGCTGCGGCAGGCAAAGCGGAGGGAGCTCGGGACGATGCAGAATGCACTGCAGCAGGTCAAGGATCTCACAGACCGGAGGGACATGGTGGATTTGCTGGTGAAGCAAGGCGAATTTGAGGAAGCGCTCGACCTTATGGAGTCGATACGCTCCATGCTGAAGCGCTTAGCGTCGAGATCGGTAGCCGAGGCCGACAGCGAGGTGCTGGACATCTCCCGCGAGCCCGCGTAAGCAGGCATCGTGCTGGGCTTCTCCAGCCACGACAAACACATCTCCGCCGCTCTACGTCAGGAGCTATTGATCGTGCTTGGCACGAAGCTGCGGGAGCGCATCACCGAACCATTTGCAGTTCCGACACTGCCGATAGAAGCGCGATCGTCTGCGATGGATCAGCGCAATTTGCGAAGACAAAGACACAAATCGATGCGCAACTCGATCAGCATCGCGGCTGGCCAACTCAACGCGAACGGATTTAAGTCTCTATTCGAATCAGAGGGCGACGCAACGCAAGAAGCAGTACAGAGGATACCCAAGAGTCCCAAATCGAGCGAGGTGAAGAACGAGGCGCTGCGCACGAGAGTCATGGGTCTCGTACTCGGACTTGTGAGGACACATGGCATCGAGCGTGTGATAAGAGACTACGAGGAGGTCGCGACGGAGCTCCTGCAGTCGATAGCCACTTCGCACATCCAAGGCATGAGCGACGATCTGATCCGCCTGCTCGCGCAAGTGGATGCGCCGACCGACAATTAGCTTTCGACCAATCCGGCTACTGCTGAGCTCAGAGCAGCTCCGCATGAGAAACTCCTCGAGCAAGGACACATCTTCTTCGAGGCCTTGCTTGAGGCTATCGAAGGCATGACCGCTCAGATGCGCGTCATCCTACTCTTGATCCACGAGACAGCACACGACAGCACGCCGAATGGCAGCGCGGCCTTCTCTCACATTGCCAACGGACAGGGGATGAGCAGATACGACATGCCAGACGGCGTCTCTCCCAGCACAGCTTCCTCGGTCTCCGAAGCCCTGCAATCGGCCGGCGAGGCGGCTCATTCTCTCGCCTCTCGTCTGATAACCATCCGCTCCGAGCAGCATGCGAAGCTACCCCTCCGCGACTTCCTCGCAGTCTTCAGACTCTGCTGGTCCTTCGTGCTTCGGTCCGAGCTCACCAATAAGCGCATGATCACTGGCCTCCGAGGTAGGCTGCTGAACTAAGCGAGAGCCTTCGTAGTCGGCTTTCACTTTCAAAAGGTCGCAGCAGCAGCAAAAGCCGTAGAGGAGGAGAGATGGGATCCTGTCAGCGTCCCCGCCTTGTCACAGAAGGATGTCGATCGGACGGCCGGATCAGCTACTCAAGATCCTGCTGACTTTATTCTCCTAGCCGACGATGACGGCGAGGACGAGGACGAGGAGGAGGAGGCGGCGGACGAGGCGGAGGGACGCAAGCGGGCTTCCACAGCATCTGAAGAGCAGACGTCGCGCGCGTCGAAAACATCCAAGACGCTGCACATCGAGGAGCGCGAGTATTACGTTGTTGGGGCGACGCTCGACGTGCTCACCCTTCTGGGGGAGTACCTCCGCATGATCGTGAATCTTCCGCTCTTGACGACCGAGGCCATGACGCGTTTTGTGGAGTTCCTCAAGCAGGTCAACTCGCGAACATGCCAGGTGGTGCTCGGCGCCGGTGCCATGTGCTCGGCAGGTCTCAGGAACATCACTGCAAAGAATCTTGGTAAGTCTGCTCGAATTGCTACGCACAAGCCAATCGTTGACCATGCATCACTCCACAGCACTGGCCTCGCAGACGCTGTCGGTCTTCATCTCCTTCATCTCGTACATTCGAGAGACCGTACGAGGGCATCTGAGCGTCCGCCAGGCATTCATGCTGACTGAGTCCGACAAGCCGAAGCGGGACTGCCAAGAGCACCAATACGAGATCCACGCGAAGCTGGTCTCGATCATGAATGATCGTCTCATCGTGCACTCCAAGAGCATAAGAGTACGCTATCGCAAGCCGGACGACGACACTTCCCAGTTCACTGACATACCTTCCCTCCCCAGAATGTAGACTGGAATTGCGACGCAAAGATCACTCTCGATGCGAACAAGTAGATGCTGGACATCGTCAACGAGACGTCCCTGCTGCACAAAGTGCTATGGCGCTACCTTCCCAGCATGGCCGCGGAGCAGAACATGGGCCAAATCCTGACCGCGATCGAGAAGCGGACAGCTGCCGAGTTCACAGGCCTCGAGCTGCGCAGAGAAGAAGGGCGTCAGCGCATCGTGAAAGACGGCGAGTATCTCGCCTCCAAGATGGAAGCGCTCAAAGGCCTTTCCTGGCCAGGCAGCCAGCTGGCGGCGATGCTCAAGGAGAAGCAGGTCCGCGGACCTGTGCCCGAGCCCGTGCCAGAGCCACAGGCGCAGGCGCAGCCGCCAAAAACGCTAGCATCCACGGATATCTCGTATCAGCCTCGCCTTCCAGCCTTGCGTATCAGTCGTCTTCAGGGAACAGACGCCGCCGCTGCCCTCGGCTCCGGCGACTTTCCCAGGTGGGCAGGCGCAGACGACGAGCAACGGATCAGCCACATCGCTGCGGCCTTGCAACGAAGCACCACGCCCTTCACCAACACTCGAACAACGGCAGTCTTCGCAGAGCGACAGGCAGGCAGAACCCTTTCCGCCACCGGCACCACCCGAGAAGGACACAGGAGTTAAAGCTGTTGCAACCGAGAGCTAAGAGCCTGAAGAGGTACCGCCACCGCCGAGCAAATCGTGTCGATGAGGAGCACAGAGCAAGATCGCGAGTCTCATCCCCTTGTCGTACACCTTCGTCTTTAGACTGTAGCGCAGAACTTGATATGCTGACCTGTCCTTTCGTTAGACCCCCAGCATGGTGATGCCCTACCTACGTCATTGCGGATACAGTCTTTTCGGTCTCAGAGCCATCCGGAAGCATCTGGAACGAGACCGCAGGCCATCTACTGCCAGCCGCTGCAGCGAGCTGCTCAAGAGTTCCTCCTTCCTCCTCTCTCCTTGCCTGTTAGAAGAGCAGGGCAAGGGCAAGGAGAAGAAGATCGAGGTGTGGGAGGTCTTCAACTCGGCCTCGGCTCCAACGCATGCGAATGGCTAGCAGCATTCGGCATCTCGTAAGCCAGCATAGCAATCGCATCGGTACCCGGCCGGCTCTAGCGCGGACGGCCCGCAGACGGAGTGGGCGAACGGCAGCAGCTGGAGCCGGCGTCCAGCGCAGCGCGCTCGCATCGGATTCTTTGGCTGTTTCGCCCGCGCGACGACCCACAGCGGTAGCTATGTCGTCGTCGACGGACATCATACGCTTCCACCTGATCCTCGCCGTAGTCCCGAGTTTCGCACACGCGGAGAACAGCGTCAATGTTCGGGACGATCGCCGCGCAGGTGGATCGTGTTGGCAGCGTCGCGGTCAGAAACGGTAGCGGTACGACCGAAACCTCTGCTGGACCACTTCCTGCTGCTCAGACGTCGTTCGACATTCGGATCGCACAGCGTACAAAGGGCGGGCGGCCAAAGCGTAGGTGTTCCGACACTGACCATGATGCAGCTGTGTCGTCTCGCTCTGGAGCCACTGTGGCAGCAGCAGCGCGATCCTCCGAACATTCGCGGAAGAGCAGATCCGCTCCTGCCGCCGCGCAGTACCGATTCTGCCGTCTCACGCGACGCAGCGTTCGCTGGCACACTGCAATGGCGTCGGCGGGTAATAGGCGAGTTGAAGATGCCGTTGGACCCATCGCTGCAGTCTTCGCTCTGTCTTCGGTGATGATGCAGGCGGCCTACAAGCTCTCTGAGCACGCGGATATCTGCGACAGGCGAGCTACGACGAGGCGACAGCGATGCAGCTCGGCCCCGTGGTCGACGATCTCATCAACAGCGTGATCAGCAAGACAGACGGATGCGAGCATACCGTCGCCATCGAAGCAGCGCTCAAGCGCGCCGTGCTACGCATCTCTCTGCTGCTCATCGAGCAGCCACACGGCTCGATCGAGATGGCAGGCTCGATCGAGATGGCAGGCTCGATCGAGATGGCAGGCTCGCCCTTCCTCGTCACCTTCGCCAGCGCGCGCGCTGCACGTCGAAGACGCAGCGGGTCCGCTCATTCGATTCAAGGCGGAGCATGAGTACAAGGTGATCGCTGCGGCGCTCGATTGGTGTGCACATTTCCTCATCATAGCGCCGTGCATCTCATCATTCGATGACGGACAACTGACGGGCGAGCATACCCAGCGACAACTTCGCAACCCGGTCGACATTCTTGCGGACGCTGCTGCCTACAGCGACAGGCACCTCAGCGGCAAGAAGCCGATGTCGGTGCTGCCAGACTGGTTTCGCCGCTGTACGACAGCGTAGCCGAATCCCGCTGTGTCCGGCGCTCGACCCTGATGTGCGTGTGCACCGCGATCTTGTCCCCATATGTAGCGAGCGGGATCTCTGAAGAGCTGGCATCGGTGCAGCTGGACACAAAGCTGCCGTGCCAAGGGAAAGCCCGAGGCCCCGATTGGTCCTGCCGCGATGTCTGCGCGCAATGAGGAAGACGAAGGATACACACTTGCCTGGCCAGGCTTTAAAATGGTGAGCTGTCTGATGTCAACTTCAAGCAGCAACAAAAGCACTGACTATTGACTTGAGCAGAGCCCCAGCGGCATCATCATCCAGCCTCCGTTCGTTCCTAAACCCTTCACTCCGTCTCCTGTTCGCTACTTCAATCTGAGGGAAATAGGCCCTTTCGATGGCCTCACAACATGGAAGCGTATCGCTTCTCTTGACACGAGTCTCACTGTCAATCCTTCGGCCGCACCAAGGCAACGTGATGACATCTTTACGATCGTCATAGCAGAGAACGCCAGCATCGACGAGCGCAGTGTCGACGAATTCTGTGAAGAGACGACCATCACTGGTTTTATCTTGGGCCACACAACGAACTTTGAAGAAGGCAGCGATGTTCGATCCATGTGGCAGGTGGCTTCTCAGCTGGCATGGGGTTTGGTCGGGAACGTGCTACCTCGAGGGTCCCAGTGTAATGCTGGTCCTTCTCGACCGAGGAGCGGGTTCACGTTGGATAGAGGCAAACGAAGCCTGCCGCCGAGCAAACTGAGCGGCTCTCTCCGTTTACCTGCGCTATTGCGTGCACGTGCCGTTGGCGAACGAGCCTCGTTGGCGTGACCGCACGTCGCGGTTGCGCACAAGCACATCCGCCGCAGCGATGCCTGTCCCTTTTTAGTGCTGGCCGCCGCGCTGGTCCTCCGATAAACCAGCAGCCAGCGCTCCACTTACGGTCGGTGCTGACAGGAAGTGTGCGCAGTCCAGCTCAAATATGAACTCGACAATCTCTGGCGGGAGCGTCACCACGGGCATGCTGTGCAAGTTTGTATCATGCAAAGCGGCTAAACCAGAATCATAACGTCATCTGCTTTATGATGTTTCTCGTCCAAATAAGGCGATAATGAAGAATGGAGGAGCGATGAGGAGCTGTGATAAGCGGGTTGTGCGATGCGAAGATGTGTTGGCTTTGGGAAACGTCCGTGGGCTGATGACTAAAGCATGTGGAAGTCGGTGGTGATGTGCCGTGCCTGTTTTTTTTTCGCTTATAAAACAGGTATTTGTATATACAAGCATAATTTCACCAACTTTGCATGTGAAATTTTGAGAAAACATAATGCGCCGCAATATGTCCAGATAGCGCCGCTATACATCTCAGATCCAGGCAACTCCTGCCACGGTAATACGTATGGCATCACAACGATTGAGATGAAACAAGATGGAGCAGTGATGGAGCCGTTCCAGGCCCTTGAACAAAAATTCGACCTCGCATGCACTGACAACAGGTGTAACGGCTGACTACGCCTCCTCTCTCGCCACTCTTCCGGTCTCTCCCACTCTTGGGGAATGAGATCTTGGGATGCAGAACACTGAACACGACGGTGGCCTGTATGAACCACCACCATCTCACTGGTTGTGGGCTTCTATGGGGGGGAAAGAGTGGCTCGACCTCGTGGGAACTTCAGCCTTGCTCTGAGGTTAAAGCGAGCTTATTTCAACCCACCGTGCTTTGAGGTCAGACTAAAGCAGTACTGGAGTCTGTTTGGGGGCACAAGATTTGTTAACAAGAGATAGGCCCGATCCCGTCACATAGGACGAAAGGGAATGCAGGATTCTTCAGATCACAGCCACTGTATTCAATTTGGGACTTGCCTGGTGGTCTGGTGACTTCGCCGTGCTGCTGGTCGGCAACAAGGATTTTTTTTATTCAAGGCAACACGTTCCCAACAGCCCGTGCCTGTCCCCTGGCGACTCCTGGGCCCGCAGTCGGCATACCGCTGATAAGATCCGAGCGAAGGCGCTTTGCGTAGTTCTGGCTTTCGAAGAATATCATATCACACATAACATGTGGTTAGTGCATGGTTTCCTGACTTTTGGAGCGATTGGGAATGTTCGACCCCAGGAACCTGCCTCTGCGCCATGCGACGTTGTCAGCTGCTTTGTAGAGTTCAACTTCTACCATTAAGCAATATACCAACCAACAGTGAGTGAAGTCGCCGTCCTCGGCCTTTGTCCGAAGCAATTACTTGGTGCTTGCATTTTGCAGGCAGTGCCAATGGTTTAGTGCAACACGAGAAAGCTTTTAAGTAACCCAGGCTAGATCTCTATAGACGTCACGCTACAACTTGACTTGACTTGGCATCATGCATAAAGCAACTGACTTTGACCAACTTGCTCAGCTTTGGCCTGTTGAGCCACTGAAATAGATGACTCTAGACTGATTCCAATCCAATTCTGATCACTAAAATTGACAGCCAATACACCTGGATATCCAACTAGACCCGAGATTGGATAATTGCGATCCATCCGATCGACGGGCTTGACCGCAGCATTGCCCTTGTTCTGTTTTGTCGTGGTGGACCTCGGTGCGTGGTTAAATTGCATAGACGGTTAGTTGATAACATGATTCTGGTCCAAGTGGCGCCCAGCCCTTTCTGTAATCAATTCAGGAAATAGGAACTTGCCCATTGACGTCCCTGAACTGCATGGTTTAGGTGCAGGTTTCGACTTTGTTAAGCGATGCTGCGGCTGCTTGAACCATGAACATCGCTCAACAAGCGGCGCGCAAATAGGTTGCTTCCATACTCCCATGAACGCTCGAGATGAGACCGTCTCAATATATAGCCAAGGTGGGGAAGGTGATCGAATAAGAAAACGACGGGAGGTATTAATAATTGTTGGTACCTATCGCCGCTTTCCAGCTGATCCCGCAAGGCAAATGACCATTACCATCATGATTCCGGGATTAAAGTTATTCGTATTAGTTGCTTCGCTAGAATATGCCAAAAAATCTAGTACGAGGCATTTTACCTGTTCTTGCAGTCTCCGAATTGAGAAATGTTCCGGTATCCAATGCGCACCGCCCCTGTCCGACCTTGTAGCTCCAAAGTCCTTATCCTTGTTGGCAGCAGTTGTTGAAAGTAGAATTGTCTTCTGATTAAGTAGTCCCGTTGCACCCGAGTAGGGTCAGCAGAAAGGCGTAACCTCCAAGCCCTTGACTGGCGGTCGACAGGGTTTGTAAGTTATGGGAATGAACCAGTTGGTATACTGTGGTGCATTGTGATCTTCTCTGACAATGTCTTGTCTCTTTGCACCATGCGCATAGGTGGCCTAGATCGATCAGGTTGTAATGAGGGGAACATGTCAGGCAAGCCGACGATTGTCCAGAAATTCATTATAAATGCCCTGAACCTACAGACTACTGAGTACGGAGTAATGTAAGTATCAAGTCCTCCGGAATAAGGATGATTAACAAGAAACCCAAGTCTCGCGGAAGGATTCTACAAACTCGCGATGTACTCGACGGCGGCTCAATCGATCGCTGTCGAATGTTGTAGGCCCAAGATGCCATACTGTTTGCTCAGGACTGTGAGGTATCATGCGCATTACTCACACCATGGGCCTGCTGGAAAGTGTGGGTTTAGGAAAGTCATACGGAGCGTACGGTATTGCCATATCTTCGCCTCGCAGCGGTTACCTTAGGGTTTCATATTTCCGTTGACACAGTGCAGCGCTTCTTTTCGACGCTTTTTTGAGCGAGCCCAGCCCACGCGGATCCGATCACCCAGACACGCCAAAGAAAAATGTATTGATCGAAACCAATTGCAGTAAGGTCTTAATGGTCAATTGACATACAGGTCCCCCTCCCAGCATCCGGTCAACTTTGCATTAATTAGTGCGCATTACGGTGTCGATGGTGGTGGCCACGTTGTCATGACGATGAGAGCAAGTGAAAACATGAAATAGATGTGTAGGAAGGGAGGGGGGTGAGGTGAGGTGAGGAGGATGGTGCGGTCAGTGAATACATTGTGATGACTGCTGTTTGGCGGATTTCGTAGTCGACATCGGTTTGAAAGACAAGTTTTCCGCGCTTCAGTGGACGGCTTGTCTGGATGTGAGCTTCATGCTACAGTCTTTCAACACTGAGAATACGTCTTTGTTGTCGTTGTGGCGCTGACAACATTTCGACCGAGCCAATGTGGCTGTCCGATATGGTGTAGATGGACCACTTCAGGTGTGACAATCCTCAGCCAGGATGACATGGGTTTATGACAGCAACACTGTAAGCAAGGAAGCTGCCGCTCCGGTTTGGCACCTTCCGATGGAGATGAGCGCTGTGAAGCTCACCCACCTAGTGAATGCACGATGCATAACACATCGAGAGAGAGGCGCTGTGAGACATGGTCTTACCAGATTACAGCGTTAGACTGACAATTTCGATGCTAAAAGTCGCTTGGAAGGGCTTCTGACCAAGGTAAGACTCCGTTTGGGGCTTGATAGCAGCCTAGTCTAGTGAAGAAAGTCCGGTGTCTTCTAAAGTGTGTTTCTGACCGTCTTTGGTGAACGAAACGGGAAGAGCTTCGAGAATGACAGATGTCCAGCGCATGCCTTGCTCGCTTGCTCTCCAGGCATGTAAAGTTCCACGCTGAACGATCACGTCGCCAACTTTGATGGGAGTCTCGTTGACTGCTGAAGAGTCCGCCTCAGCAGGAGTCAGCAGTACACCGGATCCGTGCGTGATGATGTTGTAGTCAACCGAACTTGTTCTGTGCATTGGCGTCGTGACCCCAGGAGGAAGTTCCGTCAGCCTGCAATTGCTTCCACCAGGATTGACGATGAGAGCTCCGCTCTTGCCACCGGCATCTTCGCCAAAGTCATATGAATTCGTCGCCGGACAAGTATCTGTTGTCCATATACCACCAGAATAGAGGTTGAGTCCTTCTACAAAATCTGGCTGTGTGTCGATAATGCGAACGGCAACTTGTGGCTCCTCTGAGCCTTCCTTGTCGGGCTCATGGGATGTGACAATTCGTCTAAATGGCCCAAAACGAGGAGTGTTGGCCATTTTGCAGCCTGAGAGCTGCAGGGTGTTGATCCATCAAACGAACAGAAACTTTCAGTGCACGACGGTCGAGCAGACAGGTTTCAGCCGTTAACTTACGTACCCTTCGCCTTTCTGCGTCGCCTCAGACGTCTCACTCTGCATTGTTGCCCAGTTCAAAGAAGACTTGCTGAGGACACTGAATCACAATAGTAAATACAATGCTACGAATCAGGCGGGGAGCAAGACGAGGAAAGTTTACGTAAGCTCCGAGCAGTATGCGATGAGCAATTAACATCTTGAGCCCAACGGCTTCGACACAACTACGCCAATAAAAAGGTAGCTAATATCTTAATAAATACCTGAGTGTTGACTACAGTACATACGCTGACGTCCGGCTAAACAGTTCATTCAGATTGACACGACCCGAGTGCATTGGTGTATTATGCTTCGCTACGCTACAAGACTAGATGATACAGCTGATTGAAGCGATGGGAGAAGTGGATGCATGGCGTCGATGAGGCTAGAGAGATCAACCCTTTGAGCCAAAAATCTTCCACCAGCCCGTGCGGTAAAGAACGGTACAAGCATTTCTTGAACGGTATTGAGGTCCTGTGAAGCCAAGTCAGTTGCGCTAATGAATGAAAAACTGAGTCACAGCTACTCACAGAAGCAGCGAAGATGTCCAGTTCTTCGTTCAGGGCAATGAGTCTTAAGTAAGCTATAATCTTTTCTGCGGTGCCCTCTCGCTTTGAGGCAGTATCCCATAGATAGCGAGGCAGCTCGCACACGAATCGACGCAAGGATGCGGTCTGCAACGGCGATTGGCTTGCTCGATAGTTTCCTTGGTAAGAGGGATAGCTTTCAATCTGCGACATGAGCCACGTAAAATTATCATCTTTGAAACCCCTGGATGCCGGCCGCTTGTGCCACTCACGATAGACAGCCGTGCCAAGAAGGCAAAGAGTACACCCTTCGCTGAATCCGTGCTTGCCATTTTGGCAAATCGCTCAGTCAATGATTGCACGAGGGCGCCAGCTTCATCTTCCCGGCCGTCTGCATCTGCAGCAAGGGTGCCTGTGACTCCGCGCAAACTGAGGAGTAGCCATACCGTCGGCAAGATGGATGCCAGTGATTCGGTGGAGAGTGGGAGGGCGCCACTTTCAACCGAAGCCGAAAGTAACTCCGATACATACTGCTGAACGTGCTTCAAACGCACCGAAACAGCTTGCATCCATCTGTCCTTCGATGAGGATGCAATTACCGGTAGATCGTTAGTCGCAGAGAGCCGCGCGCAAAGCTCGCAGTACGACAAATTGAGCGTCTGCAATTGCTGTTGCGCTTGCACGCTGAGGTTGCTGCTCATCATCTGAGACGATGTTGGACCGAAGGGGAAGTAGCGGGAGACTCGTTCGAGCAACGCAGAGACCTGCTTCAATGCCTCAGCCTCAGCCGAGCTTGAGGTATCTGAGAGATTCGCTGCCCTGATCAAACAAAGCGCAATGTCCAACAGTGCACAGGCAATCTTGCCCTGTGTATTGATTTGCTTGTCTGTGGAGGAAGACTGCGGCAGTGCCAGCGAGACGGCATGGAGATGCGCAACTGCGTCTGGTGCCACTTCGATGAAAATATTGATGAGTGTAGGCCCCAGAGTCACAAACAGCGCTTGAAAAGCGTTTGCCGCTGATCCCAACTGTCGACCTCGAGGGCCATCGCTGGTGCCCAATGTCGAAGCGCTGCAGATAAATTGCAGCAAGTCGCCTGCTTGGAACGTCTGACTAACGCTACCTTGCAAATCGACCAGGCTCCCTCGATCGCCATGGTCATCTAGCAAGGTTGGAATAGCTTCGTAGGCAAGAGCGCTTGTTGAAGCCGCTGAGATGTTTAGGATCCGCTTCTGTCGACAGGCGGCTGGTCCATTTGCATGGATTCGCAACACCTGCTGAAAAGCTTCAAAGTCGGACGGGGAAGCAAAGCTGCTGTTAAATATCCAAGTTGGACAGTCCTCGTACATGGTGCTGGCGGCCGAACCGGTGCTGCCCATCGCTTCGTTTTCCTTTGTACCTGTGGATGCTCCCTCTGTACCGGGTTGAAGAGACGTAATGATGCGGAGGTAACTGCGAATAGCATTCAAAACAACGAGACGAGAACTCAAAGAGAGATCCATGCTGTTTGTGGCCCCCAACTCGCTAGTCCCTGAATTGATAGAGGATGGATTCGATCGCCTCGCTGAAGTTCCCGATATTGAAGATGACAGTCCGAGCATGTTCAACAAGCAGCGTAGCACGCTACCTGCATGGCCAGCTTCCCCGTAAATGATGAGCTTGCTTCCGAAATCGTCAGCTCGAACGTTGTTCCAGCCTTTCACGAGCTCTCTACCACCGGCGGAGCCAGTGCTCGTCATGAGCACGTCGAGGAATTTTACGGCATCGATACGCACAGCCATGTAAATGTGAGACATAGCAGATGTCGCATAGAGCAGCAACTGCGACAGGTACGGCTGCAATAAACTCTCCGATTTAGAGCTGGGGTCCTCCGCACTAAGCGCATCAGATGAAGGTGCAGCAATGAGTGGAAAGAGCCAAGCCGCAAAGCTGAGGAGAGCTCCTCGCACGCGGGTATCTTCGTCACCGATGAGGTGCAGTATTGCCGGAATGACCAGGCGAAGCGAAGAAGGTGACCTTGCCAGATGCGGGTATGATACCAGCAGCTCCTTAATGCCCTCAAGCGCATCTGTAGGCAAGGATTCGTTGAATCTGTCACTCTGGAGTTCGTATGAAGAATTGCAAAACAATCGCTTGGCCGCGATTCTGTTCACCCACCTTTCTTTATCGCAGGGCTGTGATGCTTGGTTTGAACACTCAAGTCGTTCAGCGTCTGACCCCTCCTGGTAGTGTACGCTTGGCTCCTGTCAAGATTGATGCTCTGCTGTGGCAGTGCGATGCTTTTGGCTCTAAAAGAAGTGTCTGTTGCATTGTTTGCGGCTTGCTTTCCTTTTCCGAGCTTTAGTTTAGCTTTCTAACGGCATAGTGCGTATAATTCAAGCGATCAGCAAACAGATTCAACTGCTTCAACTAGCAATGACAAATTCGGCGCACCTGAAAGTCAGCTTGTCGTGCAGCCTTGCGCTTAGCCGACTTGGTCATGGTGGCAGACACAGACTCCCTACTTTCGAGCTCGAGCAGGCCGCTTTTCCACTGATACGCGGCTCGGCTCGAGTCTGCAGGGGAGCCAAATGGCTGATTGATGCGGCCGCGTCAAGCGCGTCAGCTACCCAGGGTACTTGGACATATGCGATGACGAGCATGGCTCCGATCAAGAATTGGAAAGGAATGCAATTTACGAGCCATACTCGCTTTCTGTATGCAATGAGAGGTATCTGAATACTGCACTGGCATGCAGCACCGCCTGCATGCTAGTATGCACGTTATGGCAAAAAAAACTTACCTTGCGAATGCCTTGTGTTAATCGGTGCAACTCACCTCATCACTGTTTGCGTCCACTTCGACCAAATTTCGTCCGCCTCCCTCGCGGGCTGATCTCTTCTGGACTGACTGCTATATGCATGCCGCGACGAGAGGAAGCTGTTGGACTTGATTGCGGGGTCCAGCCTATCTATACATCCTCAACGCTTATAACATTTCGCAGGCCCCATGTTCAATGCATGGAAACCTTTTTTAAGAACTTATGCAGTTGAAAGGACTTCGCCTTTGTTGAGAGCGGCCGTTCTCGAGCTGCCCACCTCTCCGATCAACCCAAGGTTCAAAAATTTGCTTAGGACCCAGTTCTGCAAGCGCACCGGCCAAAATCGACTGACTCGGACGATAGTGCTCATTGGTGCCGTGGTGAGGTATGCTCCGCTACTTGAAACCGGCCGGTGGTCGCGTCCCTGTCGATATGCTCGATGATGCGCCGCGCCAGGTCTTCGGGACTCATAGTTTTACCCATCTGCCCAAAAGCTGCTCTTAGGCAGACCAAGTCCTGCACATGGCTGTAGAAGCCATCAGCCTCAGGTTCCGCAGACTTGGCGCGCTTCTCTACGCTAGCGATCGCATTTTCTCCGAACCGCGTCAACACCTTCCCAGGTAGGACGGCGATCACCTTGACCCCGAGCGGTCCCAGCTCGAGGTGCAAAGCATCGGACAGAGACCGCATGACGGACTTGGATGAGTCGTACGCCGCGCCAAAGGGAGAAGTAATGAGGGCTGCAATGCTTGCGATGTTGACGACGGTGCCTGCTCTGCGCGGCTTCGCACCCTTCAAGCTGCCTCGCGCTGCAGATTTTCGAGAGGCAGGTAGCATGTGCCCTGCGACAATGGCCTACGTGAGGCGAAGCACACCGAAGAAATTTACTTCGTAGGTTTCGCGGAAGGAAGAGAGAGGCACCTCGATTGTCGGGCCAACTGAATTGTCAATCCCGGCATTGTTGACGAGAAGGTCCGAGAGAGGCGAACGGTATGGAAAGGTAGTATATGCTGGTGAAGAGCTGCGGAAACATTGCAAACGAAGCGTACGCCATCACCGACCGATGCTACCACACTCGTCGATGACCCTCTGCACGGCGGCATCCACGCTTTCCTGGCTTGTCACATCCAGCTGGAGCTACCTCACATCAGTTCGCAGGCCAGATATTCTACTGATATCGCGAGCGGTAGCGTAGACGATGTATCTCCCTGTCGCATGCAGCTGTACGGCGAGGGCATGGCCGATACCATCGACAGAACAACCAGTAATGAGAGCGACATGCTGGCACGAGCTTGCCTTGCCCGATGCCATCTTGCCGTGAGGTCTTGCGGAATGGGCTCACCAAGTTCTCTTCTCATGCGTAGGGCTCAGATGGACAATGAGGATTCGCTCGCCGCAGGGAAAGTGGGCTTAACGTATCACAGTGGAAAGCCGACTGCACACTTGATTGCATCCAGCAGAGTCATACAATACTTAAAGCCCAGCCGAACATCGCAGGAGACACACTGGGGGTGGAGCGTGAGGGTGGATTCGCACCTCTGGTGGCCTCGGGAGGAACGGATGCCTAGCCAACTTTTGGCTGGGCATCTGCTTGCATAAGTAGCAGCCTTGTGTGTGTCATGGAAGTATATGTCACACCACAGTAGTCTACACCAGTCAAGCGCCAAGCGTGCAGCTTATGAAAGCCGAACACCGGTTTGAATTCAGCAAGAACCTGTGACAAAACTGCCACAAATGGGGCCTGCCTGCACTTTTTCCGGCCAACTTAGGAAAGGTTCAGATGTTGATCGGCGACGTTTGAATGTGCTGACGTAAAGTCACTTTGTGCAGGCATCCACATTGTAATCGGTGCAAGTCGGTGACTTAACCCATTCCCCGAGAAATTGATGCGCTCGCAAGCGGACTTATTTTTATCACATCAGCAACATGGGATGAAAGTCACATTTATTGAATGACATAGCTCCACCCTCATTCATTGCAATCTACGGGCGTTGAGCTGAATTTGACATTGTCATAACGACGTTCAAGGAACGGCCTCGAGAACATTGACACAACATGTCACAGCAGCAGCTCAGCGTGCCATTGCTACCAGTTCTGGAGGGCGGCGTGCTGCCCTCGCCAACAGAGCTCGCCATCTTCGCACGCAGCGTCCCCCTTGTCATCCCCTTCGCTGCGCTCAAATCCGCGTTCTCGCAGCTCAAGCCCAAAGGCGGTAATGGTTCAACTAGGCAGCAAGCATACATCGTCAGCCTGGATGAGACTTCGACCGAGAGCGCAGCAAGTGACATCCTCAATGATGGCGCCGAGGTTGTCTTCACACCCAATGGCGACCTCCTCGAGCATGGGCTCCCTGCCGAGCGAGTCGTCCTATCCATCTCTCCCGACACGGCGTTGCCGCTATCAGACTTTCTGGAAAAACACTCTGATTTAGCGGGACTCCATGTTACTTTGCCAGCGGGTCTGCAAGCTTCATCAGCACAAGCCGGCGAGCTGCTCGCCAGTTACAGCAAGTTGTTGGACACTAAGAAGACTGGCAAAGCTCTCTTTGTCTCCTTATCTGCGGGACAAACTGCCTCCGTCGAAGATGTGAAACTCCTTGCTTCCACTTACAGCGCATCTCTTCTCGTCGCTTCCACCCTGCTATCGTTCTCAGAGAACGTAGATCAGACACCATCCGACAAGCTAGACTTTGCCACTGCATTCTTCTCGCCTTTGGGGTCCGATCGCACCGACGGTCTGTTCCCCACGATTGTAACTTCGACGCTCGGCCAATCTCTGGGACTTGTCTACTCGTCTCAAGCATCTCTTCGGGCCTCCCTTCTCAGCGGCTGCGGAACTTATCAGTCGCGCAATCGTGGATTGTGGCAGAAGGGTCTGACAAGCGGGGCCACCCAGCATGTCCGGCAGATCCGATTCGACTGCGACTTTGATGCAATCGAATTCCGAGTCACACAGAATGCGGGAAAGAATGGCGAGAGCTTCTGCCATTTGCCGGTCAGGGACTCATGCTTTGGCCCCCTCACTGGCCTCGAAAGGCTGCAGCACACGATCCAGCAGCGCAAAAGGAACGCGCCGGCCGGATCTTACACTGCGCGGCTCTTCAGCGATGAACAGCTACTCGGCGCAAAAATCAGGGAAGAGGCCCAAGAGCTGATCGATGCCAAGGATGTCGACAAAGAACACGTCGCATTTGAGATGGCGGACTTGATGTACTTTGCCTTCGTTCGCTGCGCAAAAGCTGGCGTCACTCTCGAGGATGTGGAGGAGGCGCTTGAAGGAAAAGCCAAAAAAGTGCAGAGGAGGAAGGGAGATGCCAAACCGGCTTTTGTAAATGGTGGCTCTGCAGCAACTGTCGCCACAGCAGCCCAAGCAGCTCCTGCAAGCACGGAACAAGGATCCACGCCTGCTCCGTCCGACGATATCAAGATGGCCTCATATCGCCTGTCGGATCTCTCCCCGCAGCAAAAGATCGATCTGCTCAAGCGTCCGTCGATCAAATCTGGCGCTATCATGGATATTGCGCGGCCAATTCTATCTGCCGTACGCGAGCGTGGAGACGCAGCGCTGCTCGAATACACAGCCAAGTTCGACCGCTGTTCGTGCCTTAAGTCACCCGTCCGTTTCCCTCCGTTTGTCGATGACGAAGTCATGCGCAAGATCAAGCCGGAAGTCAAGAATGCCATCGATGTCGCATATCGAAATATCCATGCCTTCCACAAGGCACAGAAGGCTACGACAGGCAACAAAAAGGCAGAGGAAGCCGGTTGTCAGGCAGCTGGTATAACAGGCGCGTTCGAAGATGCAGAGGACGCAGTCCTGGAGATGGAGACTCAGCCTGGTGTGGTTTGCAGACGTTTTGCTCGTCCGATCCAGCGCGTTGGTCTCTATGTGCCGGGTGGAACCGCCGTCCTACCTTCCACGGCGCTCATGCTTGGCGTGCCGGCCAAGGTTGCTAAATGCCCGACCATTGTGCTCGCGACCCCTCCCCGTCAGGATGGAAGCATCGCTCCGGAGGTGTTATATGTCGCGTCCCTCGTAGGTGCCACTTGTATTCTGGCTGCCGGTGGGGCACAAGCGGTCGCTGCAATGGCGTACGGCACGGAGACTGTGCCCAAGGTGGACAAGATCGTCGGTCCTGGCAACCAGTTCGTCACCGCTGCCAAGATGATTGTACAAAATGAGACGGATACCCTCGTCAGCATCGACATGCCCGCCGGTCCAAGTGAAGTGCTGGTCATCGCAGATGCAAGCGCCGACCCGGCTTTCGTGGCAAGCGATCTCCTCTCGCAGGCAGAGCATGGCCCGGACAGCCAGGTAGTGCTCGTCGCTATCGCATTGAATGAAAGTCAGCTCAAAGCCATCGAACGTGAGCTGGACACGCAGGCAAAGCGACTGCCTCGCGTAGGGACAGTGCGCAAGGCGATCGAGAAGAGTGTCACAATCGTGGTCAATGACCGCAAGCAGGCCATCGACTGGAGCAATGCCTATGCACCCGAACACCTAATTCTCCAAGTGGAGGATGCGGAGGAGATGGTCAAGAGCGTCGAAAACGCCGGCTCTGTCTTTGTCGGAATGTGGTCTCCAGAGAGGTGAGTTCGACTAGCCGGTGCTTGTATACACTACTGCTTGTGTGCTAACGATGCGTTTACTGACTCACGCAGTTGTGGAGATTATGCATCCGGCACGAACCACACGCTGCCAACGTATGGTTTCGCGCGGCAGTACTCGGGTGTCTCAACGTCCACCTTCGAGAAGCACATCACCAGCCAATCGCTCACATCCGAAGGGCTGCAGGGCCTTGGTCCTCACGTTGTTCATCTCGCCGAATGCGAAGGGCTCGAGGCCCACGCCCAAGCGGTTCGGGTTCGCTTACAGGCCTTGCAAAAGAGAGCCACAGCTTGACTTCCCCCGCAACACCTTGAAATAGACTTTTGAAATGCAAAATGTTCGATGTAGCTTGCGATTCAAATAAATGGAAAAGTACAAATACACTAGTCGGACGAATCAGGTCAATGGTCTCAGCAGGTCCCGAAGGTGAGCGGTTGCCTGGAGGTAGAGATAGCACGTCCTTCAGCCACGCAGCGTTACGCTGAAATGTTCATGGGCTGAGCAGCGTAGTGCGTTGATGCGTCAATGATGCTCAATTCTCCTTGTTGACTTCTTCACATGCATCGATCCATAGACTGAAGAAGCGTGCGAGTTGGAATGAGTGCGAAAGAGAAGGCATCAAGGGAAATAGACTCACGAGTACACGTCAATCGGCTCGCTCAGAGCGTCAGTATCATGGCTCCATTCCTGGCCGCAGACCTTGCACTTGAGGTAACCGATGCGAGCGGTAGTGTCTCTACTAGGGGTTTTTACACAGTCAGCACGAATAACAAGTACGGCAGCTAGTCAGCTTCAGGGAGAGGTGGAGGCGAACTTACATCTTGCAGGTCACCGCTTTCGGATGGTTGCAGAACAAACAAGTGAATTGAGTCTCTGTACAGTTCAATACCAGTCAGTAGTCCATCTAAAGCGTGACTTTTTCACTCCGTGGTGTCTCTACCAGCGTTGAAATGGCAAAGAACACCCCGGCAAGATGGAAAGCAGCACAAGTTGGCGATGCAGCGTTAACCACACTCACCCAAAGGCTCCCGCTTCTTGGATCCTTGCGGCTTCCGCGACGATTTCCGCTTGCCCATGGCGTGGAGAAAAGATGCCAGCCAGAGCAGACCAGTTCCGTTGATGGCAAAGAGTACCTGATACAAGGCGGCTTGCGCTGGGTGCAGTTGGGCGAGATGTAGTCCGCGAGAAACAAGCTAATAAGCTTGTCACGAAACGTCCAACTCCTTTTTGAAGGAGTCTGGAGTGGCTTCGAAGTTCGGATAAGCCTGAGCGGATTTGCGCAAATTACACTGCTTCGAGCCTGGCTTCCACGTCATTTATCATCCTTTCCAGGGAAATCAGCACGCCGATTGAGTCAATTCTCAAGCTGCAGGAGCTTTCGGATGCAAGTCCATCTTAGTAATATATACACTTGCCTTTCAGTTCCAAGGCCACGTTTGCTCGGCAACTGTTCGTGGGCTTGTATTGGCTGCGTTGTTGCTACTGCCAAAATCACGCCCGAGTACGAGCAGAGCTTTTCCATTCCAAATTGCAGAGGTGGATCGCATCTTCCATCGCTGAGCATGCGCTAGAGTGCTTACAAGCCTGCGGGCGCCGCCTCCTCAAGAAGCACTCGTTCGAGTCTTGCCAGGAGCAGGATTCGCGCCGAGACAGTGCCTGTGTCATCAGGAAGGCATGGCGTACCAGCCTTCGGTTAAGCAGCAGGAAGCGTCCGGCCATGCGGACGCTCCTGGCTCAGCTCCTCGATCCTCAGTACCTGACATTCCGGGTGTACCCGCTCCGGACAAGGTCCAATGGGATCTAAGAGAGCACGTCGCGCGATTGTGCGGTCTAAGAGACGCAAGGTAAGCATGCAAATCGGCCTACTTCCTGGTCAATAGACGGCCCTATCAGCTAATCAATTTTGTATTCTGTATAATGCTTCAGGTTTCCTGGCGCACAGCCCGTCTCGTTTGAGAAGCGGACGATTGAGGACCTCATCAACGAGGACTTTTGGGTCTGCGAGAAATCGGATGGCCAAAGAGTCCTTGTGTTCATTGTCATCAATCCAACCACGGGGCGGCAAGAAGTGTTTTTGGTAGGTGCAAACGATCAGCACTCCGGATGATGGCTTTAACGCTGAACACGATGAGAATGTATTTGCTTGCTTTCAGATCAATCGAAAGAACGAATACAAGAGGGTGGACAATATCTATTTTCCGAGCCCTCCCGGCGCGCATTTGGCCCAAGCGAACAATACCCTGCTGGATGGCGAGCTTGTGTGGGATACTGAGAAGAGTGGAAGAGTGAGTGCTGTGAACTGTATGGATTGCCATGCAACGCCGTGAGATATGCTCATTGACGCTTTGGATGGACAGCGAGTGTTGAGGCTGCTCTTGTTCGACGCCTTGATCGTACAAGATGACAACATTATGCAGAAGGGTTTAGGAAGACGATATGGAGTGAGTCTTCGCTTTCATCTGCAAAGATGGTTCAAAGCTGACACAGCTCTCACCAGCGACTGAGAACGCTCGTGTTCGAACCGTTCTTCAACTACATGGTCAAGCACCCCGAAGCAGTGGCTGCTGCACCATTTGAGTACGTCATTGCTAGCCACTGGCCGCTCCGACTCTTCTAACGATGCGCACTATTCCTACAGAATCAAGGTCAAGCCAATGGACCTCAGCTATCACATCGAACACGTACTCAATAACCGAATACCCCAATTGAAGCATGGCAACGATGGCTTGATCTTTACCTGCTGGAACAGCAACTACAAGACTGGGACAGATCCCAAAATGTGAGAGACTTTACAGTCCAAAGAAACATTTACTGACCCTATGTTTCTGCAGTCTCAAATGGAAGCCGCCGTCAGAAAACAGTGTCGATTTCAAGCTACGATTGCGGTTCCCGCCAGACGCTTGCGGCAAAGTTCCTGACCTGACCGCCAAACCATTTTTCCAGCTTGATCAATGGATGGGAGGCCGCGGAGGCGGACCAGGCGGTTCCTATCAGTACTTTGATTGGACGGATGTATCTGATCCCGAGTGGGAGGAAATGAAGGCGAGCGGACTTCAATACGACGACGCGGTAGTCGAGTGCGTCTGGGTAAACGGAGGAGAACGGGAAGTGGATGGCATGACAGGAGAGGAGACCGTTCGCCCGCCAAGATGGGTCATCAAGCGCATACGTGACGACAAGAGGGACGGGAATCACGCGAGCATCGTCAAGGCGATCCTCAAGAGCATCGTGGATGGCGTGGAAGCAGAAGAGGTATGCTTACTTGATGACCACCTCGCGGCATTGTGCATTTCTGAATGATTTACTCGTCTCGCAGCTCATCGAAGCGGTCCCTCAAATACGAGCTGCATGGAAGTCACAGCTACGTACAGACTTTCGCGAGGGACGGATTGGGCCAGAAGCCGTAGCCGAGGGCGGCCATGACCCCGTCATCGGTCCAATTAGAGGCGGCCCTGGTCCGCCGATGCGAGAAGGGGGGTCAATACCCAGTTTAATCAGGCGATGAGACTCGCCATGTTGCGGACGCCGATTCGTGCATTCCATGTACAATAGCGCCCCTTTGCATGTAACCTCATCAGTTGTTCCATTACCATCTTGGTGTACACGTCCGCAGAATGGGAATGCGCAGTTTCGCGTCTCGATAAAAAAACGCGTCGCGCCGGCCAAAACTCATTCTGCGCTTCTGCACACGCAGTCCTAATCTTTCATGCCAAACATACCTTAAACGAGTTAATCGAAGAAGCGCAGAACAAGATGTGCGCATGTTAGAAACCACTACCTCACAGCACTTGCACTTGCTCGAGGCTTTATCACCGCGGGGGGCCTCGCTGTTTGAGATGAAATCGAATGCGGGCGTGATCCACTGAATGGCAGCAGACATTGCTTCGAATGACCGGTAGTCAGAGCGCAGGGTCGTCGAGGCCAGCTCGGAGTTCGTCACCATGGGTGTCAAGGGGTTATGGCAGCTCATCGAGCCCATAGGGCGGCCAATCCGTCCCGAGACGCTCGAAGGACAAAAGCTGGCCATCGACTCGTCCATCTGGCTTTACCACTTCCAAATGGCTATGAGAGACAAGACGGGAAAGACATTCAAAAATGCTCACATCCTCGGTTTCCTGTGGCGCATCCTGAAACTCTTGCATCTTGGCATCAGGCCCGTCTTTGTGTTTGATGGCGGTGCACCTGCTCTGAAGAGAAAGACTTTGGTAGGTCTTGCTTTGATTTCTTGCTTTTGGGTCTGTCATTGCTGAAGTTTCTTGCTGCTTCGTCAAAGGCCGGCCGGCGAGCACGAAAAGCTGGTGCACAAGAATCACATGCAAAGACTGCGTCCAAGCTTCTCAATGCGCAGCTCCGCGAAGCGGCTTACAGACATGTTATTGAGCAGAAAGATAAGCAACGCGAAGCAGCGGAAGCAACCCAAAAGCGCCGCTGGAAAGGCAGCGATGAGGCAGTGGAGGGGGAAGAAGCATGGGAGCCTGACGATGAGCGCTATGACGGCGATAATAGCGTCGAAGAAGCGCTTAGAACTGGACTGCAAGAAGACCTAGGGGGAAACGTCGTCTACTTTGATGATCTCATGGCACCCAACGCTGGAAGCTCTACTCAACGCGGTGCTCATCGCAGTGCATCTCGGCCCCCACTCCGAACATCCGCTAGCCCGTCTAAAGGCGACGAGACCCCGGACGAGGCCAGCCCCAACAAGGCAAGAAAGAAAGACTGGCACAAGGATCCATACGCACTCCCACCTCTCGAAGCGAATCTATCCACCATCGGCTTGCGTTCTGCTTCCCGTGCGAACGGTGGCGACGTCAGTAAAGCAAAGTTTAAGCGCCCAAAGAAAGATTTCCGGTACGCTACCGAATCAGAGCTGCGCGCCATGATGTCGTCGCTACGTCCCGAAGACCTCAGCACCACGTCTCCATTTTTCTCGCAGCTCCCAGTTGCACTTCAGTATGAGCTTGTTGGTGACATGCGTGCCCAAAGCCGTGGGACATCGTACAAGCGCTTGCAGAGTATGATCGCTGCTGCGCCGACTGCGGCCGACTTTTCTAAGCAGCAGGTGCTCGGCTTGAAGACACGCAACGACTGGACTCAACGTGTGCTCGAGGTCACCGACCAGATCGGCAGCGCCAACATCAAAGTCAACGTCATCACCGACAAGGGCAGGATCGCGGGCAGCAGAGGCAAGGAATATGTGCTCGTTCGGAATGAGAAGGACGGCGGTTTTGTGCTCGGTCGCAGGGCTGGGGAGGGGGGCACCAAAGAGAAGGCGATTGATCTTGAAGAGCTCGAACGCGGACAGAGGGATGACGAGCTCATCGGCAGTGAGGACGAGGAAAATGCAGGCGGCGCTGCCAAACGGCGGCGGCTGGCAAGTGGAGGGGAAGCCAGGCATCTAAATGATGTCATGACCGACGAAGAAGAATATGAAGAAGTATCCTCAGCCGGTCATGCTCGCGCCTCGGCGTCTTCGCCCGCCAAAATCTCTTCCACGGATCTCGACAACGTTTCCAAGTCGCAACGTCAACAGCTCGCTACTTTGCTTGAAGACGGCGAATTCGATGTCTTTGCTCGCAAGGAGGTGGCCATGCAGCTCATTTGTCAACGGGCAAAAGCGCACGCCAAGCAGGGCAGACGTGAAGCTGGCGTCAGGTCGATTGCGGACGTCCTTGATGATGAAGAGGCCTGGGAGGAGGCGGGACGTGCGAGAGGCAATTCGACGCGCCAGCAGGGGTCTCGCTTAGGCTTGTTTCGCGCTGTTCCAGTCGCTTCCAGAGCGGATGGCGCCATCGATATTGTGGATAGTGATGATGAGCTCAGAGAAGGCGCAGAAGAAGTCGCTGAGTGGGAAAACCAGGACGCCTTGTTTTCTGACATTCTTGCCAACGGCACTGCACATCTCGCACTCCCGAATTCGGTTCCTGGGGCAGTCCAACCGGACGACGATGACAGTCTCGATGATTTTTCAGCAGACCTGTACGAGCCTGCTTTAGAGGATCGGCAGGCGACGTCAGATGTTGCGAGCGGCGTTGGGGGACCGCAGGAGTTGAAGGAAGTGACTGCGTTTGAAGAAGTCGAAGGTAGCGCGACTCTGCGAATATCTTCATCACAATCGCGAACCAGTTCATCTACTCAGGCGAGGAAGCACCTCGTGCCAATAGATGAGCAACCACAAGGCATCTACGGTGGCAACGCAGCTCTCGGCTTCCGATACGCAGACAGAGCCGGCGTGCCAGATCGTTTGAAGAACAGTCTTTTCGTCCGTGACGAACAAAGAAGGAAAGATTTTGAAGAAGATCTTTACGTTTCTGAAAGACCTCATGCGAGTAATTCACCAGGCAAGTCGCCAAGCAAAAACACGTCAACAAGCGCTCGGCCAATAAGGAGGAGCTCCAGTACTATCAAAACGGCACAGCATGATGCAATCGCTCGTACTATAGCGCCTCGTCCTACAGCCACAGGGGTGCTCGAATCCACGTTTACGGTAAAGCAAGCCCAGCCCGCCGTTGCGTCCGAACTGGTTCAGCAGAACTGTGACACACCTGCAGCATCAGGAGATGCTTCACATGGATTTTTTTCGGCACTCGCTGCTCTTCAGACAGGCAGTTCACCGGTATCCCCTACCGCTGTACATGTGATCAAACCGTCGGAGGGGATATCTAGCCGAAATGCGGGGGTTCAGGAAGCGCAGACAGGACCGGTTGACAAAGGGCTGAATAGCCGCAAGGTTGAGGAGGACATGGTCGTCATCGCCAAGCGACAGCCTGAACCAGGGCTTACTGATAACGATCACATTCACGAAAACGAAGACGTTCGAGAAGACCAAAAGACTCGTTTTGCAGAAGTCGTTCCGGAAAGCTTCATGGAAGGGCCTGTCACACAGACAAGCCCTAGAACCGCTGCCGAACCGGCAGCTGATGATGGCCATAATATCAGCTCTTCGTCCTCGAAGGGCACAACCGCAACAGACCGGCCTTCTGCCGGTATACAAGAGCTGAGCGGAAATATGACAAACAAACATAAGGCGCATCTTCTCGAGAATCCACAAGCAGCTATTGATTTGGACGAGATAGCTCCCGACTCAGAGACGGTAAGCTGCGCAATGACACGCTTGCATGGTGCGCTGTCCTGCTCACGAAGTTTTGTTTCTGGACCCGCAGGAACAATCACATAACTCGACCAATGCCTTCGTCTTTAGTCCAAATGTTTGCTCGGACGATGAAAAAGGCAACGAAAACGAAAACGAGCCAGAGTCAAGACAAGGTTCAGTGGCTGCGTCGCCTGAGCCTGTCATGCTCGGCGCCGATGGCTTTCCGCTTCCGACCCTGGAGGAATTGGACGCGGCAGACGAGGACGACGAGGATCTTGAGGGCTTGGTGCAAAGAGAGACGCAGGGCCTTGCCTCCATTCTCAAGCAACAACAGCAGCCTTCTGGCCAACGTAATAAAACATACAGACAGATGCAGGCCGAAGCAGAGACGGAGGTCAATTTGCTCAAGGAGCAGCACGCGGCATCGCGACGCACTGAGGAGGACGTCACGTTGCAGATGGCATTAGACGTTCAGTATATGCTGCGTCAATTTGGCATTCCTTACATCACTGGTCCAATGGAAGCAGAGGCGCAATGCGCCGAACTTGTTCGGTTGGGTCTCTGTGACGGTATTATAACGGACGACTCAGACGTCTTCCTATTTGGTGGCATGCGGGTCTTCAAAAATATGTTCAACGACAATAAAACCGTGCAATGCTTTGTCATGAATGATTTGGACCGCAATGTCGGACTGGACCGCAGGAAGCTCATCCAGCTTGCGCACCTACTCGGTAGTGACTACACAGACGGTCTCGATGGCGTGGGCATTGTTCTGGCCATGGAAATCCTTTCCATTTTCTCGGGGGAGGATGGGTTGATCCGTTTCCGCGACTGGTGGCTTCTTGCACAGCAAGGCGCAGACAAGGACTACTTCCCTCCTGGTGACTGGGATGCCGGAGAACGCAAAGAAATCCGCTCACGACTATCTCGCATCAAGAAGACGCTGATCAAGAAGGTGCATCTAACGCCAGAGTGGCCCGACACCCGCGTAGCCGAAGCCTACCTCGAACCCCAGGTTGACCACAGCGAAGAACCCTTCGCTTGGGGTGTACCAGATCTGGAACAAGTCCGCCAATGCTTGATGCACTTCCTCGGTTGGTCCGTGGAAAAGTGTGATCAATACGTGCTTCCCGTCTTTGAGCAGATGCACCGACGTGGACGAGCACGTGGACAAACTACCCTCGGCGACGGCTTTTTTGACAACACTGCAGGTCTTGGTCACTACGCACCACGAGAACGTATTCAGTTCGGCTCCACGCGCTTGCAGCAAGTTATCAACGGCTTCCGTGCCTCTGAGAAAGGAAAAGTATGCGTTGAGTCTAAAATGGTAGACTCGGATGAATCTAGCGTTGAAGCGGTCGATGCCAATGGCACTTCGGCACCTCGTGCTGACCGTGGCAAGAGGAAGCGTTCCGGGGGAAGAGGGAGCGCCAGCGCAGCAAGAAGCTCTGCCAGATCCACAGCAAGCGCCAGAGGCAGGAAAGCAAACCGGAGCAAAGGCAAGGGCGGAGCCAATGCAGCCACCGCTGCGCAGGAAACGCGGAATCGCTCCGATTTTCAAGAAGGGAATGGAGGCCAAGGCGACAGCAGTCTGTCGCCAGACATGGAAGAAGTCACTGAAGCAGTCGAACAGCCATTTCTACGGACTGGTAGTCTTGGAGGCTCATCGCAGAGGGGCAGAGAAAGAGGCGCTCGTGCTGATAATCTAAACATGGCTCGAAATATGTCCTTAGACGACATTCATACCTTGCCAGCTGGGCGGACGCCACGGATTTCCCCAGACGGATCGGGTCGATCACCAGCGCCAGCGAGCGGATGCCGGCCATGATTTGTGAATAAAATGTATCAAATAAAGTCTGATTTTGTAGCCAAGACCTAGACCAAGTATTATTCGAGTTCAGCATTCGTCCATCCTTTAGCCCCAACGTACGTGACGTAGGGTATCAAGGCAATGACCCGACTAAAATACAGCAGCAACTTGAGAGCCAAAGGCCTTGGCGGAAGAAGCCGGAGGTCAACTGGCTCGACGCGAAGAGGTCCTAGGCGCCTGGTGAACTGGAAAGAGTGGCAGAGTGTTAGAAGAAAACACGCGGGATGCGAGCGCCATGGCGGCCGCCGTTGCTGGTGTTGACGTTGCAGCTGCCAACTGGAAAACAGCAGGGAGAGTGGCAAGGAGTGCAAGAATCTTAAGATTTGTGCAGACGAGTACGCTCAAATTGGAAAGCGACTGGTAGATCAGAGGTTAGTCTGGTCGCTATGTTGCCTGCTTAGACATGCCGCTGCTCGCCAGACATCTCAAGTCCCAGATGGCAGTATTGATCGGGGGCAGAGTACGGGAAAATTTGGTCTTCAAGAGCCAGCGCCCGACAGAGAGGAAACGGCAGTTGGCATGGCGCAAAGCAAAGTTTGTAGGCTCGTATAGACATTTGTACAGATGAGCTGGTTGCTGTTGTTAGCAGCGCCAAAAAAAAACGTGCGCGTTGCACTGGTGCATATGAAGCTTACAGCAAGGTGTGAGGAAAGGTAGGCACCACGCCTAAGGGCTGAATAAAAAGCGGACTATTCGCGCTAGTCCACACACGCGGCGGGGAGGCTCCCTCGAGTCTCATGCGGGAACCCTAATCGGCGCGAAGAGGCTTTTAAAGCCGATCAGAGCCTACGCATTCAAGATTGATATCCAGCTCAGCGGCTCCTGGATCACGCTGTTGGTGACGTTGGACGACATTCGTTGTCTTCCGGTCGCATGCACGACTCCATCCTGTAATTAGTCATCGTCCAACCGCATATGCTGCCGGGCGGAAGGAGTTGAACCAAGAGCTGAATGGGCCCTGCCAGTGGAATGATCGCGACGCAAGGCTTAGCCCTGCTCGGGCGTTCGCGGTCGTCACCTTGCTGTCGCTGTTGTGCCTGGCCTACAATTGCGCTGAGAGCAACTTCCGTGAGGCCATGGAGTAGCATGCACTCAGACGCTTCCCGTGCACGCTCCTCTTATACAACTTCCGGGTGGCCCAGCCGTGCCGGAAAGCATAGTCGCATCCGTCTAGTTCTATTTGATGCATTCGACACGCTCCTGAAGCCACGCAAACCGCCACACGAGCAGTATGTGAGTGGTCGACTTGAGGCCAAGTAAAAGTAATCTGGGTCAACAAGGGTCCCTCGTTTGGCACTCGCAGCTGAAATTCGGCTCCAATCGTAGGCAGAAGAAGCGCGCGTGCATCTTTCTGGGATACTTCCCCCAGTTGCTCTGACTGATGAGGCAGTCAAAGCGTCATTTCAAGCAGCGTTCAAGCGCACGTGGAAGGAGCACCCGCTCTATGGTGCTCATACTGGACTGGTGGAGAAGAGATGGCCAGATGAGTGGTGGAGGCTCGTGATAGAAAGGACATTCCCCCTTGATGAAACTTCGAAAGGGACGGACACTGATGCAGCTCGATCTCGATCGATAACAAGATTACAGGACGCCCTTCTGGACCGATTCGCATCGTCTAAAGCATACGAGTTATTTGAAGATACTCTGCCTGCTTTTCAAGCGTTGCAAGATATGACGGTGCAGGTCGGCATCGCCAGCAATAGTGATAGCCGAATTCTTGACGCCATGCGTGCGCTACGTCTGGATCACTTCGTCAACCTTGATCTCGAGGGTCCTGGAAATTCTGCATCAGCAGAAAGCAGCGCTATCACCAGTCGCGGCCCGCCGCCGATCCTCTCTTACTCGATACTTGCGGAGAAGCCCTCGCGCAAGTTCTTCGAGATTGCTGTCCAGCGTGCAACGTCGTACATGTCGGCGGCGTCGTCCGCATCGTCGCAGCATGGCAACAGTGACGCATTGAAACGCAGCCAGGTACTCTTCATCGGCGACCACCTCCTGGAAGACTTTCGCGGTGCCCGAGATGCAGGCCTGCAGAGCCTGTGGATCAGACGCGGCTTTCGGTATTCTAGTGAGCTTCAGAGCACCAGTCGAAAGGGTCCCGGCGCGCATAGATCCGAGAGCAGCTCCTACGATGGGCCGCACAACGAAGAGGCTGAACGCATTTTCAAAAAAGAAGGCCTCACCGAGGAGGAGCGGACTAGGGTGGTTACCAGCCTGGGCGAGGCGGTGCAATGGCTAAAAAGGTACAATGGTGATGTTTGAGGGTTTATAACAGATATATATATTATAGATTCTAATTAACCCGCATCGAGGACTACCTAGCTATGCTAACTTGGCCTTGTCGGTTATAGCACTGCTTTCCCTGCAATATCAGCCTTCGAGTGAGAGGGTACCACGGGAATATTCCAGATGCCGACGCCTTTCGGCTCCCCTAGGTTGCGCTCTACCACCTCGTTTGGAATTTCCCCTCGCATTGGCACGCCGCTGGGTGTGACAAAGCCTGCGACGCCCTCTTGCAGCCCGGCGTCAGTCGATATTGATGGAATGGCATCTTTGACAGAGAATAGACCCGGAATGACTTGCAACGTCCACTCTGTAAAGAAGCGTATTGCTTTGATTGGTTCTACCTTTGATGAGAACACCTTTGAGATCAAAAAAGGGCTGCGCAAACAAGAGCGTATTCAGACAATGTAGGTCCTTCGCAGAGGAGTGTTCGTGGGAGCTCACAAGTCACTAAAGTCCGTGTGCTTAGTCCCACTTAACGTTAAAAGCCAGCTCTTACCCCGCATGTGCTCGCGCGTCCGCTGGACGACGCTGCGCAACAGCTTCATGTGTGGTACCCAGATAGTAAATGCTTCGCTCTGCCGTCACGTGGTAAAATAGAGGCGTCAAGAAATATTCGGCTTCCCGCATGAAGAAGCGGTAACGAATGAACGCTCACATTAATTACGTAGGTTTCCTTGCTCAGCATTATTTCTGGACCCAAGCGACCGCGTTTATCGCTCTGCAGCGGCTCGAGCCACGGGTCAAGCAGAACGATTCGGCCAAACGGACACATCTCTTCTGATTTTGAGGTCGCACTCGCATCTTGCTCCGGTGCTGCATGTCCGGCCTGCATGACAAGGTCGACAGCGGTTGCAGCGCCGAAGCTGTGACCTATCAGCGTCGCTGCCTCTACGTTCGCATCGGCCTGGTCGTTGCAAAGTTGCAGCCGTCCGCTCCAAGCCTCGCTCAGCCGGGCTCCAGCACCCTCACCTCGCTGCACATACGGAGCGCTAACGTCCAAGACCGATAGCGAAGAGCCGACTGAAGAGGTCGAGGCGTTGATAGCGCGCAAGACGTGATGTACTTCCAATAGCTCCGCCCGCCGCAGAGCAAGCTGTGCACGGCGCCAGCTCCACATATCGGGACCCTCAGCGGTAGGCTCCTCGATTTGAATGTCTGATATTGATTCCGTGCCTGCTGAACTCGAGGACGGTGCAGAGTTGGACTGCAGTTCGTCGAAATTCATGTAGATTAGCCCTTCTTCTTCTACTTGCGAGCATTTTGATTTATTCGGTGTGCTTCCAGATGAAGAACTGACAACTCGTGAGACAGTAGTGTATGGGCAGGTCCGATCACGGTGCTCGACAGCAGCGACGACGACCCCATGGCTGGCGAGCGAGGCGCAATACTGCGAGTAAGTCGTCCGCATGCCGCCGAGCCCATGACTGAAAACGGCTACTGGCCATTGCGACGGGGTTGATGCGCTGCCTGCGGAGGACGGCGGTGAGAGGAGGGGCTGGTCTTTTGCGAGAGGGAGCTTGGAGAAGAAGGCGCTGTAAGCAGGCAAAACGGCGGGAAGGGCAAAATACTTGGAGATTCCGGCGCTGAAAGGGATCGCATGTTACAGAGTCGGTTCACATCAGTGATCGATTCGATGAGGGAGATTATAAAGAAAAGCAGGGTGATTACTATTTCAGGAGCCCTTCGAGTACTTTGAGCCTTGAAGATCCAAGCCAGCCGACCTGTGCAAGTTTCGCGTGGATGGCGGAAGTGGTAGTTGGTTTGCCATTTGTGACATCCTCGCCAGCATCTACCCCGCCCGCCGCACCGTTCGCTCGCGAATAGGGGTAGTAGAGCGTAAAGAGCACCGTCTGCAGCTTTAGCGCCGCCTTTCCCGATGGCAAGCGAAAATGCGATGCGCTGAATGTTCGAGCCTCACGGACGGGTACCTCGATTTCTAGCGTTGAGACCAGATACGGTCCTGTGGGGGCGGACAGCGGCATCGCGCTTGCGGCGTCGCCTCTTTCTCGCGTTCCCTCCTTCACAGATGGGCCTCGACGGCGAGTGCGGATGCAAAGAAAGGTGGACGCTGTACAAGACTAATAACACCTGTCTCCACTCTTGCCAACAGCCAGCTGTCAGCGGATGAGCATCTCTTTCCAAGTCGAGGAGCAACCACATCAAGTTCGGCTCGCCCCACCTGTTATGCCATGCTACAGAGCCGGTACGGGACCGGAGTTCGGTGGGAACGACCCTTTTTCTCCACAATGTTAAAGGGAAATGCCCGGATCTGCAGAACTCCGGCAATCAATCCGCTCAAGCACCCCGGACTTGCCCGCGATCGAAAGATTTATTATATTAGGGTTGCTACCAACCCATTTTTTTTGGAGTTCCGTTCCGCCCATTCATGTAACCATCAGCACGACTTCTATCGATGCTCTCTGTGCGGTGTGCAAATGTATGGAGGTACCTCCCTTGCTGCCTTTTGAAGTGCTTGGATCTCCTCGTCGATATTCAACATCTGGTACAAGGCGGTGCAACGTCACAGTCTGGTCGACAGACTCTCGTGAGCTAAGTGTGCGCATTCCAAAGGGCTGTTCAGCGAGGCCGCACTACTGAGAGTGGTTTCCGCTAAACCATTATCTGCAGTGGCATTTGCCCCTACCCCGGTGCCTTCAATTCCCATCGAGCTTCGCAACGCTTTGCTGCTCTCTTCGGACAGGCCTGGGCTCGACTCTGATCAACTAGAAAGAGGGCGTACAAGATGCCGCCGAAAAAGGGAGGTGGTGCCCCGAAGGGCGGCGCTTCGTCGAAGCCCGCTGTTGACAAGGTGCGACCCGTGTGACCTTTGCTTCTTCTCGCTTCCCAAGCATGCTGATGCTGCTCGCTTCCTCCCGCTCGCAGTCTTTTGGTATGAAGAACAAGAAGGGTGCAAAGCAGCAAAAACAGATTCAAGTGTTGCAAAAGGAGCTGTCACAGTCTGGCAAGACGAAGGAGCAATTGGCGAAGGAAAAGCAGCGTGAGGCTGAAAAGAAGGCCAAGGCAGAAGCAGAGAAGATGCGGAGGGAGCTAGCAGCGGACATCACGATCGTCCAACCGAAGGTGCCATTTGGTGTCGATCCGAAGACGATCACGTGCGAGTTCTGGAGAGCAGGGAAATGCGACAAGGACCGGAAATGCAAATTTGCGCACTCCCTTGATGCCAATCGGAAAGCGCAGAAGAAGGACTTGTACGTCGACACGAGGGAGCAGGAGCGCGAGGAAAAGGAAGCAGACACGATGGACAAGTGGGACGAAGAAAAGTTGAACAAAGTCATTCTGAGCAAGCACGGAAATCCGAAAAGCACGACGGACAAGGTGTGCAAGTACTTTTTGCAGGCCGTCGAGGATGGCAAGTATGGGTGAGTGTTTGTGTCATCAGCATGAAATTCTTTATTCGCCCAGTGCCTCAAGCTCTCGATTCCATGCAGGTGGTTCTGGGAATGCCCGAATGGCGGCGAAAAGTGCATGTATAAGCATCGTCTACCGCCAGGCTTTGTGCTAAAGTCACAGCGCAAGGAGCAAGAGGCGCTGGAGAAGGCCAACGAGATCTCGCTAGAAGAGTTCCTTGAGGTCGAGCGACACAAGCTCGGGCCGAACCTGACGCCCGTGACGGCGGAGAGTTTCGCCAAGTGGAAGAAGGAGCGCGTGGACAAGAAAGTCGCAGAGGAGGAGGCGCTCAAGGGCAAGAAGGAGCGCCAGGCGCAGATGAACAAGCTCACCGGGCTGTCCGGTCGTGAGATGTTTGAGCTTCAGCCGGACATGTTTGAGGACGAGGAGGACGAAGCTGACGGGGTGGTGAGTTAAACCTACACTGCACGCTTACAAGCGAGTGGGGCGTAACTCATGTTTCTCAGCTGCTGACGCGCTCATTGGCCTGGTACTCTCTGCATCGCAGTTCGACATGCGCGAGTATATCTCCAAGGACTGGGAGCAAGATCGCCAATCGGACGAGGAGCACACAGGGCTTTCGGAGGACGAGGACTGCCAAGACGATGAAAACGAACAGGACGGCGAGGGAGAGGAGCGAGGGCAAGCGAATGGGGATGCGAATGGCGACGCACATGCAGATGCAGATGCGACAGCAGATGACATGCAAAATCTCAACGTCAATGGGCATGGAGATGAAGGCAAGGAGGAGGGCAAACGAAAGGAGTGAAAGCCCAGGCAGTATCCCTTTCCTTATTCGCCCCACTCTTACCCTCCCTCTCTCGATCCTTTCTTCTCACTTGGATCTAGCTGTATTTCTACGCCTGCGCGACCAGCAGTCCTGGATAAAAAAAGCCGCGTTCTGATGATTGCAGATGATCACTGCGCTCCATTTTCACATTGATTCCGATGACGCCTTCTGTACAGCGGCAGCAGCCTTGACTCAGAGCTTCCCCTTTGCATCGACGGCCGCATCAGCAGGCTCGATGCCCCGCTCGCAGACGTCACGCATGAGGCGCAGCGCGCGGACGAGGTTCTGCGCGAAAGCCGTCGTGCTTGTCTGTGCGTTAGCGTGCTTGGACTCCAGGCCGAACTTGAGCAGCGTCCCGCCGGCGAGGTCTGTGCAACAAGCGAAGGGGTAAGTACGTGCGTGTACAGTGAGCGAGAGCGCGGACGTTCTCGTGGGTACGAGAGCGATGCTTCTGCTGCGCTTGGCGCCATGCGAGAGAGACATGCGGCGCAGAGCACAAACTCACAGTTGCAGCCATACCCGTCGTCGTAGCCGGCTCCAAAGCCGGTGCCTGCGAGGCGGTCACCAGCGCTGAGGCCGCTCGTGCTGAGTGTCCATGTCTGGCTCGCGGTGAAGAGGGGGTCGCGGAAGAGCTGTGGCAGGGCGTCGGCGCCGCCGTCAGTCTGCGGGTTGAACACGAGGCGCAGGCCGGTGAGGTGCCTGTCGATGCCCTTGCCTGTGCTGCTCTCGCGCGTTTGCGCGTTATGCGCCTGTGTCGCGGCGGTGAGCAGCCTGTAGAGGGCCTGCATGTCATTCTCATTGCGCTCGCAGCTGCCGCCGCGCAGGAGCGCTTTGACGAACGCGTAGCTCTCGGTGCTGAAAGAGCGAATGACATCGGTGCGACCGTGCTTGAACAGGCGCGTGGACGCCGTCTCGTACGTGGGGACCTGCCAGCCGTGCGTGAGGGCATGGGCAACCTGGAGCGCCTGCTGTAGGTACGCGTCTGGACTCTGCTTGGCGACCTTCTTGATCCAGTCGGCGCCGTACTCGTTGTAGTACAGCACGCGCAGGTCCGTGCCCGCCGAGATGGCAAGCGCGCGGCGAGTCGCAGCGCGAATCTCGGCGTGCAAGGCATCGTCGAGGGTGAAGTCGAGGCGCTTGTGCGCCGCCGCGGGCGCGTCGGAGAGGTCCGCGGGGGATGTCGTGTCGACCGCGGGGAACAGCGCGCCAGGCGGCGGGCAGGGCACGCCCGTTGCGTAGTCGGCTAAGATCGACGGAATGAGCGCGTCGACCGGGCTGTGCTCGCCGTTGATGCCGGCACGGCCGTTGGGCTCAACGACGAGGTTGATGCTCTTGTCAAACCAGCGATTGTGGCCGGCGCGGCCGGCGCCGGAGCAGTTGCGCGCCAGCGCATCGACCCACTCGGGCGAGGCGCTCAATGCGGGCGCCGGGTGCTGCGACGGCAGGGGTAGGACGGACGTGTCCAGCGAGAGCGCAAAAAGGGAGCGTTCGATTGAGCGCAGGGACTGCGCGTTTGCGGGGGACAGCGCGGCGAGCTGCTCGCGCGTGATGGCCCAGCGATCGCGCTCGTCAGCGCTAAGGACGCCGACACCTTCGCCGTCCTCTTCACGCGCCTGGACGTCCTGCACGATGTGGCGGAGCGCGAGCTCGAGCGCCTCGGGGCGGATGATCTTGCCCTCAGCGTCATCGATCACCTGGAGCTCGTAGAAGTGGTTGCGGACGATGACTGTCACGTGGCGTGCGGGCGGGTCGGACCGGTTGGCGGCTGTGCTCGAGACGCCGGCAGCACGCGGCGACGGGCGCGTGTTCCAGTCGTGCGGAAGGGCGGGAATGCGCGTGACGCCATAGACGCTGTTGTACGAGCGGCGCCACCAGACGTCGGACCGGCCTGTCAGTTTTACAGGAGGCCAAGGAGAAGAGAAAAGCGTGAGCATTGTTGTCCTTCCACTCACTTGGTGTACTGGTGCATGCAAAACGGACCTGCCTTCGACGCGTCGGGGAGAATGTCCTCTCTGTATGCGCACGAACAGAGATAAGTTATACGCATCAGTGCATGCTGCAGGTTTTGAAGCACAAGCAGGAGGCCGACGCACCTGTCCAGACGCAGCTTGAATTCGACAAGGCGCCAGGTGAGCCAGGCAGCCCTACGGATTCCAAGCTCCATTTCATCCCATCTCTTTTCGCCCAGCAGTTCCGACACAGGCGGAAGCTCGGTGCCAGCTGCTACAGCTGCTTTTTGTGCTTCCGCTCCTACGGGCAGCGCCTGACCATGGCCCTTGTGCTCGCCGATGGAGGCGTCCGAGGTGGAGAGAAGCGACGGATCGTTAGTCAAGAGCAGCCACCAGTTGGAGTTGATTAGAAGCGGGACGCGCCATTCGTGGTAGGCTTTTTGCAGCCAGAACCGGTCGTCAAGCCAGTTGTTGGGCGTGGTCGAGTCGACGTCTAGGAGCGAAGCGAAAAACAGAGCATGCAGTCAGGTATAAGCAGGGAAGTCATTCTGGAGATGAGGGAAGGGAGGGCGGGGGGACGCACCGACCAGGCGTTGCTGCAGAACCCTGCCGAGCTTGCTCTGGAGCAGCTCCTGCGCCCACTGCTCGCGCTTGTGCATGGCCGCCTCGACGGAGGGCTCTGCAAGCTGCCCGCGCTCCTCCATCTGCTGGAGCAAAGGCTGCAAGCTGCGAAGGTACTTGGCGAGCGTTTGCTCCAGCGGGGGGACTGGCAGACGCCGCAGACGGCTCTGGGCGGCGAGCGTGCGCGGCGGCGGCGCGGCCGGGTCCGAAGGAGTGCCGCGCCACTTGGTGAGGGCGAGCATCGTGTGCGATTTACTGCTGAAGGGGGCACGTTGTGTAATGTAGATGGGCGGGGATGATGAGCAAAAGGGAAAAGAGAACGGTGTAGGGAGAGGGCGAGCAGTGAAAGGATGAGGTCGAGGAGCAAGTAGGCAGGTTGGCCGCGGGTAGAGAGAACGACGGGTCAACGGCGAGGGTGGGCGAGGCATCGCAGCATGGCCTCTTGCTGCTGCTGGTATTCGAGGTGCGGCGAGCCGAGTGAGCGAGTAGATCTGAGGCTCCCCCAGGACCAAAGGCGATGTGTTGTGCTGTGCACTACAACAAGCCAGCCCAATGATGTATGATGCTATACTATATAGTATACCTATAGTATACTATATACCGTGTTGTGCTCCATACTATATATCACTTACTACATACCAACTATACCAACTACTACCCTATGTAACGTGCCGCTGTTGTTCGGTCTTCCGTGAGGGCCGGACAGCGGTGTGTGGCGCTTGTGAAAGCGTGTGTTCGGGGGAGTCCCGTTTTGTGGAACACGGGGCTCGGAAGTCGGAATACGCTGCTTTGAGGCATCGATTCCACTTTGATTCCTCGACAATGAACATTGACACTGACGTTGCAAAGGTAGTCAGATAACCCACTTCCCCTTCCCACGCCAGCACATACAACGAGTCAGCTTGTTGGCAGCACGTTGAATCCACACCACAGACAGACAAACAGCCAGCCGCACCCTGTGCTGCTCTGGCATCGGTGCCAGTACAGCAACCAATGGCTTCCGCGGGCTCCTCCTCTACCGGCGCGGGCGCAGGCCCCAGCGCCCCCGCCACCGCCACCGCATCATCGAGCGCAACCGGCGAGCAAGACGCGTCGTCATCACGATCATCATCGTCGCTGCTGCTGCCGCCGCTCGCAGACGCAACCACAGCCGTACTCGTCGTCGGCATGGCGGGATCCGGAAAGTCGACCTTTGCTGCAAAGCTGGCGCAGGAGATCGACGTGCGCGCAAAGGCGAAGGCCCGTGCAGGCGCACAGCGCACAGAAACGGATGGCAGCAGCAGCAGCAGCAGCGGCGGCGGCGGAGCATACTTTGTCAACCTCGACCCCGCCGTGTCGGCGCTATCATACCCGCCCAACGTTGATATACGCGACACGGTCGACTATGCGCAGGTGATGAAGCAGTACAACCTCGGGCCGAACGGCGGGATCCTTACTGCACTCAACTTGTTCACGACCAAGTTCGACCAGGTGCTTGGCATTCTCGAGAAGCGTGCTGTCGGCGGCGGCATCGGCGAGCAGCAGGCAGTCGACGCTATCCTCCTCGACACGCCCGGGCAGATCGAGATCTTCACGTGGTCCGCGTCCGGGACGCTGATCACGAGCGCGCTCCAGACGAGCCGCATACCGACTGTCGTGGCATACGTGATCGACACTCCGCGCACGACATCGCCGGCGACGTTCATGTCCAACATGCTCTACGCCTGCTCGATCATGTACAAGACGCGCCTCCCATTCGTGCTCGTCTTCAACAAGATCGACCAGCACGACTGGGCCTTTGCCCGCGACTGGATGCAAGACTTTGAGGCTTTCCAAAAAGCACTTAAGGTCGCCGGAAAGCCGACAAGGAGTGGCGTCGTGCGCTCTGGCCAGCAGCAGCAGCAACACGGCGCAGGGTATTCCGATGATGGAGATGGCAACTTTATGAACAGCTTGATGAACAGTATGGCCCTCGTCCTCGACGAATTCTACTCGAGCTTAAATGTGAGCTGTGTCGTTCTTTACCCTCCCTGCCGAAATCGCTGACACGGCGTGACGCTTCCTCCGCCCGCACCCGCCAGGCTGTCGGCGTATCCGCGACGACCGGCGAGGGCATTGATGCGTTCCTGGATGACGCGCTGCCGCGCGCCCGCGCCGAGTTCGTTCACGAGGTGCGCCCGTCGCTCGAGGCTGCTGCACGCGCGCGCCATGACACGCGTGAGCGCGACAAGCAGCGCAGCCTGCAGCGGCTCCTGAGCGACATGCAGCTTGATCGCAGCACGACGACCACGACACCGCGACGGCGGCGTGGCGTCGGGAGCAAACAGGGTCAAGCCGAGGCGAGCGACGCGGACGACGACGATGGCGAGCCACAGGAAGAGTGGCACGAAGAGTACGACGGGGACGGCCAGATCGTCGATCCGGACACTGACGAGGAGCGGCCAGACTACGACGACCTCCTCGCCGGCGCCAGCGGCGCGGCGGGCAGGACGTACGGCGCCGATGGGACAGCCTGGCCCAAGCCGGCGTGAGATTACTGCGAGCGAACGACAGATCGCACACGCATCACATGTAGCATACTCCGATCACATAGCGCGCGGCTAGCACAGCACAGCCGGCGCGCAAGCAGCAAGCAGTTTCCTGTTGGTAATATGTATATAGTAGTACATAACGCCACGTTTCGAAACCCGCAAAAACATTTCCGAGCCGAACCGCGCCCGTTTCAGCACGGATCCACTCGGGGTCTGTTGCAAAGAGACGCAAATGCAAGTGGGTGTGCGTACGTGCCAGCATTTATCCTTCCATCTCGACGTCACCGTCCTGTAGAAAGTGTGGAATGGCAGTCGGATCGAACAAAGGTCAGTAAGAAAAAATAGAATGCAAGACGGCTGGGGCCGGCTTGATGGACGCCTCACCTGGTTCCGCGGCGCATGGATACTAGCAGCCGCTTCGGCATTCGCAGCTTTATGCATGCCCGTCCCCGCACCCTCGGCCGTATTTGGCGTGGCGGTCGTCGCCGCTACCGCTGGCGCCGCCGCTGCTGCTGTTGAGGAAGCTGCTGGCGCGGAAGAGAAACCACCACCAGCGGCAGACGAAGAAGGCGCCTTCATGAACGCCTCGAGCTCCGCATCCAGGTCCGCTAGGCTCTTCTCGGCAAATTTCCCACGCGCAATCCCGCCGCCGCCGCCACGACCGCCGTGCGATCCCCGTACACGACCTCCGCCTCCATCTACTCTCTCGTCGACACTGCGCTTGTGCTTCTCACGCGCCGACGCGCCTGCTGTTGCTGCGGATGAGGATCGAGCGGACTTGGAGTCACTGAGCCTACTGAGCAGATCACCCTTGTTGATGCGGTCGGCGAGCGCAAGCCCCTTGCCCGCACGCCCAGCTCCACCGTGAGCGCCGCGCGATGCCGCACCGCCAGCTGCAAACGAGTCGCCTCCACCCGGACCGGCAGCCGGAGCGCGCTCGGGCACAAAGACGATGCTGATCGTCTGACCTTTGGCCTTGGCGCCGTCATACTCTGTGCGCGCCTCTTGCGCGTGCGCCTGCCGCTCGTATGTCACGTACGCCGTACCCGTTGAGCGACCTGAGCGGTCGTACTGACGGGAGTAAAGTGGGACAGATGGGGTGTACGATCATGTTAGCGTGTTTATTGATGTGAGGCCAAATCCTGCCGCCCCCCTGGGAAAGCTTGCACACACTGACCATGATCTTGGGGTCGCGCTTCAGCGGGCCGATGCGCTCGAACAGCTCCTTGAGCTCGGCAGGCGTCACCTCGTAGTGCAGGTGCTCGACTTGCAGTGCGCGGCTCGGCGGATGGGGCGATGCGCGATGCAGCTCGTCGTACTTGTCGTGCTTCCAAGGACCGCTTTCCGGGCCGCCTCCGCCGCGCCGTGGTCCGTCCCGCTGTGTGTCACGGGAAAAAAAGAGTGATCAGACTCGGCTATCCAAAAAGGAGGAGGTGCGGCGTACAGCACCCGGATGCCAGGTAGCAGGGGCCATGGGATCCACTCTCGCAGTCGTGGCACCTACACTGTACGGCGAGTTGCGGCTGGAAGATCCGCTGGTCGGCGCCTTGCGAGTGTCGGCGAGCGACTGTGAGAAGAGCCGTCCTGACATGGCGCTTATACTTTCGCTTGCACTTTCTCTTGTGCTTGCTCTTTGCGCTTCGTTGAGCTTTGCTTTGCTTGGGGGGGAGGGGGGGTTCCTCTTCGTCGTGTGCAGGGTTGATGGATGGATGTGAGGTGCACATACTAATTTACATAACACCAATGCGTATCAGGTGCCGTGAATATGTTGTCGTAACCCTACTAATTGAGTCACGTGACGTGGCCGCATCGCCGTCGCGTCTTGCAACCCAAAACAAACACAACACACAGTCATCCATACATACGCTCTAAGGAGAGAACTTCACCCTCTCATTGTGATATGGACATACCTCGTGGGTAGCAGGAACAGCAGCCTCAGCTCCCCGCAGCTGCACAAACAGCGCCAGCACTAGCGCCCGTGGGCACGCCTTTCCCCCAGCCATGGTCGTCGACCGTACCCCCCCGCCACCCAGGCAGAAGCGCGTGCCCTTCAACAGCACGTCTCATACAGCCGCCGGCCTGCCCATCCCAGCGGCACCTTCCTCGGCGTCTCTTGCGGCACAAGTGCCATTGAACCATGCTTCTGGCCCTCCTGCACCGGGAGCAGCATCAGAATCAGCGATAGCGCCAGCGCATCCCGTAGAAGAATTCACCTGGGCCCCACTAGGCGCACAAGGGCCAGCGCAGCCAACGCTCGCGGTTAGCAAGTCGCAGTGGCATCGCACGACAAGCACTTCGGCTGTCCCAGCTGCCCCAGTGCATCATTACAGCAACACAGACACTGCGACCGCGCTCCCGACCTCGCTCTCTCAGCCGATCGCCTTTTCAGCTGCTGCTGTGCATGAACACCACGCCCGGAGCGCAGCGAAGATGGGTAACGTCATCCGCATACCCTCGCTGGGATCCATTGCGCAGTTGCATCAGACCAAGGACGAGATCAGCGACTGGTACCAGCGGTCCTCGGCCGCCGCCACTACTACCAAAATCACCATCACTGCAGCCCCCGCCGCAGTACCCAAATCATTCGATGCTGGCCTCCCACAAGAGGCAGGCGCAGATGGCGACAGCAGCGTCGTCATTCACGACACGCCGAGTGGGTCGCCGCATCCTGCACTACCGGCCTACCAGAGCGACCTAAGACTATCTCCCACTCGAGTGGCCATCCCTGCTGGAAGGCACCCTGACGTTACTACGCCCGCACGAGAACCGATAGCAGCAGCATCCATCCCGCATCGGCAAGTAGACGTTTTCAATCAGAACGACAAGCAGCTCGTCCTCGCTGGCGCCCCGCTCACTGCCATGTCACCCAGCTGGCCGCCGCCAGCGTCAACAGCGTGCACGCCCGCACGCACGCCGTCTGAGGTTGCTGCGAGCGCGTTTGCAGCGAGCCTGAGCGCGAGCGCGTCCGCCAAGCGGTGCGCCGGGGCCGCTGCACACGCAGGCTCCTCTCCGCCCAAGGACAGGGAACGCGACAGCATCCCGACGCCGCACCGGCTCGAACCAGCGGCGCGCCTGGCACGCGTCGAGGCGCATGAGCTTGCGGCACTGCGCAAGGCGAACGGCGCGCTTGCGGCCAAGGTCACTAAGCTCGAGGCGCGCGTCGACGCGCGCGAGCGCGAGCTCGACGACTTGCGCGACGACCGCGACGGCTGGAAGAGCGAAGCGACGCGCCTGGACGACGAGCTGGGCGCTGGACAGGCGCAGGCGCTCGCGCGCGAGTACGACGCCGCGCGCCAACGCGCCGCGTGCGCCGACGCGCGCCTTACCGCCAGCGACGCAGCGTGGGCCCTTGTTTGTGAGCGCGACGAGACGCGCCTCGCACACGTGGAGCTCGTCCTCTGCCGTAATGAGGCGACGTACCAGATGCACAGGGGGCACGAGCTCGCGCTTGCGCTCGCCATGGACAAGTTCGAGCACGAGCGCCGGCTCGCGCAGGCGCACGCTGACGCCGCGCTGCGCGAACAGCGCGCTGCGAGCCGTGCCAGGGGAGAGGAGCGCGAGGGTAAGCGCATCGCGCAGTTACATAAAGAGGTTGAAAAGCTCAGACACACCCTCGAGGAGAAGGAGAACTGTCGAAAGGAGCTCAAGCAACTGGCGGACAAGCGTGCTATCACGATTGAAGAGCTCAAGGCACAGGTGCGTCGTCCCTTTCCTTTCTTTTTTTCCTTTTCACGAAGATGTACATCAGCTGACCGCATTTGTTTTGGTCAGGCCAAGATCGGGTCTGGCGCAGCCAAGCATGCAACTAGCAAGCTCATTCGCGGTCCAAAGATCGTTGAGTCGTCCTCTCCACCACGAGCAAACAGCGTCTCGCGCCACGCCACCAGTGCCAGCAGCAAACCTTCTGCACGCGCTTTCGCCGTCCTCCCCGATCCGCCGCCTATGCTTCCCCCTGCAGCAGCCGCATCGGCAGGCACTAAACGCAGAAGGCTGCCGCCCATGCAAGGTGCCAGTGAGCCTTCCAGCATGCGTGGTGGCGAGGATGACAACGAGGAGGAGGAGGAGGATGAGGAGGAGGGTGGATGCGGCGACGTGGACACCGACGGCGCAGTCGGGGAGGCAGCGGAAGGAGCGCGGCGCTGGAGAGCTGCAACGCCTAGTCCTCATTCACGCAAGAAACCTGCGGCTGCTGCTTCCAAACGCATTGCTACTACCGAGGCAACCAGGCGCAGATACCGCGACGAGGAGGATGAGACGGCTGAAGAGGTGGAAGGTGAGGAAGAGGAAGAGGAAGTGGAAGAGTATAGAGAGAGCAGCAGAAACAAGCGCCGGACTGCTGCAAGCGGCACGACGAACACCAAGCGTGCCGCGCCGCGAGCCGCCGCGCCCTCAGCTGCTGCATCCGCAGCCAAGCCGATGGCGTTATCGCGCGCCCAGGCCAAGAGCACAGCAGACTCGATCCGCGATTCGGTCGAGCGCACACCCATGTTGGTGTCCAAGGCCAAGGCGGCAAGGCGGAAGCCTCTAGGGGAAATCGGACATGGAAGTGTTGCTGCCCAACGAGGCGATGGCGGCGACGAAGAAGGCGAGGACGTCAACGGCAGCGGCAGCAAGGGTACCGGTGGTAAACGTGGAGCGTTCAGCATCTTGGCAGTCACAGCTACCACCACCTCTGTCACCGCCAACAACCGCAGAATAGGGACCGCAAAGGCGAATGCGAAGGAACAGCAGGCACCTGCGCCGGACGCTGTCGCGGTCGCTGCTGCGGAGGGCGGTGCGGAGGGCGGGAAAAAGAAGCGGCGCAAGCTGCTGGGCGGAGGCAACGCGCTTGGTCGCCTGGCGCTTGGTTCTGTAGAGGTAAGCGAGCACGAGCCTGTCCTCACTCTGCAAACGAACCTATTCACTGATCACCTTTTGCATTTGGCTTTTTTCTTTGCTGTTTTGCAACCACAGGGCACATCATCGCTGAACCCTTCCTTTGCACTCCCGCTCGAGCTATCACCTGTCAAGCCGGGCGCAGCCGGGCGCCAGCCGCTCGGGATTGCGGGTGGTGGCGGCGGTGCCGGCTTGAGCGTGTTTAGGTGAGCGCTGAGCGCACCCGGACGAGGGCTGTTGCGCGTACAGCGTGTTCTGGACGAGTCACATTGCTGTTGTTCATTTGTACATACGTTTGTGCTGCATTTACCCCCGAAGCATGGTGGTGCCGTGGTTAACTCTCTGCCTGACAGTGTGTAAGGTGCGAACGTCAACGGCAGAGGCGGGCACATACACCTGCCCTCGTGATTGCTGCACCAGCCGGCACCCACCATCAATGCCGGGCGTGCACATTTGTCAAAAAGAGGGACGAGATTGTAGCCCGTGGGCAGCATGGTGCACCGTGCAAATAGCAGGGCCATGCCATACTTGACACCTCGCAAAGATTTTCGTTGTCGATGTGCGCGCCGAGCATTGGGTGTAGGCTGCAGTATGATGCTAGGATGACGGCACGACCAAAAGCTTCGAAGAGGGTGAGGATGATAGGGATTGGCCATGCACAAGTATCCATTCATTTTATAAGTAATTATTCATCGATGTAACAGCGGTGTGGGTATGATGAACATAACAGCTGGCGTTGAAGGATGCGACATTGCTTGCGTGAATCAGTGGTTGCAGCGTGCTTGTTGGTCAGCGAACCCGTGTTTGTGCGGTTCGCCAGGAAATACGATCAGCTCCCATCAAGCTGATGCTAGCAATTCGCACGTCGGCGAGGTTACGGTGACCTCGAACCTCACAAAGACACAAGCCATGACGAACACGACGACATTTTATGTTACTGACCCTAATCTCACACGCAGGTCTCCAAAACACCTGACCAAAAATACCAATGGAATCTCTCACCCATTTGCATCAGTGACCCAAGGTCAACCGTCTCGCCTCTTATTCCGTTACTCATCTCTGTCTTTTGAGTTCATCAAGACCAGCGGAGCTGGAAACATTGTCAACAATAGATGTTTTGCACATAAATACATTGGAGGTACCAGAAGACGCGTTACCGAGTGGCTGCTTGCTGTCACTGGGCATAGTGCCGGAGCTGGACGTCTACAGCGTTGACCTTTGGCCATTATTGCTGCGAGACGAAGCTACTATGAGGCGTTGGTGACGATGAGTGACGCGACAAGACTAGACGCGTTTGACCGTCGGTGTCGCAAACGATGCGCACACTGGGAGGGGGTGATGTAACATGTAAGGGAGAAGATGGAGTGTGACAAGGAGAAAGCAAGGAAGACCGAGCCGCATAGACTGCAGTCTGGAGCTAAACGTGTACATCAACGCGTACCATACGTACGCTTGTCTCTCAAACTTGTAGCGCTGGATCCAACGCAAGGACTGAGCAGCGTGATGCGACTGGTGCACCCAGCTTTCGAGACAAACGGAGCTTGCTTCCTGGCCCACAAACATTGCTGAATTCAAAGAGCGTCAAAGCATCGATCGGTATCCCGCCTCTGTTGGGAGACGAAGAACACCCGGAGAAGCGTAGCGGATCAGCGAGCCTCGCTCGCTTCATCCTCACTCATGGCTGCCGGAATGAGGTCCAACGTGACTGGAAAGTGTCGCCGCGCGCGAAAGCCGCGTGAGTTTGGAACGCCCAAGGAGCTTCGAAAGAAATTCCCGCTTGGTTGATTCGGCCGTTATGCCGGCGGCGATTCAACGGAGACTGGTTTTCTGCCCTAGCAAGTAATACATTCAAACTCGGATCAACCTCGAGCCCGCACAGACCTTGGACCCTGGCAGCCATAAAGTACCATTGCATCGTTGGATTTCTATGTACCCTCCAGCGTTTGTAGAGGGGAGGAGGGACAGGGCATTGGAACGGGGGAAATCGTTCCCAGTATCAACAAAGCAAAAAGCAATAACGAAGTGCAGAAAATCGACGGACTGTGAACAATACTCCGTAAAGCGAATCCATTTTCCGGATAGAAATAAAGGCAATAAGGCGCAAATAGTTTTTCAACCATTCGCCGTTTCGAGACTGGTCATGTGTACTCACTTGCCCAAGTGGGACGAAATAGACTCGGAAAAATAAATCCTCTCATGGATCCAAAATCAAAGAAATGACAGTAAAATCAAACATATTCGGTCCAAATAGCAATGCTTTCCGTCAGCCATCGCATGCAATTGACGTGTTTCGGCGATATCGTGGACTTGCGTTTGGACTTGAAGATAAAGTCCGGAGCGGCGTTGATACCGTTGGTGATCAGATATGGGATTAGTCAAATGCATCACGACAATGCAAGGCGCATCTATAAAAAGGCTCCATGCACTCGAGCTCGCACTTCATCGTTAGCAGCATTTTTCATTACTGCTGCTACGGTTTGCACTTGTCGGCGTAAAGGCATCCGCGACGACGGCAAGAGCTTGTGCCCTGCTCACTACTTATCCACGCCGTTGAAGCCTGCAAGAGCCGGTCCAGCTCCCACACCTTCTGGTTGACAATGGCAGCGCTGCCACTCAGCGCTCCGCGCGATCACTTCCTTCTTTCTCCTTCGTACGCGGGCAACGAACCGCTAAGTGAAGTTAAAGCTGCTGATGGAAAGAGCGTCGTCAACCCTGCCTTCGTCCCGCCTGCTACGGCGTCAAACGAGGCCAAGGCAAAGGGTCGGAGTGTCTGGTACGATGCATTTCAAGATCCTATCGACGCTTCGAGACATGGGTACGCGTTATGAAAGCTCACTGAAGCTCGCACCTCGTGCTTCTGCGCTTGAAAGGCGCCCATGCTGACTGTGTGGTTGCACTTGCTCCTTGCCCCCCCCCCTTCACAGCTTTGACATTCACATCTACTACCCAGACTACGACGAGTCTGAAACAGACCCATCCAAGCTGCACCCCAAGACCGTTCATGCATTGGCCTTGCGCGAACGGATCCGCCGAGAGTTTCCAGAGCTTCGCTGCTACCGTGCATGGCCTAAGCCGGTCGGTCCACACGTGAGCTTGGAAACGGTTGCCTTAGGATGATCGCCCAAAGGCTGACCGTGGGTTCCCCGTGCGTGTTGCTTCAACTCGTATTTCTGCCAGCCCACGGCCATGTTCGAGCTAAACGTTTTCACACCCGAGCAACTCGGAGCGATCATACCGTTTCTCCTTGCAAATAGAGGGTGAGTGCAAGTTTTTGGCCCGCCATAGCAAAAATGGCGCTCGATATTGAACGGCACGCCTCCACGTTCCATGCTCACTCCCGCTAGCGACCTGTCAGTCCTCCTTCATCCCAACACGCACGACGAAATCAAAGACCATACTGATTTTGCCGTGTGGTTCGGGCATCCTGTTGTTCTGAACATCGACCTGCTGCTTGAACCATCTGCCAAGAGAGACTAGGATCATTATCACCAGCAACAGCAGCAGCAGGGGCGATGGAAGCATGGCTCTTTCAAGCCAGATGCCCTCAAAGTACGATCGAATGAGCCTCAACGAGGCTTGAATATATGATAGTGAACGCAATGACCACAGGCCTCGCACCGGAACATGCAAACGGAATTGTAAAGGTTCATTGGAATACAACTGTGCAATTCTCGAGGACAACATACGCGCAGCGGAGCTTAAACACACTCAGTAGCCTTCAAGGTCCAGGGCTTCGAGCGCCAAATTATCTCTTGACCCGTGCTCGTCGTCATCGTCGTCATCTTCTTCTTCCAGCTCGTCCTCCTCCTCGGCAAGCGTCTCCTCTTCCTCCTCTGCCTCTTCCTGCTCCGTCTCCGTCTCCATCTCCATCTCCGTCTCCATCTCCGTCTCAGCTTCAGCATCAGGCTCGACCTCGAGGCCTGCGCCCAGTTGCGCTGTTTGGCGCGCCTCGGGCGGTGGCAGGTAACTCGTCGGCGAGTTGATGATGCCGCCGTGCTGCATCGCCCGCGCACCCTCGTGCGATATCCCCTCGATTCGCAGCCATTGACGCTGTCTGTCTTGCCCCTTCGCATCCGCGCGGCTGCTATCGAGTACGTTCAGAGCGGGTGCAGAGAACTCGCGATATTTCAAGTCCGTTTTGTTGACGAGCGCGCCTGGTCGCGCAGGCGATGGCTGCGATGACAAGGTGGCTCCAACGGGGCTGGCGACAAGTGCATCAGCCACCTGACCAGGGTCAGTGCTACGGATGAAGCCGGCGACGTTCCCCGCGCGGGTGGGCGTAGCTTGATCTTCACACAGCATCAGCTTGCTGCCGATTGTCAAGTCGGCTCGCGAGGCCGAGGAAGAGGCGGGTAAGTCGATCAGACGTCTGGAAAGCAGCTGACTAGAGAGCAACGCCTCTTCGCCGATCACATTAGACGTTCCGGCGTTTCTGTGCGGCGAGGCTGGCTCGCATGGCGCGACGTCGCCGACATCTTGCCTGCCATCGCTGAAGCCACCACTGCTATGGTCGCTTTCGTTTCTGACTTGATTTCCCGGATCAGAAAAGAGTGTTGAACAGGTCCTCTCGTCCTTGCCCGAGGCAGACGATGTAGGCTTGGCCTTTGGGGTGGAATGCTCTGCAGCGTCCATCTCATCGTCGAGTACGACAACGTGATGCAGACGTCGTGCCTGTTGCGGAAGCATGCTTGTAGGGGATATCAGTCTTGCACCTGGCCCGTGGGTATCCAGCGAAGCTGTTGTGCCGCTAGCCGAAGACGCAAGAGCAATAGACGATGACGCTGCAGATGTCGCCTCACCCTGCACTTGCGCTTGCACGGAGAGCATCTGCAGCCTTTCAGCTAACATCTTCGAATGCGCCACTTCGTCTTGCGGCATGTGCTGCTCGTCGGAATAGGCAGAAGTGCTATCAACGGCAGCAGCCGCTGCAGAGCGTCCGAAGGCAAGCCCCAAGCCGACAGGAGCAGATTGTTGGTCCGTCATTGCGGGAGAGAGCGATTCGCCAACGCTGCTCGATGCGCTGCTGCTGCTGCCGCTGGCGTGGATATGGTGCTGCAGCCCACTGCTTCCTCGCAAATGGCATTGTGGGGTGCGCGTCCCACCGCGTGCACCACCACAGGCCTTCGCGTACTTCGGCGCATGATCTGGCGACGCGCAGTCACAGCTTCGGTTACTTGCAGCAGCAGCAGAAGAAGAAGCGTCACCGTATGCGAAGTGCATCGATGCAAAGGTAGGTGTATGCGGAGCACTGAGCAGCTCTGCTGTGTCGGCATGGCCGCTGAAGGTGTAGCTGGGGGTGCTGCTGCTGCTGCCGCTGCCACTGCCCCTTCCCCTGGAGCTGCTGGTTACAGTGCTGCTGCGACTCATGCTGGTGCTCCCACTTGCGTAACGCGAGTGCGGGTGCGACTGATTCGCCGGATGAGAATGCAAGGGCGAGAACAAGTCCTGGTGTTCGACGTGCGCACCTCTGTTGTTGCTGCTGCTACTACTACTACTACTGCCGCTGCTGTCGACGCCGTGATGAGAGATGATGCTATCATACAGACTCATACGCCGGGAGCGCGAGCGATTCGTGGACGTGCTTGTACTTGTGCTGCTGTTGCTGTTCAGACTTGAACCCGTGTTAGGCAGTCCAGCCATCATGCCCCGTGACAGATTCGAGTGTGAACTGGCGCGTTTGATGCCGTTGCCCTTGCTGCTTCTGAGACCACGTTCCCTCTCCCGGTGATGGCGATGATGGTTGTGATGAGGGCGGTGATGATGCTGGTGATGTCCATGTCCATGCCCGCTATGATGGTAATGCAGAGCATGATGTACCGAGAGCGGGTGCGATGGATGTGGCGGATGCTCGACATACCAATCTTGCGGCTCGAGATCGAATCCCAGCCTCTGGTGGAAATATGGGTGCGCGACTGGAAGCTGCAAGGCCCCTCTCGCAGTGGCATGGCTGATGAATCGACATACGTCCGCGTGGGACCATTTCAGCGCGGTAGCTGCTATGATGGTCGGAGTCGATGAGGTGGAGGAGGTGGGTTGGAAATTCATGGCCGGGGAGGACGAACGTGTCGAGGAAACGCTGCCAAGCATGTCTGTGGCCGTTGCAGGCATAAGCGGCATTCCTGTCGATGAAGAGGATAAGACGCTATCGGCAGTAGCACTGGCCCTATTGGTCGACTCGTTGTGCGCGTCAGTACTCTGCAGAGGCCTGCGCTCCCGTTCTTGCTCGCGGTTCCACCAGGCGAGAAACTCTTTTTCGAGATTATGCCAAGCCCACGGATCAAGAAGCGCATTCAGCGTGACCGCCTGTCCATTCTTTTGCAGCTCCTTGAATGCTTTAGAAGTAGACGAGAGCGGTAAGGTGCTCGCCCAGAGCCAACTCGGCAGCTGGCTTCGACGCGGCAAGCGCACGTGGACGGTCTTGCTTCCGCCCAAAGATGGGCCACCACCGGAACTTGCACTTGAGCTGACGTTGCCATTCTTCGCGATGTTTGGAGCTTCGGAAGAGGCGATGGTGGTAGATACTTCAATTGGTGTGTCGCCGAAATGCCGAACGAAATCGGTGACTGACTTTGGTATACCTTCTGACGGTATCTCGCGTAACGTCCGCAGCAGTTCGGCATGGATGGAAGGCATGAACAATCCTTGTACTTTGCGCAATATGGCGAGCAGGAGCGGCAATATGGATTGTCCATCTAGGTCATGTACGTAGAGCGGTTGGTTCTCGCGGCAGAGAATGACCTAAAGATGACCATGTCAGACATAGTTGCACCCGCCTCAATGACACGTTCGGAGCAAACGTACCCTGAGAGCTTCGAGCGCGCTAGCCTGGGAAATACCAATCGTCTCAACCTCCTTGACCTTTTCGCACTTGATATGTACGATCCGAACATGATGCTCTTTGCACCAGTCCAGCACGACCCTACCGCCTTCATCCTCGGCATCATCGGCGTACTTGACGAGCGATTTGGGCGTCAGGCTGAGGATGGTCCGCAGGCCGAGCTGCCGCAGGAAAGCCAGGTGGCGCGGCCGTGGGTGGGAGCCGCGGTACACAGCTTCAGCGGCGGAGGATGCTACGCTGGAGCCTCTTGTAAAACGCACTGCACCGTCGCGTGCGTCGCTCGACGATGGCTCCGACGCCGAAGAGGATGATGGCGGTTGTGGCGACGGCGGAGGCTGCAGCGCCGCATGGGGAGGTTGGGCGGTAAATGCTACGGGCGCAAAGCGGAGAGGCGGATTAAGCGCCTTGCACTGGGAGGATTGGTGCGCCATTATGAGTTTGGCTTCGAGCCCGAATTCGAACTGCTGCCGTTATTTCTGCAGGTAGGGCTCAGTCGATGCTTGACTAGGTCGGTGCCATCTCCGCATAGCGATGAAGGGCCGGCTATGACTTTGCAGGTCTCGGAGCGCATGAAACTCTTCGGAAAGACCGTACGTCCTCCTGCACCCCATTGCAGGGCCAAGGCAAGTGCCATACATAGGACGATAGCATGTATGGAGTATCAAATACCTCACCATTGTGTAATAAATACATCCTGCGCCTGTTCCGAATAGAATGATCAGGATGAGCTCGGTGACTAAGCGAACATTTAGTTGCCGAGCTCGACTGTTCTGTTCTGTTCCGTTCCGACTTTTGCCAGTGTGGCTAAGCCCGCTCGGATCCTCCGAGTTTATCGCCACGACATGAGAAGACCAAAGCATGCTACCTCCGTTGAGGATGAGGGTGGGGGTTTCGACGCCCCTCAGCCTCCCCTTCCTGGCTCATTCCATTCTTCCAGAACGTGTCGCTCGAATATTCAAGGTCAAGGCTGACACCCTGCGCGCAAGCCAGCCAGCAGTTTACTACTGAGGCGAGCCTCCACCGATGCCGGACACCAAGCCAGGTGTACTGCAGCAACAGGGTATAAAAACGTTTCCCCTTTCCATCCCATCGCTCGGCTTCCTCTTTTTGACAGCCATCACCATCGCATCATCCCTCTTTCTGTACCGCAGCCCATCTCTGATCACTTCGAAAGCTCAAGGCTCAAGGCCGACAGAACGAAAAGAAACGCAAGCACACGCCACAGACACTCAACCGCTGCTCGCACCGCCGACAGCATTCCTCGCAAACATGTCCGCCGCTGCGCTCCGCGCCACTTTCATCTCTCGCTCGGTCGCGACAAAGGTGCGCTCGATTAAAACGCGCGAGGGAGACGGTGCGCTTGTGCGCCGCTCGATCGGGACGCCCGCGCTGCGCAACCTGTCGCCTTTCCTAATGCTCGACCACTTCGACATTGCCCAAGGGGCCGGCTTCCCCGACCACCCGCACCGTGGCCAGACGACCGTGACACTAATGATGTCCGGGTACGTGCAACACGAGGACTTCAAGGGCCACGCGGGACTCATCGGTCCAGGCGACATGCAGTGGATGACGGCGGGCAAGGGGATCATGCACGCCGAAATGCCCCTGCACCAGGATCCTAAGACGGGTGAGGCGCTCCCGGCGCCAATCGGCCTCCAGCTCTGGATAGATCTGCCCGCGTCGTCCAAATTCACTGAGCCAACGTACCAAGAGCTCAAAGCGACGCAGATACCAACCGCCAAGCCCCGCAGCGCTGAGATCGTCGACCCGGAAGAGGAAGGTAGCGGATGGGAGGTCAAGGTGATCGCTGGCAAGTCACGTGAGTGCTGCTCTTCCCCCTCCCTTTCTTTTTTCACCTAAGTGTACTCTTTCACATTCTGAGCGTGACCTTTTTTATCTTTTCTTTGGGATGCAGACGGCGTCGAGTCACCCGTCCGATCACCGGCCAACGGTGAGTGCTGGTACTTTGACGTCAAGCTCGCACCCGGTGGCAAGATCTTCCAGCCGCTGCCGACTGGCTGGAACGCGTTCCTGTACACGCTTCCAGGTGGCAATATCACCATCGGCAGCAACGCTGCTGCCAGCAGTGGCGAGGAGTACCAGCCGTATCACACGCTCGTGCTGTCCAACAAGGCTGCGATCGCGTCCGCGTCGGAAGCGACGGCGATGGACCGCTCGCGGCAGGAGAACGGCGTCTGGATCGCACACGCCAGCACCACGGCTGCAGAAGCGGAAGAGGCGCGCTTCGTGCTCATCGCGGGGCAGCCTCTCGACCAGGAGGTATGGCAGTACGGGCCATTTGTGCTTGCAACGCGCAAGGACGTGCAGCAGACACTCCTCGACTTCCAGTTCAAGAGGAACGGGTTCGAGAACGCCAATGGTTGGGAGAGCAAAATTTCCAAACGCGCCAGGAGCAACTCTTTCAGCTAAGCTAGCTCCCTCATTGTTCCTTGCTCAACTCCAGCTTGCCTCCCACATATTGCACTTTACACAAGCCCACAGAACCGCGGCCCCAATTTGATTACGCTTGAAGCTCATTGCCGGATGGAGTAGGCATTCCAGAATCCAGCCGCAATGACCAGCTCAACGCCCCGTGAGACAACCCTCATGCCTCTCCGAGCTGTTGCTTGGTCGGTCGACTTGGGTACGCACCATCCGCACCAGTAGACCACTGCAGAGCGTCACGGCCCCAACTCGGCAGGGTCTTGGCGATCGGCGCGAGGTGGTTGATGAACGGGTGACAGATATACCTGCTCTCCCTCTTCCCGAGCGCGTCGTTGACGACCTTCTGCGCAATGCTCTCAGGCGTCACGAGCGGGCCGAGGAAACGGCCCAGGCTATGCGTGAAGATAAAGTCATTGAAGAGCGTCGTGCGCGTGTGCCCGATGATCGCGACGGAAGTGCGGACGTGCGGGACGCGGTACATCTTGTCGAGCTCGTAGCGGAGACTCTCGTACATGCCCAAAAGACCGTGCTTGGTGGCTACGTAGTCCGATTGGTGGCAAATACCGACCAAGCCCATAGTCGAGCTGATCGAGCAAAAGTGGCCGGCCTTGCGCTTAATCATGGCCGGCAAAAAGACCATTGCAGTGAGGAAGTGGCTCTTAAGGTTGATATCGAGCATACGCTGGACTTTCTGCTCGTTCAAGTCCAAGATGAGCGAGTGATTGTTAATGCCGGCAATGTTCAGTACCATCGTCGGCGAGCCGGCAGCGACGTTCTTTTCGTCGAGACCGCTTGCAGATGCAGAAGGGACATTTGCAAAGTCTGCCTTGATGCACTCTGCTACGGACTGCAGGTCTGACAGCGAGGATATGTCGCACTTATATGTCTTGACATTTGCTGTGTGTACATAGAGTCACGGGTTAGAGGCAGTCTTTCAATGTAACAATGGCAATTATTCTTACAGTACGAAGACCCAAAGTCGAGAATATCGACGGCGGCTACATTGCAGCCTTTCTGTTGGAGTTCGACCGCATTTCGTCGATTAAGTTGATCCTGAGCAAGGCAGATGGACTACCTCTTAGAACTCACCTGATCCAAAAGTTCGACGGTGGCTTTGCCGATCCCCTGCGCACCACCAGTGACGAATGCCAATTCCTGGCCCCACTCCTTCTTGCCCCTGATCCTTTGCGGAGCCCCTAGCAGCCCATTTCTCCAGCGCACATTCAACCAGGCGCCGAAGTAGACCCCCAGGATTGCGTATGCAAATTTCAAGCGTGCATCAACGATGGACCAGGGGTTGATGTTATGGTAGAGGAACTGGAGCAGCTGCACAGGTGAGTGGGCTGCTTGTAAAAGACGACCGTCGATGTAGAGCGGCTCGATGTTGCGGTAAATCACGTACAGTAGGCAGGCCCATTTGTTGAAGATGGGCAGTGAGACGATCCCATCGAGTGAGAAAAGGGAGAAGGACTGCATATTTAGCTGTATCTCCAGCTGGTGTAGACGAGCGAAAGGATCTTTCGATATCTTGCGTCTCAGGTTTGGTTCAGAGAACAAGGCAAACGATAATGCGAAGGAGTGAGAAAATCAACGTTCGACGAGGGGATGAGCCTACCCTCCCAATCTCCAGGCCAGAAAAATTTCGAAGTCTTAAACGTCGACAACGATGACAAGAACAAGGAGCTGGGGTTGCTGGAGATATCATGCTGTTGGTAGCGACGGACGAAATGCAACAAAAGCTCATAAAGTGACCTCCAGTGCCATTTCACTGTGCCCCACTCGGTGCAACACATAAGATATCAATCCCACAATCAAATCTCGGATGCCGCGGAAAGAGCTAACGACGCAGCCCTAATTGCATAAACAGTCTTTCAGTTCAAGAGTCGGCATTCGCGGAAGCGCTCTGCTCGCACAACTCCACTTTCTTGGTTCTTCCACTTAGAGTCCAGATGGACGCTTCGAGGTGCGTTTGCCCTGGAGATTAAACATTGGGTTTCAGATGCTCATCAGGGTCTGCGACCTTGTCTAATCATCGTGAATATCAGCCAAGGACTGGCACAGGATTGCAGGCTTCAGGCTTCACGGCTGCTTTCAGGAACGGGTGGCAGCAGCTGCGGCATACTCATCACAGCTGCTGGCGCCGGGTAGCGGCTAGCCAGGAAGACGGGTCTCCCTGAGTCGGCCTTAGTATTGTTTCACTGGAAGGACTGCAGCAATACGGCTATATATCCCGTGTAGGTCAGAAAGCCTGGTGAGTACAATACACAGCCGTAGTGCACAGGATCTTCTCTCACCTTGTGATCTCAGAAGCTCAGAAAGCGAATCGCAGGATCAGGATCTCAGAGCTCAGAGCTCCACATCTCAGGCACTCTTGTGGGATACCAAATTCTACCGTAGTCTACATATGATTCGCCTATATGTACAGACTGAGGAACACCTCTACTCGTATCTAGCCGACGAAAGTGAACGTGCAGCAAATGCACGTCAGCGGCGGGATGTACGCTGACACGCTTCTGTAATGGCATTTTCTGCTCTTCATCACAATTTACTCGCGTCCAATGTGGTGTCCTGCAATCTCGCCTGCTGGGATCGAGCCCTGTCCGATCTAAAATACGTCTATCATTTCTGGGGTTGAGGTCAGTGGAGACACAAGTCGACACGGACCACATTACCTTGCGTGAATTCCGAGGAACTTTCAATAAGTTTCTCTCATCCTACAGGGTATGAAGCACAAATTAGGAGTATTGGTTGGATTCAAACTTGTCAAATTGCTGCCCTTCTGCTGTGTCACTGATATACGACTGCGATAGACGGTCTTTCTATGAGTGCGTTTGCGAAACTGATGCAGGTGGAACGATACCAGGTCAAAAATATGCGGTGATTCCACTCGGAACCAGGGATGCCTACCTGGTCCGGTGTTCTACGTGCACCTGGAAGTAGGTTTGCAAACCAGAAGGTGATTTTAGGGTGGTGTTCCTGAGGTGGTATCCCGTTTGATGCCATCAACAGAAGGTTTGGTTGGTCGGCTTCAGAGCAGTGTCCACCCACCACTCCCCTTGATACTGTTTGACCCAAAAGCGCACCATCATTGGCGAGCTCGACACCTCGACCATCCATGCATAGGCTTAATTCCTGGCAACTTCACAAAATTTGCATCCTTACTCCCGCCACGTCGTGATGGTGGCTGGATTGAAAGTCACCTGTAGGACTGATTCAGGAGCCACGTCTCTTTAATACGGACAGAAACGGGAGTTGATCCGGCGGGTCAGTTTCATTCATGCACTCCGTATCCATAGAACCCACAGAGCATCAAATGCCCTTACTTCAGATGCACCAGCAACGCTGACGACAGCTTGGCGGGCTCCTTCAGCGCAAAAGATGTATACGTGAAAGTACTGTGTTATGGGGAACTTGTTGCAATATGTGTTGGAATAATATGATTACCGCATCGTCCGCAGAATACGTAGTAAAGTAAGTGCATGGAAAGGCATCCAACTGCTCTGGGTGCATAAATATTCTCCATGGCCAGCGTAAAGGAAAGACCGGAGGAGCAGATCAGCACCCATTGGCGTTACAGGTGGTCTCGCTGCACCAGGGGGTCGGTGCGACGCCTGCAACGCGGTCGAGGATGGCGGCAGCCCTTGAATAGCCTCTGCTGTCACGATTCCATGCTGTTCGGATTGCTGTGCCGCACTAGCGGCAGCTTCTGCGTTGACCTGAAATGGTTTCCCCACGATTTCTGCTGCTTGTGGGACCTTCTGCGCGTGGTTCACTCTGACCTCGCGGCCACCTTCTCCAAGGTTCGAGTTGGGCATGTAACATCGGTGCCATCCCTAAAATGCAAGCCTCTGTGGTTGCATGCGATGAAATTGTCACGGACACCTGTTTTGGCCAGCACGTGCAAACTCTCAGCATGTAACATGTGGGCTGAGATGCACCATGGGTTGCCTCTGACCTCATGGTACTTTGCCTTGTCTGCTCCTGCACAACCTCATGGAGTACGGACATGTCCTCAATGGAAGTTGATGTCACCTTCATTTCGTCAGCGACGACTTCAATCGCATTGCCGGACGCAGCGTATGTCCTGCCAGTGACTGTGCACGTTTGCAGCGTTTTGCGACGCTGTCAGTGGCGAGGGAACGCGTGCACAAGATGCGTCAGTGCTACCGCAAGCAAAACAAGCTTGCGAAGGGACTAGGCTACAAGCCGTTCATCTGGAGCAGAGACGGCGGGCGCCATAGACATCACGGTGATCTCCATCGGAACACCTTGGCAGCACCTGGACCTGAGAAGGAATATTTTGTGCTTGTCTTCGCCAAGAAAAGGTGATAATCGGTGAGATAATATGATATTAGTCGAAAGAACGCTACTGGAAAAAAATACTGTTTCTACTAGTTGAAGTTGGGCAATCCAGGTAGCGGACTTGAAACCCTCAGAGCCTTACTGGCCGGGCCTATAGTCCGTCGCCAGATCGGTGCGAGCTGCACACCAACTATAGCCCTTCGCCAGACCGACGAGAGCTGCGCGTTGTCGCTCTGAAGACACGGTCCGGCGACCGAAACCATAGGGAAAGCAACCAAAGTTGCGAGCAGCCAGACGGAGATTCCGGATCGTCCGCAATCAGTGGCTTGCTATGTCATCATTCCGCTCCAACATGCAGTGAGAGCGAGGCGCAGCTCAACCGGTGGCGCCAACGTGCGACAGGCGAAAGGACGACGTTCGTCGTGTATCAGCGCTCAGCTTTGCGCGTCAAAATGGAGAACCACGAACACGGCCGGTAAGAGAGCCTTCAAGGCGCTGCGTTCCCACTTTGGAGCTCCCCAGACCGAAGCTTTGAAGCTGCTATTCTTGGCTGCAGTACATGCAGCATCGCCGTTGCGCCGAGTGGCTATTCACGGAGCCGGCGAGGGTGCCGCTCTGATCTGCAGCGTCGACTGCAGCTGTAAGCACGTCCATGCCTGCATCTTCATCATCAGACAAGCCAGGGCATGTACCGGCCCTCTCGCGCCGCATCACAGCATGCGACGCCTGCAGGTCGCGCAAAGTCAAGTGCCTCTACCCACCTGGCAGCGACGGCCCACCGTGCATCCGGTGTCTCAGCTCCGGCTCCAAGGAGCTCCTGGACAAGTGCAAAGTGCAGAAGAACTTGCAAGACATTCTGGACGGGGACAAAATCTGGAAGGATGAGGTAGATGATGCGCTTGCAACGCTCAGGGAAGAAGTGCAGCGACTAAAACGACAACTAGGGGAGCGATCAAGTTCGCCGGAAGACAGGCGAGATGAGGCTGCTTCGCGGGCTGATTGGCCACTCGGCAAGCGACGGCGCCTACATCGCGAGCACACCGACATCCCTGCAAAAGATGTAGCAAATGATGATTCCTCTGGAGAAGGCCCCGCGGATTCGAGGTTGCATGTCGCAGCTGCCGCCCCGGGCGTGTTGCTGCGTCAAGTTACAAGCGCCGGTGCGCTACAGCGTCCAGCTGCATCCGTGTCTTTGGGGCGGCGCACTCAACCTAACGCAATCGGCAACGCCACTAGTGCTATTTCAGAATGGCTTCTCGATCAGGAACAGACTGATGGCCTGCTAAAACAATACATCGACACGTTGGACGGTTATGCGTACGATGTCATTGGCGGTCCCGCAAGCATGTGGAGTGCCGATCTCGTCCTATCACGTCTGAGAGTGGAAGGTCAGATGCAGCTCACGGCCGTGTGCGCGATCACAGCGATGCACTCCTCACCGTCCAGACCTGCCGCTCCGACAAGCGTACTCTGCGACCAGCTGTACCTGGAGTGCATCCGCCTCTCCGCGCTGCAGGCCTTCTCGCGCAACAGTTCGCTCGACGACATCAAGGCGCTTGTCCTTGGCTCGTACCATTTCCGCGAGCTGTCCTGGATCCTGACGTCTGTCGCTGTGCGGATTGCGACAGAGCGCGGGCTGCAGGAGAGCTACAAGCGGTGCTTGAAGGCTGCCCATGGAGGGGACACCGCCGGAGGGGCTGATGCAGAACGAGCGGCGACGCACGAAGACCCAGGCACGAGCCTGCACCCGCGCACCGAATGGCTGGGCGAGAGCAGCGGCGGCGGCGGCGCGCGTGACGCTGACATCGGAGCGAAGAACAATGACCGCGATGTACAGCAAAAGCAGCAGCGTAAAGCGTACGAGGAAGCCAGACTTTACTACCAGATCTACGTCGCGGACCACATGGCGTCCATTCCGCACGGGCGTCCACCGCTTACACGACAGCATGCTGCTATCAGAAGGGCAAGAGACTGGCTGGACCTGTCGCTATTGACTGGGCCTGATGACGGTGAGCAGCGCAGCGGGCGGTCACCCATGAAGCATGGAAGTGTGAGTTGCATCAATGACAAACGTTCCCGCTTCTCTCTCTCCCTTTCGGCGCCAGTGTTCCTCATTTCGCAAGTCGAGCTGCACGAGATCGCACATGATGTGCTGGACGAATTCGGCGTCGATGTGCACGAGAGGCTCAACCCCTCACAGCTGACGTTCGCCGCGAAGTTCAACGACCTCCTCGACCAATGGCATGAGGAGTGGCAGGCGACATTCGAGGCGCGCAGATCGTACTCGCGCCATCGCCATTCTTCGTCTATTGAATCTGCCGGGGGTGCCGCGGCATGTACGGGCAGCAGCACGGTGAGCAAACGACGCACGCTTGCGCTGGAGGTGGAGTCGTTCCATCGCTTCTACTACCATGCGATGCGGCTCTGGCTGAAAGCGCACGCGTTCAGGTGCCCCGAAGAGGAAGCGATACAGTTCGAGTCTGACGCCCCGACGTCATCGGACGCTGAGGTGCTGTACAGCATGGCGATTGGCGCGGTCCAAAGCGCGCACTACATCCTGCGCGCTGCAGCGCAGTCGCACGCAAGCTATACTGGCGGGCGAGCTGGCTCGTCTTGCTCCGACGCCGACACCGACGCGTGCAGCATCCTGGGGCTCAGGGAGCATCTGCGCGGCCTGCCGCTGTACGTACACACGATGATTGGCTTTGCAGCGGTCTTTCTGGTGCGCGTCTCGCGCTCCGCTGAAACGGCTGGGCTGCGCGGCTGCGAGCCAGAAGCGGTGCTGCGCAGCGTTGACGACGCCACAGCCGCGATCGAGGCGCTTGCGCAGCGCGTCGCGGTGCAGCATATTGCCCACTCCCTCGCACCTGGCTTGCGCAGCCTCGCGAGCGGGTACAGGTCGTTCGTCGCCGTCGCTGCTGCTGCTGCTGCTGGTGAGAATTCGTGCAGGCGGTCCGCCGCAGATCCGCCGTCGGCCACCCAGGGTGACTCCAGCGCCGGACACAGCCAGCGCGATGTGCTGCTCTGGGCGATCAGGACGCCGTCGAGCTCGGTGCACTTTGCGACCGCTTCCGGGACCAGGTCGGTGCTGCTGCGTAGCAAGAGCGCCATCGAAGCGCGTGCTGGCGCTGGCGGCGAGCGCCATCGTAGGTCCAACGTCAGCCACGAGCGCACGGGCGTGACCGGCGCTGCTCGCAGCTTAGGGCCGGAAGCTGCGCTCGTCCCAATACCGTCGCCGTCGCTGCTGCAAAACTTTCGCTGCGGACCCGACGGCGACGGTACCGTCATTAGTAGTAACAGTGGTGGCGGCAAAGACGCATACGGCGTTATGCACCTCTCCAATATGCTTTCATCCAGCAGGAACGGACTGCAACAGAAACAGCAGCAGGCTCAGCAGACTCAGCAGGTACCTCAGTCGTCCTGGTCATCCCCGCACGCGGAGGCGGAAGCAGCAGCAGAAGCGGGCGCAAGCCCTGAAGCCGGTTGCATGTTCTCCACGCAGCCGCCGGGCGACATGGCCGCTGCGACCCCGTCGGCATGGGCGGCAGAGCGAGGCCTGCTGACGGGCGCATCAACGGCGGCCGCAGACCTTGACTTTTTCCTCAACAACTTTGACCTGCTGAGCGATTTTCGTACGCTATCTGGCCTCGATTTTGCAAGCCTGTCACATGCTGCAGGAGGTACCACCACCACGGCCGGCGGCGGCGGGGAGGTTGCTCACCTGCAGTATGGCCAGCAGCAAGCGCAGCAGGAGGAAGGTTTGCAGTCACATTGGCCCGTGCATAATGGCCAAGTGAACGAAAATGGATACGGACATAGCAATGGAAACGGCATGGCGTGCGCGAGCGGCTATGCGCACGGACAAGGACCAGGCTACACGTCACATGATGCCTACAGCCATGCGCTGCACGATCCATCCACGGCGGCGTCCGTTGCTGGCAATGGCGCCCGTAACTTGTTCGCGGGTCTTTTTTGATACGCATGTACGCGTAGATGGGGGGAGACAGGCGTTGACGGGTGTGCTATACATGCACGTAGCTCTCTCGTTGCAACGCGCGTGCGGCTGACAGGCGGTGAGCTTTCGTACACCTTAGTGGAGTGAGTAAGCGCTGTCGCACAGCAAACTCGACGTGTCGAGCGAGGCCGAGGCTTGTTTTTCGGCTCGCGAGGGCTAGCTAGCTGGCAGGCAGGTAGGCAGGTTACGCCTCGAGTAAAAGTAGTTTGCGTGTGGCGAGACCAAGTGACCTCCTGGGTGGACAGCGTACAAATGTAACAAGAACAAACTGGGCGTCGGAGACGATCAATCCAGCGGCATGCCTGTTGAACTATATTCGAAGAACAAGCCATCAACCCAACACTCTTCCAGGTCGGCCCCCCCCACCAAACGCAAGTTCAAGCGTACATTCAACGGCGTCGTCACCATGTATCATACTCTTCCTCACTCACGTGCAATGAATTGCTCACATACTCTCAGAACGAGCCCTGTATTAACCACATCAAGTACCAATATGTCATCGGATGTAGTTTGTAAAATATATAGTGATCGGCCCATTTAACCCTGAGCCTAACGCTCAATTTATTGGCGGACAGCCCCATCTCCCATAGGCCAGCCGCCTGCTGACGGCGCCTTTACTGGTACGCGTGACAGTGTCGATGCTGGTGACAGTCCATCATGGAAGGGAAAACTGGCTTCGCTATGGCCCGAATGCCGATGGTTATCTTCCTCGGAACGTTCTTTCCTCGTGATGCGACTCTTTTGGCCATCAGTAACATCCTCTTCGACTCCTCAGTCCAAGCTCGTGGATAGTGTGAGTAATAGAGTTTTCTATGCTTTTTTTTGCATGGCCCGGCTTGGATGGAGCACGAGCAGACGCGACCGCTCTGCACCGCACCGCAGAGCATCTTTCCTGTCACGCCGAGCGGGCTCCCCAGCAGGTACCTCCTGCCGAGTCCAACGCCCAAGGCATCTCCGGAGGAGAGGGCTGGAGCGCTCACTCGTCGCAAGGAGGGCATCAGGCTAGCTTGCGTAACCAGTCCCAGCCTCCACCTGGGACGCATGTGGGCGCGTTTCCAGCTGGACAAGCACGCGATGACAAGCAAGTATGCAGTGCCTCTGTTGATCACGAGGACATCATATGGGCCACCATCCCGGAGTGGCTGCTCAGCTTGACGCAAGATGGACATCCCACCCTGTGCGCTACGCAAGCATCGAACGATTCTAACAGGCACGCCACAAACAATACACGAGCTTGGAGATCAGAGTCGAAGCGAATGCTGCTGCTGCCGCCGCAATGAGTCAAGCTAGCCCCTTCCCCAGGGCAGCAAGCTTGCATTTTGGATGCATGTGTTGCTACAGAGTCAGCCTGTCCTTGGTTGGGTGAGGACGAGCTTGGTATTTGGGGGGGGGAAATAATGAGGGTGGACCAAGTAGGGTTGCATTCCACATCAGACTCTCTGTGAACCGGCTATGTAAGCGCGAAGGGAGCCGGTGAAGAAATGAAAAGTCACCGGATTCGATGGGTCGCCTGACGGGCTTTGCGGTGAATGTCGTCATGCCAGCGAATCTCGAATGTTACACAAATATGGGGCGAGATTTCTCCAGGCGAATCCATCCGCTAGAGCAACAGCCGGCCGCCGGCGCAGCATAGCATGGCATCGTGCAGCATGGGATGGAGATGCAGAGCAGCAACCCGATCATCGTCCCATGTCTGGCTCTGCCCATCTCTCTCTCTCTGCTTCCTACTTGGACAGTGCAACTCATATCCACTCCACGCACCATTCTGAAAGCTTTCGCCGATAGCCCCTTCGCAAACGCAAGAAGAGACGCACTGCACAGTATGACCGGCGCCGCCTCTCCCCCGCCCTCCTTCTACGACCTCAAGGCCGAAAATGCCAAGGGCGAGATCGACTTCAACGATTTTAAGGGCAAGGTCGTCCTAGTTTTCAATAGCGCCACCAAGTGAGTCGAGTCGATTTTCGTGCGCAAGGCAGCGGCATGCTAGCGCCGAGCTCGTGCTGATGCTCCCCCTCTCCTTGCACTTTTTTTTCGCGTGGCACGCAGGTGCGGCTTTACGCCACAACTCAAGGAGCTGCAGGAGCTGCATGAAAAGTACAGCGAAAAGGGCCTCGTCCTGCTCGGCTTCCCGTCCAACGAGTTTGGCTCACAGAACCCAGAGGATGACGAAGAGGCCGCGACGTTCTGTCAGCGCAACTACGGCGTCGACTTTGGCTTTGCGAAAAAGTCTAACGTCAACGGCAAGGACGCTAACGAGGTCTTCCGCTGGCTCAAGAGGCAAAAGAAGGGCATCCTCGGCAGCGAGTTTATCAAGTGGAACTTTACCAAGTTTCTCGTTGACAAAAAAGGCGACGTCGTAGAGCGCTACTCGCCCCAAACTACGCCCTCCAGCATCGAGCCGACAATTGTCGAGCTGCTCGAGGAGCCCAGTCCGTAACCAAGCACGGCAGCCAGGCTCTGATCGAGGCAGAGGCATCGCCTCTCAGCATGTACATAGATGCATACATACGCGCTCGCGTGTGCCTGCCCGCCTATGCTCAGCTTTCACCTCATTCCCCATTTCGCGCGCGCATTCTCCGACGCATGCTGGTGAAACGTGGGTGCAAGTGTGATTGCGTTACATTGCATTGCATTGCGTCGTGCCCGGCGGGGTGGAACGCGCACATGTCTCTACAGGTGTTCTATAAATGCGAAAGAAAAAACAAGCGGGACCTCCGCATGCGAGCGAGCGACGGCGCTTTACTCTCTCGAGACATCACGCCCGAAAAGCGCGACCTCTGTATTCGCAGAGGGTGGCATCAACGCATTCCTTTGTCAGCCAGCGGTCCAGCAGCCAAGCCATGTCACACAATGTGGAGAAACAGGACTCACTCAGCCAGTCGGTTGCGACGAGTGCGCGGTTGCGGATCGAGAAGAGCATACTCCAGTACGCCGACTGCCAGAAGATGTCTGCAATTGAACAAGCGTCCAGAGTCAATGCACGTGGTCAACAGGGGGAAACTGCACGCGCGAGAGAAGAAAGACCGCGGAACGTAAGACTCACAAGTCGCTACGCCGCCAGAGGCAAAGTCGCCGCCGAGCACAGGAATGTCGGCAATCGCCTTGTCCTTGCCAATGTATGCGAGCGATCCTGCAAAAATGTGCGCACCCGCCCGAGTCAGCACGATTGCCCTCTAATCCAGCTAGGCAGAAAAAAGTTGCACCTCACCCTGATGAGTGTAGTGGAACGGCTTGATCTTGCTAGCCCTGTTGAGCTGCTTCTCCAGCGCGAGGATCTCCTGCCGGACGGCGTCCGTCAGCGGCTTTCGGTTGGCCGCATCGATCTTCCCCTCGAGCACGTCGACCTTGGCGAGCTGGTTGAAGACGCGCGCAAGGTACGCGCCCTGCTGCGAGGCGGCCTGCGCCGTCGGCGCGTACTGTGTCGCTGTCGCATCGCCCAGCGCAAAGATGGCATCTTCGGCGCCGTGCAAGCGCATGTGCTCGTCCACCGTCAGCCCGCGCCGGTTGGTCTGCGTCGCGGGTAGCTGCGCCATCAGGTCCCGCGTGATGGGCCGCGCCGTGTTGCCCGCGGCCCACACGAGCAGACCGTACGGAATGAGGATGCGTTCCCCGGACGGATCCTGCACGTGCACGTGCTCTGCGTCAACGTCCTTGACCATGTGCTTGAGCTTCAACTCAATCTCCTGCTCCTTGAAGTTGCTGATCGTGTAGTCGATCAGCGTCTTGCTGAACGAAGGCAGAATGCTCGGCAGCGCCTCGATCAGCGTCACTCGTACCCGGTCCGCCACCTCAGGGTACCACTTCTTCAGGTCGCCCCGCACAAAGTCGCGCAGCTCCGCGGCGTACTCGACCCCTGTGGGTCCGCCGCCGACGACGACCATGTGCAGTAGCCGGTCAATATCCTCCTTGCTCGTCCCCGCGATCGCGGCGGACTCGACGCAGTCCATCAGCCGGTTCCGGATCTGCTCGGCGTCAGTCAGCTCCTTGAGGAAGCACGCGTGTCGCTTTACCCCCTCGATCCCAAATGTCTGGTTCTCGCTGCCGACACCGTACACCAGGTAGTCGTATGGGATGGTCACCTTCCCCAGCGAGCCCTTGATCTCCGACTTGTCCTCGAACGTCACAGTCTTGCGCGCCACGTCGACCGTCTCGGCCTCGGCCTCGATCACCTGCACGCTCCGCCGCTTGAACCGCGTTGTGTGCCGCGTCGGCTGCGCGATCGAGCGCCCGTCCAGTGTGCCCACCGTCACCGACGGCAGCAGCGGCGTGAACAAAAAGTAGTTGTGCGGACTAATCACTGTCACGTTGTACTGCTCCGTGTCCACGTTCTTCAGGAATGACGTCGCTGCCCAGCCGCTACCCAGCACGACAATGTTCTTCTTCGACGGGTCCTGTGGCAGCTGCTCTGGAGGATTGCGCGTATCGTAGATGTCTGCACGTACGGCCAGCGAGCACAATGTCAGTCATGATGCTTTTTTTTGTCAATATCGTGAAGTTTTTATCTGTATGCTCACAATACGCGACCGTACCCGTGCCGAGCACGACCGTCCAGCCGAGCCCGTTCCTCACGCGTCGGAAGAAGCCCTTCTTCTTCTTCCTTGAGCCGCCTCCGTTCCCATTCCCGTTTCCGTTGCTGCTCACGCTGCTAAAGTTCGTCTGTGCTGCCGCGGCTCCATCCGGCGCGTGCTTCAGCCCCGTCGACAAATCCTTGATGGCGCCGCTGGGAGTAGAGGACGAGGATGCTGCCTGGTTCGCACGGAACCAGCGTGACGTGAACAGCGTGCGCTGCTGCTGCTGTTGTTTTCCTGGCGAGAACAAAGCCACCGTTTCTTGCTTGCGCGTTGCCAAACCTGCGCCTGCGAGGCGCAGAGCGAGTGGCGCAGGTGCATGCGCAAAGTGGAAGCCTGTAGCAAACGTACGTGCCGGTCGGACGCAATCAAGGGCAGAGTCAGCGGTCAACTCCAAGCTCAGGCTCAAGAAGCATAACGTAAACGCTGTCCGTGAGCATGACTCACCTGAGCTCGCACCCAAGCTGCCGCGTTTCAGCGCCATGGCGCTGCTCCGTCCGGTTGGCGACATGGCTGGCTGCGTCTTGACCGCTTGACCTTTGGCCTTGGGTGCTGGGTCGGCAGAGAGGTCGACACGAGAAGGATGCACCCGCTTTCAGATTTCGGCCTTGCTTCTCTGCTCTTCGCTTCGCCTGCGAGGGTGGAAGATGAAGGTTGTGAGGAGGAAGGCGGAGAAGAAGGAGCGGCCACTTCCTGTCGCAAAAAAAATATGCCAACCAAAAATCTAGCCCAATTGCGATTGATTCGTCATATTTCTCCTTTGCAAAAAGAGGAAAGTTTCCAGGTTCCGCTCGGTAAACCTTTGCTCTTTCCGGGGGATTCTTTATGGAAAGCGCAAATTTCGCGTCTCCAGATATCCGATGTCTCGGAATATAGCAACGGCCACAGAATTTTACGAAACAGGAACACGGCACGTGGATCGCGACGTCCGTTGCGCTATTTTTGAGACACCATGACCTTGTCCTCGTCGTCCTCGCACGTCGTCTCGCACCTCGATAGACACTCCCATGAGCAGGGAGAGAGAGAACAGAGGACAGGTAAAGGCAAACGTGTACAGTAACATGCACGCAAATGTATCTGCGTTGCAAGAAGCACGTCGTCCAGGCCTCTGTAAATGCTGAAATCTGAAGCTCTTCGTGATCACCCAGCTTCGTGCGCTTTGCAAAAAAAAAAACCAAAAGTACGGTTCAATCCTCGGCAATCTCGTCAATGCAATATATATATATATATACTTGCCAACGCGTCAAACATAACCCAAGCTCTCACAAGCTTGCTCTGTAATGCATAGTTATCCCTGTTGCCTGCTCCCGATTCCCAAATCTTCTTTGGAATATGAACGCGGACGATGGATAAACTGCCGGCGGTTCAACTTCAACCAACCCAGTTTCCTATCCTTGTGGCAATGTTGACCATCCGGCCGACGAATGGCCTCCTGAGACTAAGCAGGAAAGACCAGACCTTGCCTTCTCGGGAAGAGTTGCACCGTACCCTGCAAGCTGTGTGCAGCCAAGACAGGTGTTTGTAACGAAATGGGAGCTGCCTTTGATAACGGCCGTCCTCGTGTCATCAGTAAATCCCCATTCGGTAAGCAAGCGTCATGTCTGATGAAGCAGTGTTGCTGCTTCAAGGGCTTGCATTTGTTCAGGGCAGACCGATCTCGCATCGGACGGAATGGGAGAGTGTCAACACCGGCCAAGATCTGATAGACTCCCCGCACGGATCCCCATCGGGCATTGGATGATATTATTCCAATTAGCAACGCGTACGAGACTTGTTCTGCCCACGCTTCTGTGACTTCGCTTTCTCACTCCCCTCCCCCCCATCCCCCCTTGGTCCCGGCCTATGAATCTCTGGAGCTTCAAACCTACAAAGACCTCAGGGAACAGTCGACGGGGAACAACTGCAAGGGTTGCGATCATTTCAGTGTGACTGAAGAAGGCTGCTGGGAGTGCGCATGAGCTGCATGGAGGGCGACAGTAACGAGGAAGCCAAGGATCCGTACAAAGATCAATGCCACACTGCTGCTACTGCCTGCTAGTTTGGGGCCGAACCTCCCCACTTCCCTTCCTCCTTCCTTCTTGGCTATGGTATCGCGGAAGGAAGGCCTGTTGAACGTCAAAGACGCAGCCGACTTGGGGAGCCGTGTCTCGCTTCAGTCCTTGAAATGGGAAAGAGACGCAGGCGAACGCGTCGCGTGGAACGCCACCTAGGGTTACGCAACGCCCGAACCACTCAATAGAGAACGGGCACTAATAAAGCAGTCATGTACGGTCATAGTAACATGGTAACCTCACTCGTTTAAAGCCGTCCTGTAATTAGATTGCTTGCTTCGAGCCACCGAGATGACAGTGCTCTTGTCTGAGCTGCATTATCGCATCTACAGCAGCATATGCAGTCAGGGGAACTACCGCATTGCTCAGTTGACGCCGCGGAGGTATCAAGTCAGCCTTGCGGGGCCGCCCACGGCGAGCCAGGGACATGGGATTGCACCTGGTATCAGCGCCATGAGCTAGTCGAATCTAGCACGGCCAGCTCATTTTGGGCAACATGAGCATGCAATCTTGGGCCAAAGTCTGAGCTGATGAATCACTCGCTTCAACAAGCAGCTACCTCGATCCGCCTTCTCACAGCCGCTGCGGCTCGCTATGATGGATACCACTTCAGAAGCAGGGCCAAGCGTCTCGGGTGTGCCGCCTCCGCCGCCACTCCCTTATGCGGCTACTCCGAATGCTACTTCCGGCGGCGCTTCTACCGCGTCTTCTGCTAACCCTGGAACCGCAGACCAAGAAGATCGGACGGCAGGCGCAGAGGCCGATGCACCAGACCCAACCGCCATGGACGTCGACCTGGCCGAGCCGCAGCAAGAGCCGCCGCCGGCGCAACCTACACAGACTACACAGGCTGCGCAACCACCAACGCCCAACTACTCCACCATCAACGCGGACATTTCGGTGGCCAATGTTGACATTACAACCTGGCAGTCGATCTTTGATGAGCATGGCTCCATCGACGCACGCCGCTTTCCCGGAGCATCAGGCGAGACAAAGCGCCATATTCATGATGACGAAGACGTACATCAGCAGGTTCAAGCCCTCTTGCGCACTCGTACTACGAACGGCAGTGAGAGCGACACGTTTTCTGTAAACGCGTCTGCGAGCCCTTTCTCGTCGACGTTGGCTGCCCCCGCCGTTGTGGCGGCGCGACCCCCGCTACACGAACGCGCGGTGAGCATGTACTCGGAGCATCGCTACCTCTCTGGCCTCCTTTCTCGTGAGCGCAGCGTGGCTGGAAGCACGCCGAGCCCGGAGCTGCAACAACGTGCGCAGCAGCTCGTGGCGGACGTGCAGGATGCGCGCGCGGAGCTCATCGCGCTGTGGAACGACATCAAGGACCTCGTCAAGCGCATCCTCGAAGTGAAGGAGGCGCAGATTGAGTCGGAGCAGCGCGAACGCAAGCTGCAGGCCGATGCGCGCAAGCAGAAGCAACTCGAAGTGGCCCAGGCGAGGAAGATGGTGCTCCAGGCGGAGATGCTCGAGCGCCTCGGCGAGAAGATGCAGCGACTCCCGCCGGAGATCCTCATGCTTATCTGGGTGCACTCAGAAATTCCAATGAAGTTCCAGCTCGTTTGTAAGCGTTGGTATGGTGAGTTTGAAATTCGTTCCATACCGTTTCATCGCGGGTGTATGCGCTTGACGTTTTTGAAGAATGACGACATGACATGCTTCATGTGCGCAGGTCTGACGCAAGATGCATCGTGGAGGGCGGAGTACCTCGCCAACCGCTTCGCGCCATACGAGGTCATTTTTCAGGCGATTGCGCGTCCGAAGATCTTCACTGTTGAGCTTTTCGAAGTGAGTCGGATTTTGAAGCAGATTGCCTTTCGAGGGCTGATTGTATGCGCTGCGTACCTCGCGCCTGCCACTCGTACGCATTTCCGATGCACCAGCGCCTGATCAAGAAGGGCATGCCGCTACCGCGCTATCTGGTGCAGGAATTACTCGTCAATAAGGTCGGCCAGCCAAATTTCACACATCCCCTCTCCAGCATCGACACTACCAGCCCAGATTTCTTTGGACCAGAGGTGCCGAACCATTCCATCAGCTGGCGTCCCGCGGCACGCTGGGGCGCAGGCATATCCACTCGCAGCCTTACGGCTGTGCTCATCGAGGCCAGCAAGAGATTTGGTAATCAGCTCGAGCTGTACGGAAGAGAGTCCGACGGCGCTTTGCACGGTAGTGAGTCTCAGGCGAGGGATCACCGCTTTTTCATCGCTGATGCTCTGCTGCGTACGATGTACGCTGCCAGCCTGGTACAAACTCGCGCGCGCAGGGCAACGCGGCGAGGGCTTCTCCATGATCGGCATCTCGTTGGCCGGCAACGCGACGGACCGGCGCATGACCGAGGAGATGGTCAAATTGTACAAGGAGCACGATTTCATCCCTTACTTTACCGACCTCTGCGACGAACGTGCCTCGCAAGCAAGCGCCCTGAGCGATATCCTTGCATGCGTCATCTGCCATGAGCCTTCTATCGCAAAGTACGTCTCGCGCCAGGGCTGGCGACAGAAGGAGAGCACCAAGCTCGCTATGTTCGCGTGGCTGCTCAAGAACAACCGTAGCAAGTTACTCAAGCTTCTTGATCTCGGTCTCCCTGAGTGGAGCTTGCCCGTCACGTTTGCCGCACGCGAATTCCTCGGCATTATGCCAGGGCGCTGGCAGCTCAGTCGCCGCGACGTTGCCATCTCCTTCCCCGAATCGCGTTTCAACGACTTCAAGCTTCAGCGCTTCTCGCGCGAGCAGGAGTGGGAGCTGCTGCTCGAACTCAACAAGGAGCACAGGCTTGCGTTCGACTTGACCGCCTTGGCGGAGAAGTTCTTCCGCTTCAGCGATGCGTTTGGCTGCAACTGGACGCGTTATGCCTTTGTCCGCAGACTCGTGCAGGACCTGCCGGACGCCAACGTCGGCAAAGGCACCACCCTCCTCGAAGCCGTCTTCTTTGGGCTCGATATGGGTCAGCTGGACCTGACGCAGGCGCACGAATTGCTCAAAGACCGCATGCATGTCACATCAGAGCACATGGTCTATGTCTTGTTGTGCAACTGGACGCGCAAGGCCTTTGCGCTTTCCTACGGGGAGCTGTACGTTGCCAATTTCGACGAGGCAGGAGTGCTCGCCAAAGCCATGCCGGACCTCATGGAGCAGCCTTACAAAGGAAAACTGCTCGATGCGCTCTTTGAGCGCGTTTCTACACCTGAGCGCAAGGAGGAGCTACGCACGATCTTCCTCGAAGCGCTCAAGACCAAAGGTGAGCTCGTCCTTGCACTATCCAATTTCTTCGTTGATGGCTCATTCAGCGCTCTGCCACCCCATCCCATTTCCGCGCAATTCCAGCCATCCGCGACCTGTGGCGTATTGACGAAGACCGCGCGCTCGGAAAGATTGACAAGAACCCTGGCTCGGATCTCTCAGAGAACACTCGCACCACTATCGGCCAGAAATGGCAGTTCCCCGATCGCCGCCAAAGTTTCTCGATCAAACAGTACAGGATCGGATTTGCGCCGACTGGCATCCCAGGCTTCCTTCCTCTAGGGGACATCACACCTGCTGACCGCTGCAAGTATGTGCAGGACAGGGAGAAGAAAGCTGCCGTGCTCGGCAAAGGGAACTGTGCTATCACAGCGTCTGTAGCAGCAGCAGCTGTGGAATCGATGTTCAAGGTTAAGGGCAAAGGCAAAGGCAAGGCAAAGGCAAAGGCTACACTCGACTCGATTGACGCCTACGACCCCGAGGCCGAAGATGTCTCTATGTCCATGATGGAGGACGAGTCCATGTCTACCGCAGCCGGTGAAGATGATGATGCTCTTGAGCCGGTCCTCGATGGCATTGCTGCAAGTGTATTCAGGAGGGAGATCGACTACCACGCAATGGTGACGCCGGGCGACAACGATCCAGTCAACTTGCTGCTCAACTTCAACGAAAACGAGGATCCGATGCAAGTGTTCAAGACCAGAACGCTGGATGGAAACGACAGCAGGGTTGATCCTTTCGGTCGGTCCTACAGCGTCATGGCCAGTGAGATGGAAATAATCCTTTCCTGCAGGCGCCAGAACTTCTTTGGCATCCGCTGGAGCGACGGTGGCGACTTTTGGTTTAAAGCATGGGATCACTTCCAGCAGGACCCTGCCTTTGTCTGCATGATCTTCAGTCACGCCCTCCTCAACGGCGACCAAGATTGGGCCAAAAGATGTTTGCGCGGCGGTGCCAAGCTCACCATGGATCACTTCCGTATGATCCTCCGCACAGGTCGACAGCCGCCCGCTTGGATGATCGCCAACCTGCTCGAAGAAGCACCCGACTTTGCTGAGTCGGACGATTCGATCATCTTCAACACCATCGACCCTTCATCCCCGATTCAGATCGACGAACACCCGTGGTACGAGCCTGGCATTGTCAAAGAATATCTCACTGAGAAAAGCAAACGCGCGGTTAAAACGGGCATGGCGGCTGCGGGTGCCTCTGGATCTGGGTCAGGGTCAGGGACTGCTGAAAGGGAACATTGTGCTGCTGCGGCCGCGGATGCAGTTGAAACTGTGCAAACAGAGCAGGGCCAGCACGCAACAAGCTCCGGAAAGGATCTGGCCATCCCGATCAGTATAAACACCAATGTTGCAACAGGCTATAGAGATGAGGCTAATACGGATCATGGTGGAGGCCCAGACAATGGCAACGAACCCAATTCGCTCCCCTGTTCGCCAACATCTTCAGTATCCTACGGTATGGTTGATCCGTGGATGGTCATGGGGGACAGCGAATCAGAAGATTATGAACACTTGGCGGATGACGACATAGCGTTGCTCCTGAACGAGGTGGCCTACCAGAGGCGGATGGCTTCCGAAAGCGAGCGCTGCGTGAGAGGATCAAGGACGGCGACGACGACATCCGCCGCCACAGACCCACAGTTCGCAACGCTGATCGGAAACAGGATCAAGACGCTCGATGAAGCGGAAGCCGATCGTCGTGCGCTATCAACATGGAAATGGCAGCATGCTTTCCAAATTCTCTCCGATGAAGTATCAGCAGAGTACACGTTCAAGCGCGCTATGGCCAAAGAGCAAAAGGACGAAGATGGAAAGGTCCAGCGCACCCGCCACAGCGATTTCAAGAAATGGTGCCAGAAGTTCAACGAGCTTTACAAGTCCGAGCACAATCTGTTCAGGAGAAATATCATGACACAGAAACGGCTTATCATGGGGAAAGAGGCGACGGGAGAGGGCTTATCTCACCTGGAAGAAGATGCGTTCAGCCCAGCCGCCGCTCTGCTCGAACTGCCAGGCTTGCTCGCCGAAGCTCGCGAGAAAGACCAGTCCCGTTATCGCGAGCCACAGACCATCGTGGAAGCGTGCTACCGTAATCGAGTTGCTTTCCAAAGCCGACACCCCCTGCATCGTCAAGTGGTTGGTGGGAGATATTCCAGAAGGCGGCACTCCTCCCATCAAGCCAAGAACGCAATTGCGCGTGAATTCATCAACTCGTACACTGGCTTGCCCCATTCCTCCAGCACCCTCGACAAGTACGACGATCCAAATGATCGTGATTATACCCCTCCTGTCAGCAAACACGCCAAGGCGCAGAAACCGAAGCGCTTGAGGAAAAAGTCGACGATGGACATGCACCCAACGGAGCGTGGTGTTTCGCCCCCATGCAGTGATTGCGACTATCCCAATGAGGAAGGCGAATACTAGAACGTTCACACGAATGGTCATTCGCAATGTACGATATGATGGCACAACAACATTAAAGAGCTGACCATCAATACACATGAGAGATGCGATCTTACTGGATATATCACTGAAGCATGCGAGGTTCAATTCTGTGTGTTTGCGTTCACCCTTCGCCACCACGAAAAAGCGGCAACGCTACCGGCGAGACAGACACTCAGCAGTGCTGCCGAGGAGACAAAGTTGACGACTACGTCTCCCTGGTCGGGGTCCCGCGCCCCACGCCTGCGTCTGCGCGGCTCTCTGCGCGTGCTCTCCTTTCGCCTTCTTCGTTCAAGACGCGAAGCCTCACCCCACGGCTCGCTTCCTCCGCTGAGGCTGCGCTGACTCAAGCGCGGCGAAGAGGCATCGCGGGCGAGGGCGGCATCTAGGAAAGCTTTCCGCGCTTCGGCATCCGCTGCGGCCTGTGCGAGCGCTGTCTCCCCCAACGCGGCAGCTTCTTCCCAGTCTTCAGGGTCAATGTAAACATCCGGATCTAACCGAACAGCCTCCTTAAGGAACGGGAGTGGACCGACGTGCTGGTGCAAAGCAGACGACACGCGATGCATACAGCCGCTTCCATTTCCGTTTCCGCCAGTGCTGTTGCCATTGCCGTTGCTAGATGTGCCGCTAGCGTGTATGGCGTCTGGAGATGAGGCTCGCTCGTAGTTGCTAGAAGCTACAGAGGAAGCCTGGGAGAGTGAAACCGGAGGACTGTGGCTTGTGCCGGCAGCTACAGCACCGAAGAAGCCATAGTCTTGCCGCTGCGAGCGCGTGACGAAGGGGTTGTTTAGCGAGCCGGAAGGGAATGCGAGCGGTGACCAAGAGCTAGAAAGGTGCAAACGCGCATAGGCAACGTAGAGCTGTGCGAGCTGCGCATTGCCACCGAGCGCAAAGACGTACTTCTGCCGTTGCCGACGTGCTGCACTTCCGGCGGAACAGTGTGTTTTTGCTTCACGAGACGACGCGGCTGGTACCGAAGGTGGAATAGAGCGATCAGCGGGTGATGAGGCTGCGCTATTCTGGGAGGCTCGCGCACTCGCGCTCGCAGCCTCGTCGCTCGGAGTGGGCGATATGATGGCTGAAATTGGCAACGGTACATAGTCGACGAGTTTTGTAATTGCCAGCGGCACGTCGGCCTTCTCCCACGCACGCTTGAAGTATTCGAATGCCTCCTCTTCCGGCGTGGCGGAGACTGGTTCAATTGGGCTCGAAGGTGAACTGCTGTTCTGACGAGAGTGCCCACTCAATTGCGTTGGAGGTCGTAAAGCAGCTTGCTGCCCGATAAGCGCCAAGCTCTGCGCATCCATGTTGTACTTGTATCGCGCATGCTCCTCAGCTTGGCGTGGGTGGCCAGCTGCGGGGTCATCTCCCGCATCCTGGGTGGTCATCGCAGTCTGTTCCATTGACATGGCTGTTGGCACCTGCAGAGGCGGTCTAAAACCCAAGATGGTCTCACTGTCATCGCTGCCGATTGTCGTAGCCACGCTCTCAGCCGCGCTTGTGTCGGCGCGTGCTCGTGTGCGTGATCTAGTCAACCGGCTGCTGTCGTTTGCATCCTCCTCTGCAGTCGCTCTACGTAAATCTTCATGAGGGCTGCACAAAGCATCTTGGAGCGCAGCACTGAGCTCCGCCTCTGAGCGCTGCCGCTCGCTCTCATCATCGAGCAAAGGTGCCGGCCCGACAACAAGCTGGTGCCAAATGCCCGGCTGTAGCTTGTCGAGATAGATGGACACGAGTCGAGCGTACACGTGCGGGCCCTCCTCCGATGCTTCTCTTGTTGCTCCTCTATTCTCTCGACTCTGCGCCTCACTTTGCTGCTGACGCTCAAACGAGGAGGCAGAAGCGGAGCGCCCGCGTTCGCCATCGTTACGAAAGCTCACAGGCGTGCTCACAGGGCTGAGACTGGCGGGGCTGGGCACATGGCTTTGGTTATAAGTGATGCCAACGCTGCTGTCCGTTGTGACGTCGGAGAAGCTGACACTGCTGGAGAGGTTGAAGCTGTTGGGAGACGATGCTGACGGCTCGTGCAAGCCAGCGTGCCAGCGTGAATGTCCAGTGCGTAAAGAAGATGCGCCAAGAGGCTGAATGAGGTCGTAACTGGAAACTGAACCTGAACCTGAGCCGGAGCTGGAACTGGAGTTAGCCTCGCTAGTCCTCACTGTTGGTTGACGACGAACATTCATGTGTCGATAATGTTCAGAGGAAGAGGACACACTGTTCCCGTCGTCGTCGAGAGAACTAGAGGGGAAGCTCACTCTATCCCTCTCCCTGAGCCTGCGTCTGGACCTAGCGCGCGGCTCTAGCTGCCACGTGCTGGTGAACCGATTGATGTGTCCAGCCAGCTTGGCCTTGAAGACAGGCTCGCAGCCTCGTAGCCCAGCAATGAGATAGTCATCTCCAAAAGTCACCTGTACATCCTCCTCGGTGCCTTCCGCGCCGTCGGCCAGAGGCGCGGGGACGTAGAAAAGGACGGTCGTCTGCTCGAACGATTGGTGGTACGTCCAGCCTGCCAGGAAAGCCGGTGGAGCTGCACGGCGTGTAGTTTGAAGGGCGGCGGCTGTGCCATCTTCTTGCCTCTCCAGCGCCGGAGCGGACATCCCCGACAAATCATCAAGTGGGGGAGAGGGGCGACCAGGTGACAAAGATGGCGGGGAACGCTGAGGTGTGAACGGCAGCACTACACCTCGCCTGGTTGCTTGTCCAACGGCTAGCGCCGATCTACCGGAAGCAGCATCTGGAGGTTCTCCTCCAGAGGCTGATGATGTGGGTGGCATTTGGAAGCGACTCGTGACGGTGATGGTGTCGGTGTATACCTAGCCCGTTCCACCCCTTCGGCCCACTTGCTCTCTTGTAGTTTCGTCAAACTTCTGGCACTCGTGAGCTGACAAGGGCGATGCCAGTGCCCCATCAGAAATGAACCGATCCTCCATGCCCAACTGGCACTGCACTGTGTGAACCGTCGGTGTAAGACTGGTGATAACAGGCCGGTCACAAACAAAGGCTGCCCCATCAAACAACGGTGCTCCGAGTACAGTTTTCCAGGATATGGTTCGGTAGCCTTCCGCAGGCGGTCTTTTGATGCAGCATGGCCTCCCAAATTTGGTAGGTCAGCATATCAGCCAGCTGTCCTGCTCCCCTTTAGCGCAACACCAACTTACGATGCAGACCCACAACCAACACGTCACTTTAATGATGGATGCATTGATCGTTTGTTAATATTCTACGTCCTACGACCATATTTCACAGATGAGAGTATGGAAGCAGTACGACCGACAGCATGCCACCATCCTTTGACATGCGTTTCACCTTTGCCGGCGCAGAATTGTTCAAGTGACTGACTTGTAGAGTCTATTTCTCTCAAATTCAGCCAAGGACCCATCCTGGTGAAGAGCGATAAGACGCACTGTCTCAGAAAGAGTGGCAGCATCGGCGTCGTCGGTACCCGGCATTCGGCACGCAGCTGGACCTCAACACCATGCCTCATAGGGCCATTCGTTCTCCGGATGCTAAAGTGGATCTACTAGCATACTTCTTTCCCACATCGTGACTGCTCCGTGTGCCCATATTCACTTGCTATCGCAGTCACAGCCTCGACTGCATCCCGTGGTCAGCTTCGTCCTGCCTGCCCCCTGTTCCTACAGTTTCATCACTTTACCATGTTTGTGGTCGTTACGCTTAGTGGGGAGTTGAGATTTGGAAGTAAAATAACAGAGAAAAGGGATGATATCGGGTTTCACTTGTCTTCGGCCATTGCACGCCGACTGTTGAGGTAAGACTGTTGCCAGTAGTGCTTGCGTGAGCCGAGCCAACGAGGTTGATTAGGACGGCTGCCGATCTGCGTCGCCAACAGAATGAAGTCCATCAATGTTGGGGGTCGCTCGAAATGTTCCACTTTCAAGCTAGGCGAAAGAAGATTCGAAGGCTTTTACAAGGGACGATCGACGACGCTATGGCCGGCCGGCAACGCGCGATGCTCCCGTAGTTGCCCCAGTCCGCCACGACCCCTTTTGACTCACGAGCGAGGTCCTCAAGGATTGCCACGGCAGGCGAATTTGATCTCTACGACGTCGACTCTGGTAACCCCACCTACTGCAAGCGAAACGACTGGCGTGCTCAGACTAGACGGAGCAGCCCTTCGAATCTCGCTCGGCTGCGAAGGTGTTCCCCGGCCCCGTCAAAGCTGGCCTGGAAGCCGTCGCTCTTGCGAGGGAAGAGGTCAATCTCGACGCTACAGTGATGAGATCATTTCTTTCGCGACGACGCGTGGAGGCTCGAGCACTGCTCTGCGCTTCACGATGTATTCTGCATAGCATTGCCTTGGTGACAGGGAAAGGAGCAAGCTCCGTTATCGGTCTACACCGACAAATATACGTACATTGTCTTTTTGCTCAATATCAGCCAGCCAGACTTTTTGGAGACTCCGAATATCCCAACGTCGTGTTCAACCAGTAACGTCATCACCAACCGAAGCGACGGACGACCTCATGGCTTGGACCAACTCGCATCCTCGTATTCCTTCTTGCACATTCCAAGCTGGGATCGTCCGAACGTTAGCCCAGTCGTACTCGGCACAGGGCAAGAGGCAGGGGAAAGGGACAGACGAGTGAGCAGGAAGATCCATTGTACATGCTGTATCAAAAGAATCCCTCGCAAGCACAAGCAGAACGGGTGCATGTCTCATCTGCTGCACCATCGTCGACGTGAAAATAGACAGGCTTCGCAGCAGCAACCGGACGAAGACCCAGCCACAGCATCAGCATCAGCGTCAGCTTCCTCCGTCACGGCAATAGCCAGCCGAGCAGGAGCTGATTGTGGAGCAAGAACGGGAGAAGTGACGTATCCGCCTACCATCAGTGAGACTTCCAGCTCGCCTCTTCCCTCTTCCGCAGCCCTTCTAGAACGCAGCATCACGCAAGATCGTTCGAGGCGCCAAAAGGCAGCGCTCAGCGGAAACAGGGAGGCAAGCACGGAAGGTGACGAACAGACGCTCTACGCTTCATCTCCACACGCTGCTCTCGATCGCAGACTTGCGGACCGGCAGCGTCGACGCAAGGCCACATACACGGACCCTTCCAAGACCTTGCTCTTCGTCCTTGTTCTCGGCTTGATAGCGTGGGTCTTACCGACCACATCGATCTTCTCGCTCTTCGGGGGACGCTCAAACACGCATAGCGCAGAACACTGTGGCTTCTGCAGCCAATATCATCTGCTGCATCATCACACCAGCAGAATGCCATGGCAGAAGGAATTCACGCTTTCCTCCCGCGGCAAGGGCTGCCATCTCGTCACGAGCGAGGTGGAGCGCGAAATCGCAGAGGGACTGCGAGGATGCAAGGTACGACGCTTACGTACGGCTTCTGTGCTTGTGCCGAGCCTGTGATGCTGACGTCGCAGCTCAACTTGCCTTTGCTCTCGGCAGATTGGTATTCTGACCCTGTTCATCAAGCATACCTCTGCCGCACTCACGCTCAACGAAAACTACGACCCGACGGTGCGAACAGACATGAATATGGCCATGGACCACATCGTCCCCGATCAGGGCGCGATCAAGTGGGAGCACACGGGTGCGTGATCAAAGGCGCAGCACAAGTGGCTGGTCGCTATCTTCTTACTGACCGGCCCATTCATTACTTCTGACGTGGCGCAGACGAAGGCGCAGACGACTCTTCGTCGCACCTGAAAACCGCACTCTTCGGCACGACCGTGATGGTCCCCATCACAGACGGCCGACTGAACGTGGGGACATGGCAGGGTGTTTACCTGTGCGAGTGGAGGAAGATGAAGCACTCTCGTAAGGTCGTCGCTACGATCCTGCCGTGACGCGAGCTGGATCCGAAAGTGCACGTGTAGTACATTCCCTACCTCTTCTGCATCTCGTCACATCAGCATGGCTGCATGCCCACTTTGACGCGCCCTTTGCGCTCAAGATCGCCATCTGCGAGCTCATACGCTGGCCTGTAGGATGCTGTGCGCCCTTCGTCGCCTCTGGAGGGCTGACCGCTGGCAATGGCGTCGACATGCTCGTCGCCTTTTTGCGTTGCTCCAGTCACCGAATTAGCCGGGGCAGAAGCCTTTCGCTGGAGTTCGGGATTGGGAAAAGTGTTGTAGGTGCTGCCTAATGAAGTGTACCTATAAATACGAACCAGTGGGTCAGCAGCGGGCACGCCTTGTGCATGGTCGTCAGAAAGCCACACCACATTGCACCACATACCCAAGGTCGTAGAGCAAGCAATACGGCAGCCCGGGACTCCTTGCGCACCCTTCCTGCTCGAGCCGCTCCTCCTCCCAGTCCACCTGTTTGTACTTGAAGAGCGGACAGCGTAGAAACTCCCATACATCGTTGTATGACCAGTCCAAGATAGGGTGGACCCGTTCCACGCGCGGCCAGTCCGAGTCGGTCCAGGCTCTTCGCCCGATGCCTCGCCCGTTGGGATCGGTGGAGCGTGTGCCAATGAAGATTGCTGTCACGCTGTGGCCGTCGTAAGAGGCAGAGACTTCTGTCCTGCTGGAAAAATTGCTCGAGTCTGCATCGGCTACCGCCTTTCCTTTCGCGATTTGCTTCTGCTCCTGCCCCCGTCCCTGCTCCTGCGGCCATCCCGAGCGCAAGGGCCCTGCAGTCTGTTTCGATTCACCGCAGCTGCAGAAGCACTCCCCGCCGCCGGAAAGGTACTCTTCGAGACCTTGCCGCATGTCACCAGCGACGCTGCGCACGCGCAGATTGTAACGGCGCGACGAGGAGCGTATGAATCGCTCCACCTCTGCAAAGGGAGAAGGGCAGGTGATGTAGACGGATCGCAGAGGCGGTATGGGCGGCGTGCGCGAGGAGGAAGGAGTAGATAATGATCTTTTTTGTGATAGACGGCGCAGGACAGCAGACAGGATGTGGACGAGGACCGTGCCTGTCGAAAGCAGCAGATGTCAATTATTAGCAACCTCTCCACCGTCTTGTTCGCCAGCCAAAACGGTGTACACACAGTCCTTCCCGCCATTGAAGCTGAGGCTGATCTGTTCAGGCCCCAGCTCCCGTACTATTTCTTCTGTGAGACTGACAGCGTCCTGTACACGCTGCGCCAGGTGTGGATATGCAGCACGTGTTACTGGATCCTCCAACAGCGTGTAAACCGCATCGAGCGTCGCGAGCCATTCAGCGGACGAAGACGAATCTTCGTTGCAATCGGTGGGAAAGGCCATGTCTGCAAATATAGCTGCCTCTATTGCTGCTAACGGCGTTTTTGATCCATTCGAGGCGGCAACGGCCGTCCGTGAAAGAAAAGGCTGGCCGGATATGGCGCTGACCAGAGAATGTGTTCGCCGTCTCAAGCCCTGGCCTGACCACCTTGTTTGCCTCAACCGCCAGGGTGAATACGAACCCGTTCTGACAGCAGCGAGAGTGTGCTCTAAATATGTGTTCAGGAGGGTGGGAGCCAATACGCTGCTCGGATGGAGTTCTGCTCCCGATGAGAAGTGCTCGTGATGATGTTGGTTTAGTAATGTGTAATATCATGGGGAGACTCAACTACGCGCCGAACATATACGTATACCAAAGCTCCGAGAGCCTTGGCCCTGGAGCTATCTGAACCTCAGCATGCTACACTTTCACTGCCCCAACTATACACTATCATCATCCAAGAAGCCGGCTTCAAACGTCCAGGTATGGGAAAGCTTTGGGTGTGTTCCTTGCTTCGGCTCGCGAAGACTGCTGCAAGTCGAGGAAAGGCGAGCTGCACCTGTTCTTATGGTGTTTCTCTATGAATAGCCCCTCCGTGATCAAGACCTACGGCATAGCAAACACCATCCCCATCGGTAGTTACTATTTGAACACGAACCTCTCTCTTCACGTGAATTCTATTGAACACACTACATTCTCTTTGTGAAAATTCACTTCCTGCTCAGATAGTCCCAACCAAGCTCACTGAGCTTTTCGACTTTAACCAGCACCTCGTTCTCCATGTCGTCCATGTACTGCTGCATGGCAGCCAAGTACTTTGGATCCGAAGCAGCGAGAATCCGGATTGCAAGGAGCGCCGCGTTGGTACTGTTGTTGATTGCCACAGTCGCAACTGGAATGCCGCGCTGTAGAGCATAAGGGGGTGGACGCATAAGTTTCTAGGAAGCGACGATCCCCTGAAGTTAAACCTTTGACTCACGGGCATCTGCACAATGCTATGCAGTGAATCGACGCCATCCAGCGTGCTTCCCTTGACCGGCACGCCGATGACCGGTAGCGCCGTCTGCGCTGCGACCATGCCAGGCAGGTGCGCCGCGCCTCCGGCACCAGCAATAACGACCCTAAGCCCGCGAGCCGGAGCGCTGCGGGCGTATTCGCGCATGCGATCCGGCGTTCGGTGCGCAGAGACGATTGTCAGTTCGAACGGTACGTTGAACTTCTTCAAGATCTCTGCGGCCGGCAGCATCACGGGCAGGTCGCTGTCGGAGCCCATGATGATACCGACTAGCGGGTGCGCGTGTTTGAAGTCCGCAGCGGATTTGCTCGTGGCGGGTCCTGGTGTTGAGGAAAGAGAAAAGCGCGCTACTGCATCAGACGGAAGAGGCCTGTTGCTCTCTACGGCCTGCGTCGCAAAGTCGAGCGATCGCTGCAGCGGCAAGAGCCTCTGTGCCACTTCGGCATCGCTCTGCCCTACGATGGTGATATGGCCCATTTTGCGCCCCTTCCTGCAGCCAGCCTTGCCGTACAGGTGTGTCGTCGCGCCAGGTATCCCCAAGCTGACATGCGCAGGGAGGTAGGTCTTTTTCAGAGCCTCTGCGTCCTTTTCAAGGTCCGCGAGGCCAAGCAGGTTGAGCATGGCCGCGCTCGGCACCTTTAGCGCAGTGCTGCCGAGCGGCAGGTCGAGGATTGCGCGCAGGTGGTTCTCGTACTGGCTCGTCTCGCACGCCTCGATCGTGTAATGTCCGCTGTTGTGCGGCCGCGGTGCGATTTCGTTGATGATCAGCGCGCCGTCGGGCATCAGGAACATCTCGACACCGAAGATGCCTGCTCCGCCGAAAGTTGCAACAGCCATTTCAGCGATCGCGCGTGCTTGCTCAGGCACATTGGCGTCGCTGTGCCGAAGAGGCGCAAAAACAGTGTGGCAGATGTTGTCCTTGTGGATCGTCTCCACGGCCGGGTAGGAGCGGACGATGCCCGACGCACTGCGAACGACCATGACGGCCACCTCCTTGACGAAGGGGGCCCAGCGCTCAGCATAGAGCTTACGCTTTCCGCCCCCTAAAGCTTGCACTGCTGCAGAAATATCACCTTCAGACTTGACAACGTAATTTCCCTTTCCGTCGTATGCTTGTGTGCGAGACTTGAGCATCAGCGGATACCCAAAATGCTCAGCAGCCGTTTGGACGCTTGCGGCGAGCGAGTCATCGATTGGCAAAAAGTCTGCCACGGGAATGTTATGCAACTGAAGGTGGATCTTCTGCTCGTACTTGTCCTGGATGACGAGGATGGTCGAAGGCAGCGGGTGGACGGCCTTGACAAGTCCCTGATCGAGCACGCGCTGGAGCTGCATCGCATCGACATGCTCTATTTCGACAGTGAGCACGTCGACGCGCTTGGCAAGCTCGATGATCTTGTCCGGGTCGCTAAAGGAGCCGTCGACGTGCTGGGAGATGCTGGTGCTAGAGGAGGGATCATGTGGTTGGTAGTTGATCTGCTTGGCGGGGGACACGGTGCCCGAGTCGAGCAGAAGGACCTTGACGTTCAAGCGAGAGGCCGCTTCAACGAACATGCGGCCCAGCTGGCCTGCGCCGAGCACGCCGACCGTACGTCCGTCCATCTTTCCAGATGTGCAGAGGGTTTATCCGCTGATAAGTGCTAAAGGCGTGTACTGACTTGCTCACAGGGTCGAGTGCGGCGATGCTTGCTTCGTCTCTGAGGTATCTACTTGAGCAGCTCAGTTCGATGACCATCCTGGAGATGTTGCAAAGACGAATGAATTGTCGAAAAAATAGCGGTCTAGGCGGTAGGCATTACGTAATCAAAATCGTGCCAATTTCCCCGAAAGCCGGAGCTTGTTCGAGCTGAGAGCGGGCAGGAAAGTGCGATATACACCGGAATTACTCTCATATGTCCCAGAATTCACGCAGCCAGGGCTGCTCAACCCATCTTCTGCGAGGGCCAGTGCCATTAAATGAAGGCCATGTTTCATACTGCGAGGTAGCATAGGAACATAATACTTGGAACGCTTGGTTGGGTGCCCCAGGATTGGTGGCGATGAGATGATCGTTGTCAGCGCCAAGCCCCCCGCCGACCCTCCATCTCTCTTCTTGACGACAATCACGCGCACGCGATGACATCTAACGACGCTCGACGGTGACACGTTCCCCCCCTCCCCGCCCCCCTGGAATCCTTACGCTCCGCTAGACAGCACACGCCTGTCTCTCTACCCCACTGGATTCACGATCTGTACGACCTCACGAACGCCCAGTATGCCTAGTACTGTACTCTTAGATAAGGGGCAAAATGCCCAACAGGTCAGCGCAGAGCCCGAAGAAATAGCCGAAAAGGTCCGCATGAACCTCAAAGCCTCCGTTCTTCCCGTCGCACGTCAGTGTGGCCCAGCACCTACGCCGGCACTTCAAGGAGAGCACAATGAAGAAGGTGGAGGTCATGCATCAGTTTATCCTGATGGATCACGACCTGCACTCCGGTCGACGCGCTCAGTCTTGTACTACCCATCTCAAACACTTGCGGCTCAGTCCAACTCGAAGCCTTTTGCCCGCAGCGCCGCCAAGAGGGACAGCGTGCAAGCTCTCGGGTCCATTGGCCACTTGCAGCATCTCTACTCAAAGCGGGGGCTGTGAGTAGTGTGCCCCTTCTCTCTATGAAAGTGTGGGTTATGCTCACGGTCCTTGCTGGACATGCTGCACTCTACAGAGTCGGCAAGCATCCACCCATCCATGCGAGAAGACAGGCTGTACCTGCCATTGGTCTCTCCCTGCCTGAGGAGCACAAGAATATCAATGGCCAGAGAGCTGCTGCATTGAGGAGGCTGTCTTCGCGATCTGGGCTGTCGTCCGACGATGAACGATATTCGCTTGATGCTTCTGGGGCGCTGGACGAGGAAGAGGAAGGGCCGAAGCCGTCGGGGTATAGGCTGCCTCCTTATCCCCACGTCGACAAGCCCGTAGAAGCAGATTACGAAGCTTTGCGCCCCACGGCAGTGCAAGCCTTACAAACCCTTTCCGACATCTGGAGTCCATATTCCAGCGGAATGGTATTAGCGGCCGGGCTCCTGCGCACGACACGCGCCTCGGTCCGGTCTGTACGCGCCTACCTGGTCGCGCTGCCGCCGGACGTGTTCCTCGCGCCGACCCCCTTTGATACAAATGCCGAAGAAGGAGGCGGCAGCAGTGCGACGCACAATGCGCAACTTTCTGCGCGTCTGCTTCTCGCGCGCGACCCGGTCAGAGGCAAAGATCAGTATAGGCGCCGACATCATGGTGGACAAGGACTTGGACATGATCGGGATAGTGCTTCATCGAAGGCTGCAAATGCGCTAGCAGGTCAGGCTACCCCTGCCACTGTCCTGCCGTCGGCGTCTGGGTCTGGATTCTTGTGCATGTCATTGCCCAGCCTACCATCATCCAAGCGCATGGGCAGCATTAGCAGCACAAGCACTGCAAGCGGTGGCGATGCAGGTGATTCCCTCGGCATGAAACGATCTGTCTCCGCCAGCTCGGCCGTGCCGGCTTCCGCTTCTTCGCGCACTTCTGCTGCTGCTGTTGCAAATGCTGCAGTGGCCGCTCCGAAGCTTGTGCCCCAGATAGTTGAAGAGGAACAACTCGCAGCGGCGGCACCGGCGCTCCGTACCCTTGGCTTGCTGCGAAAGGTGACCGTCGATGTGCTCGGTATGCTCGAGGATCTGCGTGATGGCCTCTTGCTGTCGAAAACTTGTATCAACGCGCCTCAGTCTGGCGCCCTCGCTGGGGGTGCAACGGACTGCAAGGAGGTTCCGACGCTAAGCATTTCTGGAGCCGTCGCTTCCACTGACGCTGAAGATGAAATTGCTACGGGCAGTGGCGGTGGAGTGGGCAGAAACGACTTTGGCAGAGACGACTCGGTCGAGTTGCCTGCCACGCCGACATCGACCTTCAGCGCGAGCCAGCCGGAACTGTTACCTACTTCGGTGTCAGTGCTGCACACGCGAAGCACCGCTTTCTGCGACACATCTTCCCTCAGCTTGGCGTCCAGTGACGCGGACGGGAGTGTCAGTGACGGCGAGGATGTGTCCGGCAAGAAGCAGCGCCTGCAGCATGCGCACGCACATGTGAATGGAGCTGACAAGGACTCGCAACTCGAAATGCAGCTGGCGGGTGTGGTGCTGAGCGTGCAGGGTCTGCAATCGCAGCGTGCGATCGTCGAGCACTGGTGTACCCTTGCGGCTCATGCCATTCGACTCACGGACGAAACGCTCGATCATTGGAGATTCAAGAAGAGCAGCAAGGATGGTCCAGGTCAAGCAGCGGGAGAAGCAGCCGCGGCAAGAGCAAGATCGGCGAGTGACGGTGTTCACAGCAACGGCGAGACAACAGAGAGTTTCACAAGCAATACAGTGAAGGGTGCACCGCAATCGTCTGCTGCCATCGTGCGTGCTGTCGCCGACTATCTTCCCTCCACACACTCGACCGCGCTACTACGAGCGCTCGGCCCAGCCTCCGACTCTGACTCGCCTGCGAACAGCGACGAAGCACTTGCGATACTCTCGGATGGATATCTCCTCTGCCTCGCCTTCAATGCTGTGCTTCGCGCTTCAAGCAGCCCGTGGGGTCTGATCCAAGCGAGGGACATCCATGATACCCAGAGCGAGCCGGCCAGGGTTGAAAACCAAGCTGCCGACAGCGGTTGCAATGCCACAGCGCAAGGCCACAGGAAAGCAAGCTGGACGTTCCGAAAGACGGATAACCTTGCTTGCTGGGCTACGTCACTGCGCAGGCGGTATAATGTTAATCTCGGACAGCAGCCGCACCATTACCATCAAATGATGGCATCTGTGGGAAGCAAAATGACCCCTGCAGAACGGCGCGGCGTCAGCGAAGCCTCGCCATTGACTTCTGCGCTCACTTATGCTGCAGCAACCGCTGCAGCAAAGAAAAAGGCGGACGCGGCTAAACAATCCGCTTCTGCAGAAGGTAGCGGCTTCAACGCCGCTCTCGTCGCAAAGAGGGAGTCTGGCTGGAAGGAGGCACTCCTCGTTGCTGTGACTGCGTGGCTTGACGCGGTCGCAGCCGAGCAGCAGCAGGAGATGGCATCGACACACGCATGAAAAAAGCATTGATATATACGCAACAATCCACTTAAACCCAGCATCCCTTATTCACGTACAGACTCGGCACTCTTTCAAGCTTACAGACATCAGGATCAATACCTCGCATCAGTTCAGGCTTAGCATACATACACCAGAAGCATGTAAATTATCCAATACATACGAGCACGTGCACCCACAAGAGAGCCAGTCACATCGCATCCCCCACCTTTACTTGGCTGTACCCCTGTAGCGCTGGAAAACATTGACCATACCCGTGCCCATGTTGGCCCTGGCAATTTCGGCCTCGCTGCACCATTTGCGCGGCATATCTGCGATCTTCTGCGCTTGCGACGGCTGCTGCTCCTTGTCATTCGCAGCGCCATCGGCCCTTGCGTTCGTGGCGTGCAGCTCGTGCACGTAGATGTGCATGTTGAGCACGAGATGCGAGAAGACATGCTGGATGACGCCGAGCGGCGGCTTTTTCACCACGCTGACATTCGCTCCTGCTGAGAGCTTGGTGCTGCTGCGAGGGTGGTGCAGGTGCTTTGCGACGAGCGCACCCACGAATTCTGCTGCCATTGCCGCTCGCTTTTGGGCTGGCGGTGGTGGCTGGTCGTAGCCGAAGGACAAAGTCGGGAACTGCCACATGTTGGCAAGCAGCCCTTTCGAAGGCCGCTGTTCTACCAGGATCTGGCCACGGGTCCTAACGCTTCCATTACTACACGCTCTATCGGTGCCATCTGTGCTGCGCGTCATATCTTCGATGATGCACACAGCGCAATTCTCCTCCTTCACTTTGGACTTCTCCACCTTGAGCGGCATCAGCTTGACGTGTGCTTCGACAATGCTGCTGAAAGCCTCGACCTGCTCCGCCTGAGCTTGAGCTTTAGATTTCGCTTTAGCATTCGAAGAGGAGCTGCTCCTGCTCATATCTGAACCAATGGCTTTGCCGCCGAAAGAAATTGTGCTCTGCTTCAGCTGCACGTTCCCAGGATCTTTGGCTTTTGATGCCTTGGCCTCCGACTTGTGGCCAGGCAATGCAGGGCGCTCTTCGAAGATCGGCACTGGAGCACAGACGCTGCACAGATCCTCGAGGTCCGGGAGCGGCGCCTCAGCGCGAGCGGTGCTCGAGTTGGAAGCTGCGTCTGCCGCGAGCAAGCCTTCGTGGTATGCACGGCAGGTGCTCTGGATCGGACATCGGTTGCAGGAGGGCTTCGGAGCACAGATTGTGCTATAACCTCCGAAGCAATGTCAGTAAGGGCGGCCGATCGACAACGAAGACATAGTGAGCTTGCGCGGCTCACCTTCCCAGCTCCATCAACGCTTGATTCCAATCGCCAGGAACAGAACTGCGCTGCAAGGCCTCTCTGCCGAAGACGCTTGTGCGCTGCTCCTCCTCTGACAGAGCGTCTGCCTCAACGAGGCAGTCCAGAGTAGCTCGGCGCACGATGCGCCTTGCTGCTTCCCACAAGACATCTGTGATGGCCTTATCCTTGCTGCTCGCAAGTAGGCCCATCTGGCGCGACAAGACACGGACCACATTGCCATCGATGATGGGGACAGCGTGGCCAAAGACGATGGAAGAGATGGCGCCAGCTGTGTACGGCCCGACGCCCGGTACGTCTCGACTGAGGTCTTCTGGTAATTCAGGAAGCATACCCTGCAACTTTTTGTCGTTGACCACCTTTTTCGCCGCTTCGTGGATACGAGCCGAGCGCGAGTAGTATCCTAAGCCTTTCCAGGCGGCCAGGACATCCTGGGCATCCGCTTTGGCCAAGCTGTCGATGCTGGGCCACTTGGCAGTCCAGCGATTAAAATATTTGACGACGGTGGCCACACGCGTCTGCTGCAGCATCACTTCGCTGATCCAGACGCGGTACGCGCGCTCCTTGAGCGCCGTGCGAATCTGCTCCTCGGAAGAGTCTTCGTCGAAGGGGTCGATCCAGTCGGCTCGCCATGGCATCTCGCGATCCTTCTTGACACCAGCATACCATTCCAGGAAAGCCGAGCGGGCCTTTGCGCCAGCACCGTCCGATGTGGAATCTAGCAAAAGCGGATGATGGTAGTCGAACGCGTGCGACCGGACCGGCGGCAGGGCAGCTGCACCGTCTGACGGGCGGTCGCTGCGGAAGATGAGGTTGATGAGGGCCTTCCCGCCCAGTCCGCTTCCATCTTTCTTCGATAACTTCGGCGAAGCAGTCGAAGCCGAAGCTGCCTCCTGATTTGAGTTCTTCTTTTTGGGTGACGCGTTTCGTTTGCGCTTGGGCGGTGCTTCGGCATCATCTTCACTGTGATAGTCATCGTCGTCGGACCCATCCACCGACAGGGAAGAGTCCGTGTAGCTGTCGTGGTCTTGCAAGACTCGAGGCTTTGTCGGCGGCGGCGATGACGTCGTCGTTGCCTTACGCTTAGCTGCTCGCATGTTAATGAGGAGTTGAAGTCCAGATGGGTCCCTCCCCGGCCACAGAGTCCCCCGGTATGCTGCTACATCGATTCACGGCACCTGCCGATCGAGCAAGGTGATCCTTGTGTGGTTCCCCCTCCCGTCGCATCGAGCCATTCAGGTGTGGTATATTTATTAGCCGTTCCGCCCAGCCCCGGGCGCTAACCCTTATTTTTATATTTCCCACAATAGGGTTGTTGGCTTTCGTACCGTTAGGCGTTGATGATTGGTACCTTGACAAGGGCTTTGAGTCTGTTCCACTCCCGCTGTTCTAGGTACGAAGCAACAGCCTCTTTATGGTACGAAATTTAACCATCCTGCGACGCCCATTCGCGTCACCCATCGTGCACACTACCCTCGCGACGCCCCCTGCAGCACCCCTACGCCGAGCTCTTTGAACAGCACCGTCAGCATTCTATACCTGCTTCCACGCATCCCAATGCTTTCAACAGCTTTGTGTGATCTACTATGCAATTTTGCTCTCTAGAAAATATCTTACCTTCCCCACGTCTGACTGATTAGGCCAGTATTCATTTCGCAAGTACGCACACCAGATTCCTACTCACGCCACAGGCACTGCGTCAGCGACAGGGATAACCACCGCATCATCATCCGAAAAGTTGATTTGCAACAGGGAGTCCCCCTACAGTGCCGGCGATGATGACTAGCGGTGCCGCCCATGTATGAGTAGACCATGCAGAAAGAGCACGACGTGGATCAGCAACGCCGCCGACAGAGAAAGAGATGCAGAATGGATCAGCATACTCAAGGAGCACGTATGAACATGCAATGCCTCGTGTTGGCCGATCTTGAATCAACAACCCTTTGGGCTTGGCCCTTGTCTTCACTATAGCATTTTTGGGGTGACTGAAGTTTTGGTTGTGCGACCTGTGGAGTCGTCAGCGAGTGCTCGACTATAGAGTGGATCCAGCTGAGGGCATTATGTGAAAGGCGTAAACGGTATCATTCTTGATACTTGGCGGTGAAAATTTGCACGACCCGTGCCTAAAGCGACGTGACACCGGTGAAGGCGGAGCGAGAGCCCGCGGATCGTACACAGCCATTGGAGAACATTACGGTGACAACGTGTCTTCCATGTTTGATACTTGCCTCTAGGCGCTATGAGACCATGTAATTGTGGTTGCTCGACGCCAGTGAATGCACCAGCGGTAGCCCAACGAGCCAGGGCTGCTACCGGAGAGCATAACATGAGATGAGCTTCCACTGAAGAGCTTCTTGTAGGAAGAGACAAGCCTTGTAATCAGATGAGTGAAGTGAGGGAACATATTGGAGACATCTTGAATACAAACCCTCAGGTGGGTGAGAGCTGGAGCGAATGTTATGCGGTTGAGAAGATTCAATGCGAGATGTTTTGGGCAAAGACTTGAAGGACTGTAAGTTGGATGAAGTCTCGGATGAGAGATTAGCTGCGACGACTGATACGTCCGTCGGCCATTCGAGGATTATCGTGCAGGCACGCACCGCAGCAGAATGCAAGGGGTCCGCAGGGGCAGCTGACTGCGGTGTCGCGACGCGACGCGTCTCCTCGATGTATTTCTGCACACGTGACTCGTTTAGGAACGCCTAGCGAAGCCGACTTGGCCATGTCAATCACGCCGTCGTGTTTTGTGGAGTTGCGTACCACCCCTTCCCCCCCATCCTGGACTCTGACCATGCAGGCAGATGTGTTCCACATGCAAGCAAGGGCTAGGGAGCGGATGAGGTTGGAAGCGATGGACTAAGCGACTGACTGGCTGTCGATTTCGATCCATCCCCCGCTGATGGCCGCAAAGCTGAAGTGGCAACTGCCATCGCCGTGGCCCCACCGACCACCGCTCGTCCCTGGCCCCTAGAGCAGAGCGCGTCGAACATCGATTTAGAGGCCAAACATGCGGTACATCTCCGCTCTCCTCCTTGGGATCTCACACGCAGTAGCATATAAATCAGCGACAAATCCAATTACCATCTCGACCGCAGCTGCGAATTCAAAGGCAGTCCCACCTGACTGGGCCAGAATTCAGTGCACAGATGGAGGCATCCTCCCCACGCCGACTTACGGGGACAGCGGATCCATTTTCACCGCCTGCGCCCAGCTCGTCATCGACGCACCAGTCGAGCAGGTGTACAATGCGATCATCGACTTCGGGTCCTATCCCAAATGGAACAGCTTTGTTCCCTTGGTCAAGCCTCGCGACGGCGCTGTGCTTTCCGATGTCCGCGCCGGCCTGCCCATGACCTTCCACAGCGCCGGTCTGGCCCCGTTTGGCCTTAACACCACAACGGATGAGCGCGTGACCGTATTAGACCTCCCGTCCTATCCTCGCCCTGCCTCTGCGCTGGTCGTGTGGCGATTCGACCCGGCTCTCGGAGCCACCTTGATCCAGGCGGAGCATCCCAACATTCTCACACATTTGCACAACGGCTCGACGCGTTATATCAGTTACGAGACTTACTACTCGCTCGGTTCGGTAGCCGTGCAACTCTTGGAAGAGGCGAAACTCAAGAAGCAGTTTGTCCAGCAGGGACACGACTTGAAAGCGTATGTTGAAAGGATGAGCGCTTGAGGGATACTCAGCCTGTCAAAAGGACTTGCTTGAGCAAAACGGCGAGGATGGTGATCCACCCATTGCTTGGGGACCGCATGTGTAGCATGTCTTTTACGGGTTGGTCATATACTCGCTACTGGCGGGCGTTGGCATCGCCCGGCCATCGTAATGAAGCACAATCAAGAGGAAACACGCCCTCTTCCTTGGAAGATTCCATGTGCAGGTTAGAGAATGGATATGACTCTGCTCTTTACTGTCACCAAACCATGGATTCTGGAATCGGTAGTGTCCTGCAAAAGATTCAAATTGGTGTGCGTGGTTGGTTGCCGGTTGCAAATTGCACCGTATCACTCGACTCCATCTTCCATGTGGCGCTCACCGATCACACAACTCGAATGTATGTGTACGGTCCACTCCACGATTACCATCTATACACAATGAACTTTTTTGTCTCGTGATGAATGCATATGTGCATGACTGGGCGTGGATATCATAGTATCGCCATCCGAACGGGAAATAGTGGGCTGCCAGTTGACGCTGCACATCGGTATGCTCATTAGAGGCGCCCACGGCTTGCGCAGCTCGCTTTCTGGCTGCCTTCGGTAACGTCGATCATGGGCAACGCCGCGAGCACAAACACCCGCCTCGCCGGCTTCAGCAATCTGGTCGGTGAGTTGGGCAATGATGTCCAGTATGAGCGCTCCATGGGCGACTCTCGCTTCCTCAAGGCCATCAAAGCTCGACATTCCAGCGGGCCGCTCGTCGTTAAGACGTTCTACAAGCCGCCCGAAGCCGACGCAGGCCTCAGCCTTGACGACTTGGTCCGGCGTCTGAAGCAGGAGCGTATGCGCCTGGCGGATGCCCCCAATGTACTCGCCTATCAAACTGTCGTAGAGACCGACAATGCGGGATACCTCATCCGCCAATGGCTTGCGAGCAGTCTGTACGACCGCATCAGCACACGCCCGTTCTTGTCGGTCATCGAAAAGAAATGGCTCTCGTTCCAGCTGCTGCAGGGCATGGCGACGGCGACCGCCCGCGACGTACCACATGGTGATCTGAAGTCTGAAAACATCCTCGTCACCAGCTCCCTAGTGCTCTATATTTCTGATTTTGCCAGCAGCATCAAGCCGACGTACTTACCCCTGGATGACCCGGATGACTTTGGCGTCTTCTTCGACACTTCTGGTCGCAGATCATGCTACCTCGCACCAGAGCGCTTCTTCGAGTCCACATCCAAGATTGCAAGGGACCGTGCAGCTCAGCGCACGGCAGGGCAGAAACGGGCGAGTGCAGCCGCGACAGCCGGCGCTACCGCCCCGACAGCTCCGAGCACCTCTCCGAATTGGTCCGCGACGATGACTGATCCGTACAACATCATTCTTGGGAACGGAGGACAGACCAGGCGTGAAGGAAATGTGACGGAGCAGATGGATCTCTTCGCTGCTGGTTGCGTCATTGCAGAGCTCTGGCGAGACGGCTCGCCGACGTTCACACTCAGTCAACTGTTTCAGTACCTTCGAGGCGCGCTCGATATCGAGCCCGTCCTTGCTCACATTCCCGACACTCACGTTCGGTCGATGGTCCATACGATGCTCTCAGTTAATCCTCGCGAAAGAGGGACATTCGCGGGCCACCTCAGACAGCAAAGGAACGCAGCGTTCCCAGAACTCTTTTACGAGTTCTACTATCCTTATCTCACCAGCCTCCAGAGGAGCTCGGCTGTGCCAGCTCAGGTGCCGAGCAGCGCCGCTAAACCAACACTGGAGGCTGCAGCAGTGGGTTACGCATCGATCAAAGCTGCCGTTACTACCGCGACGCAGGAAGGCGAGGCGGAAAGCGAGCAGAGCTCAAGGCGGACAGGATATGCGCCTGCGACTGCCTTCTTGCACAGCGAATCGGACGAGCGCCTCGAGCGTCTGTACGAAGATTGGAGCGTGATCGTGGAAAAGTTGATTGACCAGGATATGGAGGCGCATGGCGGACAGCGCTGGTCATCAGCGGAGGCACAGCTTTCAAATCCGTCCCACTTTGACGACCCACGTCGCATCGCCGATTCCGTCTACCCCGTAGCCCTGCACATTCCTGGAGTTCCTCCGCAATCTTTACGCGTCAGAGTTAAGTCACCGATACATGACGGGCCGGCTCTCATCTTGCTATCCATCATTCTCTCCAATCTCCGCAATGCGTCACGCCCGTCGATCCGTAAACAAGCGCTTGAGATGGGCATGCACTTGGCGAATGGGCACTTGACAGATCTAACCAAGCTTGATCGCCTCCTCCCGTACATCATTGCACTGTTCGACGATCCTTCGCCTCCGGTCAGAGTGGCCGCGTGCTGCGCTGCGACGCAGGTCCTAATGCTGGTTGATTCGGTCAACGCGGCGAACGCCACCATCTTCTCCGAGTATATCGTACCGCATTTCAGACACCTCGCATCAGATCCATCCGTCTTGGTCCGGACTGCGTATGCTGCGTCACTCGCACACCTCTGTAACGCCGCAAAGGACCATGTTGCACGCCTGCAATCCGAGGAGCAGGAGTCGCACAGTGCTTCCAGAATCCTCGGCGCCGATGCAGATCTGCACGATAGCCAGTTGAAAATCCTGCACAACTTCTTCCAAGTGGAAGTCGTCTCGCTACTCACGGACCCGTCCACCAACGTCAAACTCACGCTGCTCGCAGACATCGACAAGCTCACCACTTATTTTGGCGCCGTCGTAACGAACGACATTCTCCTGAGTCACATGATCACATACCTCAACGACAATGACTGGCGCTTGCGCGAAAGCTTCTTCGAAGCTATCTTACACGTCGGTACAATTGCGACAAGTGGCAGCCTGGAGAACTACATCTTACCTTTGATGCTACAGGCACTCAGCGACGAGGAAGAAGCCGTCGTGCAACGGGTCCTCGACGGGCTTATTGGACTCATGTCAATACGCAAGCTACCCGACGCAAACATTTATGAGATCATCGAGTCAACGGTGGGCTTTCTCTGTCACCCGAACTTATGGCTACGGTACCAGGGTGCCAGCTTGTTGGTTGCATGCATGCATCGCATGCACGAGACAGAGCGCTGGGCTTTCGCATACCCGCACCTACGGCCACTCTTATCAGCGGATGTACCAGATCTCATGGAGATTAGTCTTCTGGAAGTCCTCAAACCTCCTTTGTCTCGGCTTGTCTTCAACAGCGCAGTGTCATGGGCTGCCAAAGTCCCATCAAGTCTGTTCTGGAAGTTTCCGGAAAATGCCAAGAGGGTTTGGCCCATTGACAACGCTTTAGGAACACAGGGACTTGCCCTCATGGCTGGTTGTCGTGGTTCTAGCATACCCCCGCTTCAAATGCCAAGAAACGAGGAGTGAGTTCTTCGTCTGCACTCGCACTCCAAGCCAAGGCACCAGTTTCTGATGCCTCGCTTTCTTTGGACTCCCCAAGGGACGATGGACAGATGGACCGTTTGAGAGCCATCGGAATGAGCAAGGATGATGAAATCAAACTAGTTGCTCTCCGCAGCGTCGTGCGGCGTCTTGCGAAGCAAGGAAGGTAAGATCTGCAGTGACACCTTGTCGCATTCAGAAAGGCACTGATAGTCGAGCCTTGCGCCCCTGCAGTGCCCAACTGAAGGCGGTCACGATGATAGAGGGAAGCACACCGGCACCGCTGATCTCAGAGAGATATGGAGTGGCTAAGCTGGATGGGGTGAACTCGCAGAACATCTTCTTTAACTCGAAAGTTACGGCTCGGCAGGTTCCAGGGAGCCGTTCGGAAGAAGCGTCGGTGGTATCCCGCTCGTTGGCCTCGGATAACGCCGGCTCTTTCGCGCGGCAGCTCGCTCGAAAGCGAATCGCCGGAAGGCTGGCAAGTGAAACATCTCACCTCGACTCTGATGATGCCCGACGACAGCGGCTGCAGATATTCTTGAACCCGGATGTCATGCTCTCAAATGAGGGTCCGAAAACAGGCGATGCTAGGTCGGAGACGACTGTCACCCATCATGTTGGCTCTCAAACCCCTCAAACGGCGAGCGTTCCGGGAAGATCAGATGGACTCCTCCACGTAGAGTCCAGCATACAGGGCTCGAGTGACGCAATTGATGCTGCCGAGGCGAAGAGCAGGCAACTTGCAGCCGAAGAAGATCCTGTCTTCAGCACATACGACGGCAAAGATCCATATCTACGTGCTCACCTCGAATTCATGCACCAACACCGATCACGCATGCGCGCCTCTATCAACAACATGAAAAGAGTTCAAGGATCGCGAGCAAAGCCTAGGCTTTCCGATGGCTCCTCAAGATACGGCGCGCCATCCAACACTCGTCCAGATGGCAAGCTCGTTGCGTACTTCAATGAACACACAAAACCAATCACTGTCATCGTGGTTTCGCCTGACCAAGTATTTTTCGTCACTGCGTCTGAAGACTCAACTCTCCGCGTTTGGGACACTGCCCGACTGGAGAGAAACGTGACATCGCGATCAAGAGCGCAATACACCGGCCACAATGGCGGTGTCACTGCCTGCATCGCACTCTCACAGCCGAGATGCTTTGCAAGCACTTCCAAGGACGGCAGCCTTCACGTCTGGCGGATCGAAATAACCAACTCCGCGCAATCCATGCCAAAGTACGCCTCTCGTCCCAAGCTGGTTAGTAATTTCCAATACAGCGATCCGTCAGAATACGCCACATGCATCTTTGAATCGACACATGAATGCGCCGCGGCGCTTGTCATGGGCACTTCTCGTGGCAGAATTACTGTCGTTGATCTAAGGACGATGCAAGTCTTGCGCACCTTCCGGAACCCGGTACACACAGGCGCAATCACGAGTACTTGCGAAGATCCTCAACGTCAATGGCTATTGAACTCGACGGAATCAGGGCACTTATGTCTATGGGACATGCGCTTCGGCTTACTCATCCGAACATGGCCTGTCTTGGATGAATCCCAACGCGCGTACTATCGCATCACCCGCTGCACGAACCATCCTCGCCCGGATCAGCAGAATGTGGTGCTCGTGGGAATCTCCTCACTGGGCTTGAGGCCTCCCACTGCCATCTCGGCATCCATGGTCGAAATCTGGGATATTCAGAGCGCAACAAAGCTCTCATCTTTCGAAGCTCGGTCCAATGAGCATAGCGCGCGCCCTTCCCGTACAGCCTCTCCGGCGCCACCCAGGCACGATGTGGTCAACACTCAGCCAACGGCTTCACAAGCGATTGAGGCTTTGCTCTCCGGGACAGCAGCTGGTATGCAGTCTGAAGACCCAGGCTCCTCGCTGCTTTCGCTCAACCCCATTCCGGATACGCTAGCTCTCTTGGCGTCTATCGATGGCTACCGCTCGTCAGCCGCAGCTGTTCAAGGTTTGGACCGAGACTGGGTGGACGCTGGAGTTGTGGCTCGTGGCGCGGGCCTATCGTCAGCGACTTCTGCAGGGTGGCTGTTGACTGCTGGTAGGGATCGAACGATTCGTTGGTGGGACTTGGGCAAGGTAGAGCGATCGAAAACTGTCGCGCCTGCGATTGGCAAAGACGACTTTCAGTGCGTACATTTTGGCATCGTGTATCTCCACGTACGAAAGCTGACTCCGCCAACCCTTCGTACAGAAGCCGCAAGATAAACGACGGCTGCACGGAGTACATTCAAGTCACACATCCAGCTGTGAAGCCCACACGATCACAACGATCCCTGTTGCTTGCTCCGACACAAGCAAGAGATTCTTCAGAGGCGATGAGCACCCATCGAGATGCTATTACCGCTCTTGGCGTGCTCGAGACACCTTTCCGGTGCATCATTGCAGGTGATCGTAGCGGCAGAATCATGATCTGGGAATAGGGCGTTGAACTCATAAGGTTTCCAAGCGAATGCAATTGACAAGTGTAATGCTTTTCCTTTACACGCCGCCGAACACACTGAACCTGAAACGGGGAATGCGAACGGCGTCAGCAGCTGCCTAGCTTCAGCGACGCGACACTCCCAGAGAAGGCTCACTTGCGGACGATGCTCGGGCCGTGCTCCTCATAGTCTTCCTTTGAGTGGCAGTAGTTGTAAAAATCGGGTAGTGACCCAAGAAGGGAGCCTCCATACCAAACTGCGTAACGCTGCATCTTGTGAGAGATGACATTGACTTCCATTCCTGAAGACCGCATCAAGCTACCGCTAGCCACCTCAGATGCTGCGAGTCTCTGATCGACGATAGCACGAAGATCCTTTCGTAAACGCGAGCCGAAGTGTTGAAACATGGTAGATCCGCCTGAGAGTACGATGTTCTATAAACGTACGTAGATGTACTGTTGCGTTAGCGAAAGCAGTAAAGGTGGAAAGGGGAGATAAAGATGGCAACCACACCTTGTAAAGACCTCTCCGGACATCGATCGGACTCTGCTGAATCACACCATCAACAACTTCTGGTAGGGGCGTGAGGAAATCTGACGAGGCGATTTCCGGGTTGAAGAAGATCTCAGGTGCCAAGAAGCGCTCGTAGCCCACATCGACACTGTATTTCTGAACAGCCGCAGTTTCAGTCTAAAGTCAGCAGCTATGAACGCGGGGCGTAAACTGTGCAGTAAACCTACCCTTCCAGTGACGGCATGTTCGCCTTCGAACCGCTCAAAGTACTTCAGCGGATCCTCATCATACCGCCGGAACTCTCGCACAATATCTTGGCACACGTAGCTGATATAGGCCGCTGTGTAAGTAAAGACAGCATGGTACAAGTCCTCTTTCGATCCAAGAGAACACACCTGTAATCCTCCTTGATCCTCTCGGCGACGCGGCGGCTATCTTCTGGCGGTATATTGGCTGCCTCCCCTCTCTCTCTGAGGAGCTGTTGCACAAAGTATGTGATATCACGTCCAGCGATGGGGATGTGCTTGATCGCGCTTCCGATGACATATCCTTCGGCCTGACCAAGATATAAAGGGCCGAAAGTTAGATAGACTTGAGATGAAGGTGGGTGGTTGCGTTACACTCACAACTGGGATAACATGGGTGACGCCATCACCACTGTCAATGACTGTTCCCGTCAATGTTCTGTCTGTGACCTTGTTACTACTCCAACTGGCCGCAAGCGCAAGTACAGCTTGGACAGCGATGTACAAGCCTTTGACATTGAAAGACTCGAACATGATCTCTGCTGTGTTCTCGCGGTTCTCCGGAGGATTCAGAGGAGGTTCCGTCTAGGAGAAGTCGGTGATGAGCACGTCGTTGCAATTGCAGCATCTGTCGTCCCTTCGTAAGAAAGACTCACGAGCATAAAGTAATGATCCTCTGGCTCTGCTCGCAAGTATTTGAAGATGCATTGCTCCCAGTATCGCTCCATGTGATCCCAGTTCTCAATCAGGCCATGCTTGATCGGCTGGTCGACCTGATAGCTTTTCGCATTCGCGTACGCTTCATCACCGATGTAAAAATCGAGATCCTCGATCCCTCTTTTGGATGCCAGCGATGAACTTGCGGCAGACGCAGTCGACTTGGTGGGTACCGAGTGTCGGGACGCTGTGGACGCGGCGCTGGCACTGCTCGTCCGCGTGGCAATCGCAGTCGGAAAGACAAAGGAAGGCTCTGAATTGCCAGCGAACCTGTTCTCGAAAAGCGATTCCGTTTTATGAGTCAAAATTCTCCAACCCTTCCAGGACTAAAGGCGCTTACCCGATTTTGGAGAACCCAGTGCCGTTGTCGAGGATGACAACGTTGGATCGTGACATGTTGCGCTGCGATCCCCCCGATGATATCACCGACACGAAGCTCTTTCTCAAGTGAATTTGGGCGGGAAAGCACTACCGCCTCTCTTTACGCTTCCCGCGATCGTCTACTCCCTTTCTGGCAGTCTCTGGGCCAAACACTGACGTATCTGAAATAGGATGGAGTGGATGGTAAACGTTGGGTTAGACCTGAAGTGACGAGGGACTCTCGCTGTGGAGATACATGCCCGTGCAGACTTCATCACGATCGCGATTGGCGGATGTGCGGCACGAGAACAGTCACGTGGCTCACTCATAGATTATTGGGCTGGCTGGTGCGCGACCTTCATCGCCCCGTCAACAAAACCAAATGCATCCTGACCCATTAGTCACATAGTTGCCTGTCTGCAACACATCCCTTTCATTCATAAAGGTACACCTTCCCCTCCCCAGTCTCGGTATGAAAGCTTGACACCTGGAAGAATCAATCCCATGCTTGTGGGAGGTGTGGGATATGGAAAGGAAGGCGAAGCATGGTGCTTCTCAAGAGGCCAGCGGACTTTGTTCGCTCAGGTAGTTGTGGAAGGCAGGCTCACAGGCCATCTCAGCTTTTCCCCGAGCCATTCAAGCGATGCCTCTGCAGAAGCCTAAGAGTAATACGGGACTCGATCAATACAGTTGCTCAGCATTGAATGACTACGAAAGCCTCTCTCTATCTATGCACCGCCTTTCACCAAAGTCAACTGCTGTGCCTCGAGCGATGCGAACGGAGAGAAACCCCCGCTCCTGGAAACATTCACCAAAAGTCAGATTCGAGGTGCATAGCGTCAGCAGTCAGCATACACCTGGTGCTCCTGAATTACGAGATTAAAGAAGCTTATCGGCCAAGTACAAACGCTGTGTGACGAACAGTGCGGTATCGAAAGCCCCAACGTTCCTGCCCTTGACTACTTTGAGCTTGCATGTCGAATACATGTCACTAAGTCGGGCAAGCGACTTTCGATGTACATTGCGACATATTTTACTGTGCATCACGTCTAGTTCCCTTGTTACCGGCAGGTGCAAGCTAAGGCAACAAACGACCTCTGCCCGACATCGGAGTTAATCACGTGTTTGACTTCACTGTCCAAATCCGACCGGCTTGCTCTGTCACAACGCCGTCGTGTCAGAGGCGATTGGGGTCATACGATGGGTACGCGCAATTTGGTTTCTACAACTAGCAGCTCGGGTCAACAGGGCTACGATTCCATTGCTGAAGACACGCGCAAGGCAGCCGCTTTTGCTCTTCGAGCCGGCCGCTTGGGCCATCATCGCTCAGATATATACGTAAGCCTGGCACGTCATCGAAACGGCCACCTTCGACAGCCGACATGCCCCCTCCTCACGTGTAGAAATTGTTGCTTTTGCCTGACCCGGTTCTTAAAGCATTGCTCGCGATGTAACCGGGATATCTGAGAGAGGGATTACCATGGCTATGTCCGAGGCGGCGGTGTTGATCTAACATTTTTGCTTACGAATACCTTCATCAGAGCTGAAGAGGCACAGCCCTCTTAGAAGACTAGCAGCAGACTGTCTACGATAATCCCGGCATACATGCTAGCTTGTCGCAGCTCTGACAAAAGTGGAACAGGGTCCATAGGTCCCGCCGGGCAGGCCTCGTTTGCCAATCCGGGAGCCCAGTGAGTCAGAACGCCCTGACGGCATCGACCTGATCGATCCAATCGGCATCGTACACATCTCGTACTCTTGTGTACAAGCATTGAACACCCACAAAATGGTCAGTCCGGCCCCATCTGACGCCTCCGATCAAACGGCGACGATTAGAAGGCTGGTAATGGCTCTTGTCCCTGGCGACATGAGTGGAGAAGCCATTTTGGTCTCTCGATTCTGCTATCAAGTAATTCCACGGCGATGAGCATGTTGCAGTTTTTGGCCCATCGTTCCAAATCGCTGGGAGGGGTGGTAGCGGTGACCAGTGCATCCGGGTTACTTGTGTTGCTAAAGAGGAAGCGGAACAATATATCCAAGACTGCACCATGCTCCTCGCCGTGAACGTGTTTGATAGCTTTGGCACCGAGCCAAAAATTGATGCTATGCTATTTGGCCGATGAGGGGCAAGGTGTTTCGTCTCAGATTTCCGGCCGCGCTGACTGCGCTGGGTCGAGACTCCAGAGTGACTGTCATGCTTGTGTCGTTGATGACCAAAGGCTTCATCAGTCTTCCAAGCATCACTGTTAGCTCAAAAGCGTTAGCGGGTGGAGGCTTGGTCATCTTGTAGCTGTTCAGCGCTTGAATATGGGTGTGAGCGCGAGATGTATGGGATGCGCTAATCGGGTTCACTAGGCCAATAGAACCAGTGTGAAGAACAGCATTGACCATGTGTTGCTCCTTTCCTCCGACACTTTACTCACGGATGCACCGGAATTGACGATTGAGGCTTCGCGTGGCGGGACTTCCAGAGAAGGCGTGCAGACTTAAGCCGCAACTCAATCGGTTGCCTATAGAGCTGTGGAATGAGGCTCTTCATGATGCCCTTCAAGAGGACGCTTGATGTTGAAGGTCCGAAGACCACGTACGCGGAGGAGGACAAAGGCAGCTCTTCGCTGTCTGTAGCATAGTACTCCGCCAAAGTGTCATAGCTTGAGGCCTCACAGCAATGCACTTCAAGCTTCCGCTTATCGACATTCAATACCAAAACAAGGCGGAGAGAGTACGTGCTTCGAAGCCCAGTAGGGTAATAACGAGGCGCTCGCATGTCACCTGAGTCTCCATAGGTATCCATTTCACCAAAGCTTCATTCTCATCGAAAGTGAAAACGACAAATGTCGCACTGCCTCCAAGGCATACGACCCGGTGTACAAAGTTCAACAGTGCGGTCGCGAACGGCACCAAGAAGCCTTGACACGAGTGCGTCTTACACAACCCACGAATGATCAACTTTCTTCCAACGATACTGGATAAAATAGTTTCCGTGTATCATCCAGCCTTGTGAGTGATGGTTTCTGGCGTGCAGGAGCCGCAATAATGCATGGGCACATTTACTTGGCATTCGTCTACTTACTAGTCAATTCATCTGTGCTCACTGCCACTTTGAAACAGGCGGTCGGTAGGCTGCCAAGGAGCGCCAGACTACTCTTCAACTATCTGGACACTACATCGATAAGCTCCAGAGTTCTCTCGTTTTGCTTTCAAGGGTGCTGGGCCAGAGAGTATACTCTGGCACCTCTACAAACATGTTCGCGCATACTCTCGCATTCGCCCCTACCAAGTTTCCGACCATGGATCACCAGTAACCGCATAAAATACCCTATCGTATAAACACTCACATCAATGCCTTCATGCGTTGCGCCTTTGTATTATTTCCTCGAGCTTTACGCCATTTGTATACCCATACAAGTAGTATTTTTCTTTTATTGATATTAAGTACAGCAGCAGCTCCACCCTCTCGAAGTCTGTACAAAAGGTCCGGGTCTCATGTCACTCGTTGCCACACATTTGGATTGGACTTCAGCATTGCACCTTCCGCCTCATAAGCTCCACCGAGCGGGCGGGTCTCACTCTCCACTACCGGATTCATCGGAGCAATGCAGTGAGTAACAGAAGCAGAGTTCAGTATCTGCCACCACAATCTCAGTTCTCAGGTCCAACAGCGCAAACAATGGAAAATTCATGTTTGCGCGCGCTACTGTTGCTAGCATCACCAATTCTCCCCCTACCCAGATCAGCATCTTCTAAGGCTATAACACGATGGTTACGTTAGGTAGCGCGCTTTCACAGCCCTCAGAGCCGCCCTACGGCAGCCCTGCCAAATGGATCATCGATTCCAGGGAGATTCCTCGTGTCCCCTAGAATACGCGCCTTATCTCCGACTTATGTACACCCACAAACCAGAAACCAGGCTTCATGCTACCCGCTGATAAGCGGCAGATGTAAAGTTCAAGATGTTAGCATAAGCAAGCACAGCTAGTGGAATTCGGGACGTAGTGTCTAGGTCATAGTCATACTGGGTCTAGTCCTACATAATCAACCCTAGCAGATCCATCATACTCTTCATGCGCCTGTTTCCTGCAGCTGAAATCTCTTACACTCTGGAATGGTCACAAGTTCGCTGAGAAGCTGATGGCGGTAAGCATGAAAGCTGCTCTGGTGATGTTGTGGATTGAGGCCTTCGTCTCACGTCTCGACTGACTCCATAATCTTCGCCAGTTGCTTCGGTTGCTTGCCGCACATTCGCTTGATGATATTAACGTTGAGATCAATTGGATCCAGACCCTCCCTTTCGGTCGTCGTCGAAGATAGATGATCCAAGTGGCTTTCTGGAACGATGGAGCCAGCCTGCTTATTGTTCGTAACAGCGCTGATATTGCGGCTATTAGAGGGGATGGCTCATTTCGACTAAGATAAAATGCGCCGGGGCCCTATCCTACTTGAACATGGCGTAGCCACTGGCCGCTGCGAGTTTGACTCCACTGACAATGATGAGGTCCCGCTACGTGCATTGGACCTCAAGTGCATTCTTGAGATAGATGTCGACGACCTTATCCTTGTCGCTCTAAACCCGATCGGACCATAGTCACCCTTGGTGACTGATTTCATTGTGCCGCTCTTGGGCAGCACGAACAGCATCGTGACCATAAAGGCAGGTTTATGCAACATCAACCTAGCTCTCCCTATCATACAGGGAACCACCACCGCAGCTCAGAACATGTAGGCCTGAGCAGGTCGTCCAGATACAGACGGTAGGTCATGGAACCGACGCCTAGTTTACGCAGGGCGTGACTTGCGCCACGCGACCTGCAAGGCGAAGGGCCTATCCATCACCGACATTGATCACGCATGTGAAGCGTGCGCGCTCGGAAAAGTGGCCCGTTCCCATACATCACCACAAGGGGATAAAGCAGAGAATGGAATGTATTTGAAATGGTGCAAGCGGACATCATTCGACTTATGCCGTTGGAGAGCATAGTTAGCAATCTCGATTTCCTGACCTTTACAGATGATAGGTTGTGCAAGGTCTGGATTCATACACTGGCAGGTCGCAAAAAAATGGATCAACCCAAGCAGAGGAGGCGGACAAGCCTATCAAACCCATCCTCTCGAACAACGCCGGCGAGCACATTGACATGCGGGTGCCGGAACCTCAATGCCGCGGTATCCAGCTCAAGTGTCAGCCCCATACGCGTTACAACAGTACGGTCGCACTGAACGCTTCAAACATTACTGTCCTCAATATTGTCCGACCATGGAACAGTGAGTCGAAATTATAACAGCCTTGTAGGGTCAGTTGGTCGCAGCAGCAGTCTGCGCGTACAATTACCGCGCGCCCGCATTGTGCGTTGCAATGGTCGCATGATATCCCAGATTTCAAAACAAGCGTACCGCAATCACAAACTATCGATCGACCACCAGCGCGCAATAGATCTAACGGCCTACTTTGTGTGCAATGGAGCGCTCCAAGGCACCAAATTGGACGAATGCATGATCAAGGGCGTCTTCGTCAGATAAGCCAGCGCCATGATGTACTGTGTCTGTCTCCCTAGCCTCAAGTAGCCAGCACATTGAGCCTCGACATGTCGGGAGTATCGCAGCGCTCGACAGGCCTGCACGCACTGATGAGGAAGAGCACGGAACCGTTGGCTGTTAAATCACTACCAGTGATGCTCACAAGGCAGCCATGCTAGAGCATATGCGGTAGGTGAACATTGCGAGGAGCAGGAACAACGACCGGGGCAGCAACAGGCACCAACGTAACAAGTCGAGGGACAATCTTTACAGAAGCGCGAACAACCCACTTTAAGAAGCAAGTTCTGGCGCATAGAGTTATCTTATCAGCCACTGCTTCCCCAGATCCAGCAGAACCTCGCGCTTACACAGAAGCCCTGGAAGTGATGCCGCTGACAAGTAAAAGACGAAGATCAAAAGCGACTCGATAGCCTCAAGAATAAGAAAATATGAGTCAAGGCAAAACCACCATCGAGATGTCGAGTCGTGGGCACAAAATGGGTACTTTAGGTCAAACGCAACGCCAATAGTAACGTGCAACCGTATAAAGCGGGACTGGTAGCCAGGGGCTTCTTGTGGATCGAGAGGGAAGTTCATCATGTGGTATATGTACCCCTCTCCCTACTGGATCACTCTTGGAACAGTAATCGCTCTTTCCGCCATTTAGACGTTGAGACTGCCTAGTCAGTCCTATGGTGATTGCGAGGAGGAAGTCTACCGCGAACGACCGACAGGAGTGCAGCGCTCAGTCAACAAGCACTGGTATTTGCGCAAGAGCATTTACGGGTTACAGCAAGCAGGTCGGAACTGGCACACTAAGCTCGACGTAATCCTTCGGCAAATCAGCCTCACCAGTGGCAAGGCGACCAGTGCTTTTACAAGGGTATGATCGATGGCAACTTCACGGCTTATGTCAAAGGCCTCATCATCCAAACTGAACAGCAGGAGACGACCTTCGACCACGAGCCCAGCTGCTCAAGTTCTTCCTCATCAAAAACCTCAGACCACTTCAGTACTGCCTCGGTTTGCAGATCCAACACAGCACATGCACCGGCAGCATCTTAATCGACCAGGCGGCCTTACACAAAGTCGATAGTTCGAAGATTCAACATGGCAGATTGCAAGGCTGCCGTAACTCCGGCCTTCAATGTACAGGATGAAGTAGATGCTGGCATGATGATCGAGGCCTGGCATTTATACCCTGGGACATCGGATCGTTGCCCTATCGCGCACTCGAGACACGGTTGGACCTGGCTTACTCGTCGTCCCCATGTCATGCAGGACAGTGCAAAGCCGACGGCAGCAGCTTAGCAGACTTCCAAGAGGATCATACGATACATTCGACAGACCTGAAACCTCGGGGTCGAGTACAAGCGCACCAATGGTACTAACCGAATCGGCGTCTGTCATTCAGACTGAGCAAGCAGCAAGGACAGGAAGTCTATGGCGGGCTTCGCATTCTCCATCTCATCGGGTGTCATCAGCTAGTTATCGTGGAAACGGAACAAAGTCGCACTTTCTTCACAGGAGGCAGAGCCGATGGTAGCAAGCGAGGGAGCTTGCGCGAGGGAGCTTGGCTACAGAAGCTTCTTCAGAATCTGCGTACTCCAACGAGAATGGCTATTGAAAGTACGCAAGAAGCAAGCACTACCACGTCGAACTCAAGTATACACGGGAAGCATATCGAAGCTACGCAGCCCATAGAACGCTAGCAAGCATCATGAAAGGCTCGAGAGCAAGGAACAAGCTACAGTGGCTGCAGATGAGAGCCAGCACCTTGTGGATATATGAAAGGTCATACACAGCGCCCAGAGCTCGTGTAGCGTAGATAACATCGTGAGGTCAGGTCATCTTATCTTGGTCGTAAAGAACCATTCCTTCAATAGATGACAAGTCAGACGTGAGCAAATACGTTGAGAGCTGGAAAGAAGAGCCCAAGTCTTATATCAGTGCCTGCCTCAAGCCTTGGCCCCGCTCTAAAAGTACGAACTTTTGCACAAGGCACTCGCCAGTTGCTGTCAGCCTCCATCGCTCGGCGTGTTTGCTCTAATGGATCAAGGCATGCACAAAACGCCAGGCCTTGAGATCACGAATGAGAATGTGGGCGATGGAGGCTGACAACAACCGGTGAGTGACGACGGGGTTGGGGCCAGTAGCACCAAGAATGTCAGGATCCGGGTGCAGGAGGCGCAAGGGCTCCCTTGTGTCGCAGCCAAGTCCGAGGCGCTGCTTGGAATTGCTTAAACATCAGTGGGCATGGAACAATGAAGCTGCTATCTCGATGAGAGTGTTGACAGGTGTAATGTGTTGCGTCTTGCAACGCCTCGGCAGAGTGAGGTCTTAGGCTGGAAAACAAAGGGCACTTCAGCTATGCCATTGTATGTGGCTTTCTGGCCAGCGATGTACTTAACGGTGACAGCACGGGACTGTCGAGTCAGAAGGCGAGTCGTCTTCTTGGTGTCGCTGGTGAATGCCGCACGGCTGTAGTCAATACGGGTTGACATAATAGATCGTGTCGTGGCATAGTCGGATTTTTCAGAGTTGATTGGGCTCATAACCTAACGCATGTTAGAGCCAATGATTAGACAGTCCGTGCAATACGATCTTAGAGTATGAGGACGGTTCGTGGAATACGACATCTCGCACGGCGAACTTGTGAACAGTCGTACAGGGTGCCGGGTCTATCAGTAAACTCGCAAGGCGAAATGGCGTACTACGCGAACCGTCGCTGCATTAGCTCTTACATGTGTTAGACAGAACCCGAAGCGTGTTCATCGTATTAATGTCAGTAAATCCAGTGATCTGATGCAGGAATCAACTGCAAACGAGGCGGCAGAAGGGCTGCAGTGGCATAGGCTGAGTGGCTGGCCGATATTTATAATGCCAGTGTAGGTTCGTTCTATCTTGGTTCTTGACACATTGGGCAGCGAGCTCGCGCTTGATGCCAGCTTGATGCCCTTAATGATCCTCGGCGAGGGTTCTGGGGTCAATGCATCGTCCATATAGTTGACGAACATGCATCGCCGCGCTTGAAGACTCAAGACTCTGGCGTAAGCGGTTTCTAGTTAAGTCGCAGCGGGATGCCCTTGAGATGCTCCAACAACACATTGCTGGACTGATGGAGATATAGACGATGGGACGCAGCTCGCAAAAAACGTTGCGTGCCATCATTGAAAAATGCTGTTTGTTGCATGTTCACACCTCCAAAAAGGGCCGTTCAGGTAAGCTTTGGCTGCACCAATGGAGTGTATAGGCTAATTGCCCTGGGCGACGAGAGCTTAGACGAACCGGATGGAGGCGAGATGGCTGACAGGAGAGTGGACAGAAAAGTAGTTTCCGCCTAACTTGCTGATCTCCTCGATGGGTTAAAACAGCTTCTATTTTATCGCTTTTCAATTCTCTTCTTTAAGCTTGAAAGCTCACTATCTTCCGATCGCCTTGCGCCACGGAGGAAGGTCATACACCCCCCAGACTTTGCGCTGCTCTAGGGAACTGAGCTTGGCCTTCATGGCATCGTACCATTGGTTGAACACCTCGCACTGCTTGGCTTGTCGGAGACTCGTCGGCTCTGCGCGTGCATTTACGTACAACAAATCTGTGCGCCGCAAAGTTGGAAACAATTTCCGCGGTCGGATCAACAAGATTTGAATCGCACAGCAAATGCCTTTATTGTGCTTCATCATCGCTGCTGTCCACTAATCGTATGACTTCAACCTTCCTTGCGATAGGCTTGTGTGCGGCACTATTCCGTGCGAAACCTCCCGAAGACGGGCCCAACGATAATGGGCCGATCAAACCAGGTTGTAGAGTGAAACATTCGTCCTTTGGCTCGAGCTTTGTCTTGCTAAACTCCTGGGCGGGGGCTTCGCTCGAAGTGCTCGAAGTAGCCCCTGCATTTGTACAGCTGGGCGCATTCGGATCCTGATCTTGAAGGCCTTGAAAGCTGCGAGCCGTTGAAGTGAGCGTACTGCCAGCCATACGTCTTTCAACAGCCTGCAGTCTCTCATTCCTGGCCATTTGAGATTGCGTGCGCTTGTATTTGGTTGGATATGCGGTTGATGAATCGTGAGGCGACGCTTTGGCATCATCAACACGCCTCCCAGCCCCTGAAACTCAACAGCCGAGCAGTCAGATATGTCACATCACCAAGAAGTGAGACATCGAATCGAATGCATGCCTCACCCGGGAGAGCCCTTCTTAGTCTCTTGGAGAATGTTTGCTCCGTGTTCTTAGGCGTTTGCGGCCCAGTGCGCAGCGACGGTCCTTTGAAGCCTCTCCCAGGCCGAGAGTTGCCCGATGGGCCAGCCTTAGGTGGCTCATCTTCAGCAGCAGCAGTATTTCGAATGGAGGAAGATCGTTTCTTGCTATTTGATCGGCCCTTCCAGACTCCCTGACGGGCCCCTCCGCACAAAGACGTCGTAGCTGCTCGTGATAGCTCCTGGCTGACCGCGGTCTCATCTGTGTGCAATTCGCCATCAGACAATCGATAGCCGGACTTTGCGAGGGACAGGATCATAGAAAGCTGTCAGCAGTTTCGCCGAACAGAATGCGTGATTGTCTCAACCACCTCACCGACCAGAAACCTAGCAAAACCAAGCAAAGTTCTTAGCGCAGGAATTGGAAATGATATGTGGGGCGCAACTTACCGTCTCCAAAGTAGCCTTTGAGAATCAAGGCTTCCACCTTGGCTTGTATCTCGCGCGCCAGCTCCGTGTGGGGCCGCAAGTGATTCATCTTTGGTCAAAAGCGATGAGTGTCAGCGTACAAGGTCTCTCTCCTTAGACCATGACAGCTACAGCGACACACACATGTCTGATGTGGGCGAGTTCGTGCGACATGACAAACGCAACTGTGCGCAGTGAGAACCAGCCGCCATTGGGCTTGCGCAGAACAAGCTCGATTGATTCTCCTGCATTCCAGTTGCGGCCAGCGAATTCACGATTGTATTCATACTGTGGCGGGTGCAGAAGGCGGATTCAATTGCTGCTTTGCTTCCCGTGGAGCACAACAATGAATACGAGCGCATACCTCTACAAGGCTGTTGACAGTAAGATGGAGGTCTTTCATGACCGGTCGAAAGAGGGCGGCAACCTGCAGGAGCCGCTGCTGTGCTTCTGCTGAGTCTGGTAGGTCTGGAAAAGCATGGACGAAATTAATGTGCGGATTACGACTGGTATCGGGGTCATTGAGCCTTAGATGGACCATGCGGGTAGCTTTTCCGCTTGGAGATTTGATGTCACACCGACCACTCTAGCGCCCTGGCGGGAATGGCAACAGAGCGACAAAGCCTGATGTTTCGTAAGAGATTGCTGCGTGTTGAATTGTGTTTGAGGTCAATCGGCACCCCCTGATGCGAATGTTCTCTG